TATGGGGCAATGTATAAGCCTAAAATACTACTGCTATGCTGTTGCTATTAATAAATAGAATAGTTGGTAAGTTTGCTTTGGCATTGTGGGATGTCATGTCATACAGTTTGAAAATTAAGGATTTTCTGAGACAAGAAAGTTTGGGAACCCATTTTTTTTCTCTCCCACCAAGCCTAATTTCAACATTAGTAGCTTCCTGCCCTCTTCTTTCTCATGTCAACTTTCTTTCCTTGTGACAGATTCTGTGTATAAAAAACATTATTTTGTTTATCCCCCAGCTCTTTCTCAGTCTCAGATTGTATGACAAATGCAGTTTATATGTTTGAGAGATCATGTGATAGTATGTCAGAGAGTATATATACTTTATCCATTCCATTACACTAATTCTATACTACTAGTCAACTTTTATTAAGACCTTTTAGTTATTGCTGAATTGCTATGAACATCCCTGAGTTTAATAGTTTAATAGCACCTGAAGGGACTCTGGGTTCTCAACTGGATTTTAATGGTTTCATCCTACAAGAATCAGAATTTATAGCCAGATATAACTTGAAAATTTGAAGTCCTGTGTAAGCATTCAAAGTATATAGACTTCCAATTAAGAAGGACATTTGTTCTGGAAAACTGCTGATTTTAACACAATGCAACATTGTCTGGAAGAATGTTTGCAAGGCAGCTGTCCTATAAAATTCGAAATAATAGAAAATACTTATAGTTTGGGTTTTAGATTTTGCCTGTGGTTTGTTCTCCAAGCTTGTTTCAATATAATTTTTGATCATTTCGTTCAGAAATTGGTCAATCAACAAGAGCACCAATCAGCTGCTCAGAATTCAAATATAGCACCAAACAAACAAACAATTGCTTGACCAACTGACCATATTGGCACACAAGACATTTATAAGCTAAGGAGACTAGGACAAGAAAATCCTGCTGATGATGTTACCTAGCTTGGTAATGAAAAATTCAGAAATTATACTGAAACAAGCTTGGAGAACAAACCACAGCCCAAACCTATAAAATTCAATTACTTAGAAATCAGATCCGTGATATCTTGATATATTTCCCACAAAACAAATGAGCAAATGTTTTGGCATCATCATCATCAAAACAACTCTTCATAGACCACTACCTAAATACATTATTCTCTGCATCAAATATTATTTAGAATATGCAACAAATACCTTTGTTCACATTCTGGCCAAGAATCACCATATCTGTTGTGAATTTCCGCAATACCACATGCAAAGTTGGATATTCAATGACAACCTTCCCTTTCAAATTGTCTAGAAGGCTTTTATGGGCATCCAATTCTTGATACCTTTTTGAAAGGATAATAAGCACAATAAGTATTATATAGGGATTTCATTATTCCAACATAAAAATAAATGTCTTGAGCACAAGCGTACTATATCAATATCTTTGAAAATGCAAAAACAATATGACATTTTTTTCAGAAACAAATATTCACTTCTCTTATCAGATGTCAGCCTTTAAAAAAGTTGACAGGTTTGCCGATTAAACTTCAGCTTTCTAGGACATGTGAAAATATGTTTAGTATTCTGGTGAGTCACTCTCCAAGACATATTTTTATGCAATGTTAATTCACCCTGTATTCCATAGAGACATGTATTTCAGGCAACCAATGGAAAATCCCTAAAATTTATTCTGAGGTAGTAATAAACCTTTTACAGCTCAACATTCCATTGCAACGTGCAATTCCATATTGTTGGCCTTTAAAAACAGTCCATTTTTAGGATGTTCCAACATAAGTTTTTTTTTCCTTTTCCAACTACAGGAATGCCTAATTTGGGCTTTGCTTATGATGTTGAAATAACTTAGCTATGTAGCATTTTCTGAGAGAAAGGAGGAACGGGGAGAGTTACAACTATTTTACTTAACGTTTCTTTAGTAAAGAGAATGCCTTGGAGTAAATATATATCACATTTCAGATTTTCAAGCCATAAAACCTTAATCAATGGATTTAAATTTTGAAAAATATCTTTTTTAGGATTTTCTCCAATGGCAAGAATACTTTTAGCATTTTTATTATAATTCTTGCCAAATTTCAACTAACTCAGGTGGATGTATCTTGAAACAGTAGGCCATTTTTTTCTGATAAAAACGTAGACACATTTCTTATTTAGTTTTTGTTTGAAATAAAATAAAATGGAAACAGTAATTTAGGTGATCAAATCCAATCCCACTGTTCAGTTCAGGAATAAAATCAATCTGTATTCATAGAAAAGCATACACCTACATTAAGCATGATTGTATAGCTAACATAAGGAATAATTTGGCCATTTCATTTTGTTTTACATATTGTATAGGCTGCCTAACACCGAAGACTCTGGGTAAGTTACAATATGCTGAAATTATGTGCAGCAGTAGAAATGAATCAGAATGATAAAAACAGTAATGTTATAAGAGAGAACTATATACAATGCTTGAGATTTTTCCTCCTACATGTATATTTTCTACATGGAACACAAATTAAAGTCCTCTACTATAATTTCATGCGGGATCTGTTAGTGCTAAAATGCACCAAACGGATACATTGAGATGCCCATTTGTTGTTTATTTAATCCTTTATCTAATGTGAATTATAATGACAGCCAAAGATAGACCATGTAGTATGAATTGAACACACTCAGGTGGAACATAAATAAAACTGATACTGAGGTAGGTAGGATTACAAGTGCATCTCCTACAACTCCATGCAAATAAAACAAATGACACAGTAGTTTTACTTTACTCTTTTGCTGTGCTGGGTTTCGTTCTGCAGGAAATTGTATCACAAGATAATCCAACACTTGCAATTTAAAGACATGTAATTTCATTTCATTTCTAGAATTTATTGAATCTAATAACTCACCATTATTGGCAGCTTATCGGATCTAACCGCCCACCAAACAAGAAAAATTACTCTAATGACTTTGTTTCTGTTATGTCTAATTACTTGAGTATCAAAGCAAAATAATGTTACTGCCTTAAAAAAAGTTGCAAGGTAGCCATATAGCTGAAAGCTATAAAACTTTTTAAAGAAGTTTTATCCCTATATCTCATTGGGTTTTCTAGATATAGATGGGGCCCCTAAGTTGAAATAATAGAAAATACTTGTAGCTTGGTTTTTTTTATGTTGGCAGTGGTTTGCTCTCCAAGCTTATTTCAATTTAGTTATATACTAAATAGATAGATGGGCCCATAAGTTATATACCATTAGAGAAGCAGAAAGAAGATCAGAGAATTATCTCAGGAATAAATTGCTCTTTCAATTTCCCAATAATGAACTAGCAATATTAAGCAAAGCACTCTATGGACCAAATTTTGAAAGTTTAATTAATATACAATAAAGTTCACAGAACACTGTTACATAGCAACATGATACTGCTGGGAAGAATTAGTGGTTGTTTGTTGAAGCAGAATTCAAATTGCAATACTCTAACTTTGTAGTTTAATCCTGAACTCCCCATATCAACAACTGCAAACTGAATTCCCCAAAGAAAAATTCCATTTATTCGTTTATTTACAATTACCCAAATGACTTTGATCTTTGATCTAACACCAATTCCATACATAGGGTACCATTTTTCTCCCTCTGGGACTATGCATTCATGGCAATAAGTAAACATCAATAGAGTATTTATAAATAACTGTAATAATTTGTATTTAGCCATTTTTTTTACAATTACAAATATACAAACTACTACACTTCAGAATAAACTTCTCATAGGAAAATAATGAGAATGTCAATGCCTCAAACCCCAAATTAACAGACATAAATTCCTAAGAGAAATTATAATTATTAAATAACTACCATGCTCTTAAAATGATTGTGGGAGCTGGGAGTTTGAGGGATTCAGAAGGCACCAGGTTGTCCTTTTCAATGTCAAATATGCAATTATCCTAATCTGGACTAGTATAGATTATTTCTGCTATAGAATTCCTTAGCAATAACGACAGGGCACAGGTTAATATTTTTGATAAACTTTGCAGAGTTAGAGTTTAATGATCCAAATTCAATTAAAATACAGTACTGCAACTTGCTTTTCCTGGTTGGAAAGAAAGAACTTTATGCAAGAGTTACTTCCCTTAAATCCAACTTCAATCATCAGGAAAATAATTTGGTTTATTTATTTTTTTACCTCAAGTAATTATGACCAGTTCTTCCTAAACCCATTTTTTTAAAAAAAGGATAAGAGTATTTTAAATTCAAAGAGTGCTTTCATAACATTTGGAATGGCACATGAGGAGAAACATATTTGCAGATTTATTTACAGTACTTTAATACAAAGTACGGCGGTACCTTTCCACTGGCAAGAATCTCCACGCATTCTTTTCTGATTAAGCAAACATTTACCACCAAAAGGCTAAAGTCATTCACATGCCACAATACACTTTCCATTATCTCATGTTTTAGACAAAACATCCTTAGCGTCCAGCTTGGCAGAGCATAAAACATTTGTACTTTAAACTATTTTATGATAGTAAATTATTCAAGTGTTAGATCACCAAGGCCTAGTTTTAAGTAAACTTTATTGGTTGACAGACAGGGACAACTTCTGGCTAATACCCAAGGCCTCTGGTAGAGTGTGAAGAGCTAAAGAACTGTAAGAGAGGAGAAGAGTTTACAGTAATGTTACTAACTAAACTTATTGCCCTGTTTTAGTTTTAATTCCTTGGTTAACCCTTTCTATTAAAATATACTATTCTCTTTACTATAAATTTATTCAGCATTTAAATAAGCCTTGAAATACGTTGTTTATTCAATTTATCATCAATTCTACCACAGATTTTCAACATTGCTAAAACAACAAACCTAAATTAGGTATTTCAAAGTAAACCTCAGAGATGACAATGTTAGATTTGACAGTTTTTCATATTATAAGAAACCACCTCACCCCCCCCCCCACAGCTTTTATAACAGAGCTTTATCTCTTACATTCTTGTTGACATCTAATTTCCATATTCAGCAGGAAGGAACAGATGAAAGGAAACTAAGAAGAGACCAGAAGGTTATATATTAATCTTTAGCTAATCATGTTTGGCTAAATATAACAGTTATTTACTGCTGGATCATAATTTGCAGTCTTTAGTGCTGTGTTAGTTCATTTGATCTACAGCTTTGTCCTTGTCTTTTAAAGCTTTAGCTTCCTTCTCTCTTTGACATTCATTTTTTTCAAAAACTGGTTACCATCTGCTCTGTCTCTTTCAACCTGGGCTTTTTAAGCTTCTTAATCTTCTCCCAATTTGACAGGCAATTTTCTGAGATAAATGAAAAATGCAAAGGTGTTGTTTAGCTCACTTCAATCTCTCCTAATTTTAGTTTTCACAGTACCCATGGTAATAAAGGTGAATTTTTTTTGTGTGTCTCCTTATACAAAAGGGTCTTTGTTAGCTTCTAATATTTTACTTTATAGATGATGCTATTTCTACTGAATTTTGAAAATATATACCCTGCCTCTCTGTCATAATTAAGATAAATAGGTAATTATTTTTAAAATAATTTTAATGAAGTTTTTAGTGACCACTAAACAAATTCAAAATAAACCAGAAGGTACCGGGGGAAGGGGGGGGGAGAGTAAAAACTGTAGCCTCCAACCTTCAGCACACCAAGCATAAGCTAATATAGTAACTTTTTATTCCTTTTATAATTACCTTTTCTTCCCAGAGCCTAACATTTATCTATTGTATGTGCAACCCATAAATTGTCTTTTTTTAAGTTCTGCTTCAGTAAATGGTCCAGTACACGTTATCAGAAATATTGTGCAAATTGTTTAACTCTGATCAAATAGTACAATTTTAAATCCTTTCTTTTCGCTCCTCATAATCTTTGTCCTGTAAATCATTCCAATGGCATTGTAGGATTTAATCTTTCATTAATCTCTAGCATTCAATAAGAGTTTTAATCATGGAAATTTTGTGGCTGATGATAAAGATAAAAATCTTATGGAGTTGCTCATCCGATCTTGCAGAGTATTCAGATGAACACTGTGTGTTTGGGAAAAGAATTCTTGTGTAAGAATTTAAAAAAATATTCTGATATCTGCATATACTGACAAAAAAGGCTCCTGAAGGGAGTCACAATCTGTCACCATTACATTTTACAGACCAGTCCTCAAGGAAATGAATATTGTGAATTTGGGGACCAGGTGTGTAACATTTCATATGATTCAAGAAAAAGACTTATCTACTTATTTCCTTATTTGCTATATTTGTATCTTCACCTTTCCCTTAGAAATTCAAGGGGGCATACAAAGTTATTCCAATTCTTCCCTCCACCATAGCCCTGTGAGTAAGTCAGGCTGGGAGAAAATTACTGCTCAAAGCCACTCAATGACTTTTCATCGCTGAAGATGAAGAAGGTGGATAAACGTAGGTCTCTCTGGTGCAACCATGATCACTGTATTAGACTTGGTCTCAAAAGCCAGTGCATTATTAATAGAGTATGTTCTATTAACAATAATGTACAATGTTTGACTTCATTTCATGAAGTAGGAGGGTAGAAAGAACAAAGAAGAGATATACATAACACTTACAATTCCTCTCATGTATTAATTCAGAGGAGCTGCATTACAGCAGAGATAATAACTAACAGATGGACATTCATTCCTAAGTAGTGAACAAACCTTCCTTGTGGTTATGATTTCTGAACTAGAATACAGCAAGATTTACTCCACAGTTGTACAGCAAGGGAAAAAGCTACACACTGGATTGTAAATTTAGTTTATATAACTTACTTTGAAATTTTGTCTGTATGTTTGCCTCAATACTAATTTAAACAGGGTGGAAAAATTAAATTATCTATCTTTTTCAAGATGATTTTTAAAGAACACTGGCACTGAATGATTCTTTGGCTGAAATCCACATAACAAGAATTCAAACACTAAATAAATGCAATTTCCTGAAAACACAGACACTTTGTCAACTGAATTACCAACTATTTTCCCTCAGCTAACCTCTTTAACCACTTCCATACTTCTCAACTGAAGTTGAAGATCAACGCTTTTGGATGGAGTTTTGTGAGAAGAAAAGAATCATGTTAGTTATCTTCACCTCTAAACAACAATTCTTTTCCTTCATATAGTCTACACTACCATAATGTGAAGAATGGCACTTTTTAACTCTTTCATAAAGGATCGTGCATATGTTTATAATGCAATGAACCATGATATTCATATTTTACTTAGGTAAATTACAATATTGCTGAAGAAAAAGGTTCCTACAGAATGTATCTAGATTTGAAGACATTTGTAGAACAGATGTGGGTTGTAAAACATGCCATGAATGTATTCTTAACACATGAAAGTAGTTGGCTATGCTACTTCAGTGACTGTTTAACCCAATTTCAGACACACAAATACACTTTGAACATTTCAAAAATGTGACCCAGAGAAGGAAAATGTTGAGACTTGGCTTTAACTATTATAACCACAGTAGCTTGAAAATTCAGTTATAAAAAATCCCCCTAAAACATTCATTTATGCAATAATTCCATTTTTAAAATTGCTTAAGACAATTAAAATTAAGGTACCTCAAATATGTTCCTTTTACAATTATAAGGTCAACAGATTTTAGAAGGAAAATCATAAAAAAGAGGGATCCTCCTGGAAAGTAGTTGCTCAATTTTGGTGCATTTACCAAGAAGACCATGTTTTGAGTTGCTATCCATCTGCTTTAAATGCCAGTGGAATAAAGACAGCTTTACAAAGATTATATAATACATATGAGAGAAAAACAGACCTGTTAAGATTGATTTACATTCTTTATGGCCTGAACAGAATTGTAAAGGCACTTTCCACTTGCCGTGCAAACCAATGACCATTTTCTGAATTTACTAACTATGGTAAGCAGCATATCACAGCTGTAGTCTGAATTAAGTGCAACGTCTGATAATATTCAGAATTAGGCCAAGAGGATAAATGATAATAATTCAATCTGGATATCAGTGAAATGTACATTTTTATGAGTGTGACATTCTTATTCAGAAAAGGGTGAACAAGCCATAAAAAAAATTGGAAAAAAAAAGCATTCTTCCTGTGAATTGTTGCCACCAGGGTCCTTAATATCCAAGAATAACACTAAATCTAAGGATACAAAAACTTAGTCTTAACATGGAATAGAATGCCACGAAACACTTGAAAAGTTAATTACCAATTCTACTAATAGTCAGATTTATACCAGGGTGTTAATCATGTATTTGTTGGTTGCTGACTTAAGAAATACTTATCATGTGCCTTAATATGGCTGCTAGGCTTGGGCAGGGCAGAAGGCGTACAACACAGTGCATCTAGGCAAGTTACTGAAAATTAGAATGTAGCTATACCAAACTGCTGATTGTCCTTTTTTTACACAAAGATTTTAAACTCATTGCTACTTCTCCCCGCTCTTCCCACATTTCAGTTAATTCTTTGCCCTTCTTGACCAACAAGTGAGCAATTTCTCTTTCAAACAGTATTGTTTTCTACTCTTCTTGAAGCACCAAAGGGAAAAAAAGAGAAAGTTTAACGCAAGGTGCGAAGTACAGAAATGTGACCGGATTTACAGTGCAAGTCATACATACATAGATAGTAGGAATTCAGGCTCCTGGTCTTATTAAAAAACCTGAAAAGGATGAAAATAACTCAAGCCATCTGCTACCTTGATGTAAAACATAGATCTGTAAAGACTCCAACAAAGTTTAAAAGTCACAGACCTGGGAGCAAAAGTCTGAATAAGGAAAGATAACAGTACAACATCCAATATATGTATTTCAGAGAATAAGACCAAAGTTCATGAACAAGCTCATTCAGAAATGATCACCAATGAAATAATAAAGAATAGCACCATCATTTCACTCATTAAAGGTTGCTTTAATGAATGCCACAGGGCAATGGGACTGAAACTCAGGAATGTGTATAAGTAGTAAAATATGCAAAACTGAGGCACAATAGGAGGAAATGCAGCAAGTTAGGAAGTCCCAGAAAACAGTATCATTAACTATTCATACAACTTCCTTTTCAAATGTAATAATACATAACAGGGCCTGCAGAGACCATAAGGAATCTTTTAAAAACTAATATGAAACTGAAAGGAATAGAAAAGGTTCATATCTTCTTAGGAAAAATTAAAATTAATTGAATGGATAGACTGGAATTAAATATTCTAAAAGGAAATAACGTTGATAGAGAAAGGATAAACACATTCCTTGGTTAACAACTTGTTTGCAGTTGTGTATGTTCAATCTTATTTTGCATTTACTGAAACAAAGCATTTCCCAAGTTGGCACTCTCCATATGTTCTGGCTCCACAACAACCAGCATTTCCATCCAAGATGGTTGAAACCTCTGGCAGTTGTAGTCTCCTAAGAAAGGAAAGGCGCTATTAAGGCATGCAGTATATTTTTTGAGTAATCCAATGTTTATTATTGCTATATATTCTGAATATATAGCATATATGGTCACACAATCTAAAACTACTCTAATGTAAATATGAGATATGGTGTCGCCATTAACTAACACAAACTTCTTGGAAATGCCCCTTTAGTTAGAAGTCTACAATTTTTAATTTATACAGTTGATTATCACTATTTCACACATACACACACAAACACAAATTAAAGAAAACTGTTTTGTTTCAAATGCTGTAGCTTCAGCAGCTCCTTACAGATTTAAGTTTTATTCAAAAGTTCTACTAATGTTTGCTAAGGAGTATCCAGAAGCAGGGCAAGGTAAATAAATTCTCACTTTGCTTTCAGACAGATGTCTTTTAAATTATAGTTTTAACACTATTCAGTTATATTTTTGAAATTTAAACAGTGTGAAATGGCATCAAAGAGAGCACTGAAGGGGGCAGAATATAAACAAACCAATTTATTAATCATTGTGGAAGATTCAATAATTCATTACAGCAAAAGTCTCTAGGACCAGATGTTTTGTTTTAGGGATAGTTCAGCCTTATTCAGAACTTAGCTGAAAATGTATCTGACACACTTGCTTCTGCAGCTGGCAAATTCATGCAGACAAGCTTGGATCTATATCAGGAACTCCAAACCTGTAAGTGGTACATAAGCTTCACTCCACCCACCAATGTGCCCTATTCACATTCCCAAATGAAGTCTAGTATATGGATTTTAATTTAGATAGCTAGATATTGAAATAGTCTGATGTCTTTGCCAAACTATACTTAGGATGAATTATGATGAAAATATAAAACGGATGTATTAGAAACTGTGTAACGTTTATGATGAAGCAGGGCGAGAAAATATATCAGATATATCAAGTATTGCCTACATTTTAGTTATTCGAGACAAGAACCTTTAAAACAGTGTTTCTCAACCTTGACAATTTTAAGGCATGCTGGCTGTGGAATTCTGGGAGTTGAAGTCCACATGCCTTAAAACTGTCAAGGCTGAGAAACACTGCTTTAAAAGAACAAAGTCTCTTTATTAAAAGTGCTGTTAGGCCATGCATTCATCTTACCTGGCAAATGTCCCTTCATGAATAAAAGAAGTCTTCAATTAATATACAATAGGTTGTCTTTAAAAAAAATCTTAAACTTCACATTCCCATAAGGTCTTTGCATTCTTATGAAGTTTTTATTTGCCGATTGCCTGCCAAAAAGCCACTCACTTTTGAAAACAAACATATTCCAATGGCTCTGCCAGTGAAAGAAGGTCAAAGCTCTCATGACAAGGTCAGGAGAACAATTCTAGTTCATTTCTGTCAGTAAAAGATAAAACGGAGGGATTCCCTTTTGGCAAAGAGATGAGCAAATACGTTTTGTAGGTTCTCTTGGACAGCAGCACACAAAATTCCTACCTCAAACCAGAGGAAGAAACAATTTAAATTATTGAGGCTAGTCCCAATTATTCATCCACTATTACTAGTTCAAATTCTACAATATCTACATACTTTGTAGCATTTATCTTCTTACAGGTATACACTGAAGATAGCTTAGAACAGGGGTGTCAAACTCAATTTCATTGAGGGCATCAGCATTGCAGTTGCCCTTGGGGGGCCAGGTGGGTGTGGGCAGGTGAGTGCGGCCTACTGGGAGGGCGTGGAGGGAGTGGGTGTGGCCTACTGGGTGGGCGTGGTCAGCTCTACATTGTTTGCGTCAATGGTGCCTGTGGGGCCCTGGGCAAGAGTGGGACAGATCTGAGGGTCTCTGGCAGAAGGGGATGGAACCAGGGTAAGTGCCAAGGCATGGTCCACTGGAGGAGCCTCACTGTTCCCCTCAGGCCATGTAGGGGGGGGGGTCTTATGGAGCTAAGACTGAATGCGTTTCAGCATAGATGGTCACCACAAAATTGTACATTGGCTCCCGGCTGGCCTGGGCCAGGGCCCAGGCAGAGGGGGCCATTCCCTCACTGTTTCCAGGATGACTTCATGGGCCACATGAAACCACTTTGCGGGCTGCATCCATCCCCCAGGCCTTGTGTTTGACATGTCTGGCTTAGAAAGTGAACTTTTTAAAAATTTGTTACAGAGTCACAGTAGAATCAGCTTGATACAAAATAATTCTTGAGAATGTTCATTATTTATATGCTAAGAAGTAATTGCTTATAAAAAGAGTTTTTTTAAAGCTGCTTTGTCAATCATTTGCTTTTAAAAAATTTCTTTTTAAGAATAGGACGGCTTTTGAGGTAGTGCTAGGAACTACCAGGTTTGATAAAAAAAATATTATTGGCAAGGCTAGAGTAAATGAATAAATGACTGACCAATATTAGGCAAGTACAGTATTAAAGGTTGCACATGATGGGATAGGATAAGGTGTCAGCAAGTAACTGGTGAGAAAATGTGAAGCTAGAAAATTGCAGTTCTAAAAATCATTCTTTTTTTTTTTTTTTTATTCTTCCTGAATTTATCAGTAAAGAAAAGCCTTGATTTCTGTGATTGGCTTTTAGACAAGAGAAACAAAACAAAACACAGATTGAAATTCAGGATATTCAGGTACAGAACTCATTTGCTAGTTCCTTGAGATGCGTATGTGAATGTAAATATTACCTGCTGCTAGCATTCCACTTTTGATATTCAAGATGCCAATCTATAATCTTGTGCAATCTAAGGAAGCATAAGGTATCTATTTATAGTGCAATTGCAAATGGAGAAGAGCGAGCACTATTTGTTGAATGAATTTAGATGACAGTTTTTTACTGAAGAATGTAATGGATTCTTGCTAACATAGCACATCAAAAATATATTGAAATACATAAGGAAGTATATCTCTGAGGAAATGAGGCAAAAACAGGCTCTCAGTATTAAATGAAAATACTGATAGAATACTGGAAAAAAAAAGAGAAATATGAACAAGGTTCCTAAACTGTTTCCCCCTTTAGCTATTCATAGCTTTGTAATAAATAGAAAACCTGTGTGATTCTTAAAAAAATATTGTAAATAAAAATGTAATTCTTAAAATGTTTCCTCAACAGATTATTTTCAAAATTGCAGGTGGCTCAACTTTTACTAAGTATTTACAGAATTCCTATATGAAATCAAAATTTTAAACTATGACGGTAAGGTTCATTAAATTCAATGACACATAAACCACCAAACAATTTTTTAAAAAATTGAAGAGTGTCCACTATTTAATAATTCCGCATTTAAAGGTGGATAATTGAAAAGCAAATAGCACTGACAGAACTGAAATCAAACTAAGTTATAGCAAATGTAATAAACGCCTTTGAGAACAAAAAGGGTATGATAAAAGTCAGTCATGAAGAAAAATCCTGAAACTATGTTTTACATTGCATTTTCTCACCAGCAAACATCGTGGGAAAGATTATAGAAAGATATATGGAATAGTAGGAGTAGAAATTTGAAGATTGTAGAAAATTGATGCAAACCATCACCACTTTAAAAGAAAGATTGCTGTAATATCACACTGGCATATAATAACTGGAAATCCTCAAGACAGATTTGGCAATGAAAGAAAAAATAAATTTCAGTACTATGGTTTAGCTCAGTGGTTCTCAACCTTCCTAATGCCGCGACTCCAATCATTGGTCGTAAGTCAAGGACTACTTGTATTTCCCTGCGGGCGGGGCAGGAGGAGGCACGCACACTCCACCTCCTCTCCTGCGGCTGCAGGTGGGCCGTCGCCCAACAACCGCCTCGGCCCGGGAGTGCCGCACATGCGTGGTGCCGCCCCCTGCGCCGGCCGAAATGTAGCTGGCAAGCAGCAGTGATGGCACAGGCCGACCACCGGCTGGGCCACCAGCTGGCCCAGCCCAAGGGAGGTAAGGCACCCGCCGGGCCCCACACGCACCAGCAACCCTCCCTGCACCCGCCTTTGCCCCGCTAGCCTTACCTTGGCCACCGCACGTTCGATGTGGCGGCAGGCAGGCCCAGGCGCTCCTGGGTGCCCAAGGCATGCGGCAGTGAGGGCGCAGGCCGACCACCGGCTGGGCCACCAGCTGGCCCAGCCCAAGGAAGGAAGCCAACCACCGGGCCCCATGCGTGCCAGCAACCCTCCCTGCGCCCGCCGCTGCCCCGCTAGCCTTACCTTGGCCACCGCACATTTGGTGCGGTGGCAGGCAGGCCCAGGCACTCCTGGGCGGCCATGGCACGCGGCAGCAAGGGCGCAGGCTGACCACCAGCTGGGCCACCACCTGGCCCAGCCCAAGGGAGGTAAGCCACCCGCCGGGCCCCACACATGCCAGCAACCCTCCCTGCGCCCGCCGGCCTCCCACCTCTGGCCCTCTTTTACTTACATTTAGTAGTTGCTCAGCAGGGAGGGATGGAAACGTCCAGAAACCTCGCCTTAGCTGCAGACAACTTGCAGCACCGTTTGCAGACTGGGCTTTTGGTGGGCTCAGCAGGGCAGAGACAGCCTGGACAATTCCTATTGGCTTTTGAAAGCCAATAGAATTAGACTCTATTCAAGAGAGTCTATTCTATTGGCTTTCGAAAGCCAATAGATTCTATTGGCTTTCAAAAGCCAATAGAATAAGAGGGAGTAGCACAGCTAAGGAAAAGGGGAAAAAAATGGCGGACTGCGTTGTTTGGTGACCCCCGTAAAATGGTCGTTCGACCCCAAATGGGGTTGCAACCCACAGGTTGAGAACCGCTGGTTTAGCTATTCAAAAGAAAATTAAATTAGCAGTTAGCTAAAGACTAGTTCAATATTTAGAACTGGTCGTTCCACCCCAAATGGGGTTGCAACCCACAGGTTGAGAACCGCTGGTTTAGCTATTCAAAAGAAAATTAAATTAGCAGTTAGCTAAAGACTAGTTCAATATTTAGAACTGTAATATTTAAAACACAAAACAAGGAGATTTCTTCACAACAAATATATGTGTGCCTAAGAAATATCAAGGATGTAGCACAACCCAACAGCTTAGTCATCATACAAAGGAACCAAAGTTCAACAATTACTCCTTCATTGATATCGTACTATAAGATGCTCCTACAACACTTCTGAAGGAATATCTGAAACCATACACTTATAAGAAGTAGTGCACAGAAAGTTTATTCAGGTATGAAAAAGCCTTATCAATTACTCGTGATACATGATGAGGCAAATATATATATTATCGCAAACACGTCTTTTATTGAGTACAATAATTTCTATTACTCAATAAAACATTTTCTGGAAAGTCACTTGGGAAAATAATAAGATGTAGTTCCCCAACCAGATTGTATTATTTGGCAATTGCTTCTTTCCTTCCCTTACTGGAAAAAGCAATAATCCTACTGTATGAAATCATTACTAAGGCATTCCAAGAATACTGTGTTGGACAAAAGGATTAATTCTGAAGAAGACAAATAGCTATATCTAACAGGAATTTAAGAAACTGCAAACATAACCAAGGAACAACAGTGTATTGTCCCTGCTCTGAATTGATGATTAATAAGGTACTTGTAACTCTCATGTAATCTTGATCTGCATAACCAAACATCTTCCCTTCCCCCCTTTGACCATTTCCTTATTCAACATCAGCTAGCCAATCTAGACATCTGATGAAGGGAGGTGAAGTTCATGAAAGCATTTTAATAAACACATTTAATAAAATGTATTAACTGTAGTTGAAAAGGTACTACCAAATTGCTTCTAATCTCTGTGCCATCAGTAACATCACAACTCTTCACCGTTTCCTCTAAAAATCTGCCTGCTTTCTTAAAATCTCTCTCTTCTCTTTTCCTTTTGTCTGACAATGAATTAGCCTTTTTATGCTGTATATTTTACTTGTGAGAATGAGTAGGATTAATCATTTGTGGATTCTCCCAATCTCTGGAATCATTTCCGTTTTTCCCCTCTGCCTCAGACAAAGAAAAAGGGAAGCTGAGATCAAAAGAGTTCTATGAATAGATGTCACTATCATAGGTGGGATGGGTTTGTCATCTGTCAAGCAAATTTGCTTCTACAGTATTGACAGAATTTTAATGTCTTATGTATTCTTAACGATCAGTCACATAGTTTCAAAAAAAGAACAAGGGAAGCTGCAAACCCTATTGTTTTCACCAGAAGGAGGATTATTAAACACATTACTGTACTGAATAAACAATTTCCAAGATGACCCAATATGTTTAATAATATCATCCTCACAACAGAAGTTGTCATTGTCATCATCATCATCCATTTTGCATGGAAAAAAGATTATACCTGACCATGGAAGAAGCGAATTCCAGCACAGACCAAAGTAAAGAGAAAATAAATTCCTTTCACCATCTGCAATAACTATAAATTTATTTTATTTCCTAATAAAATAAGAATGTAATATAATGAAACTATAATAGTATTATACAGTACAATGTAAATACCATAATGGAATTGGCTACACCAGGGGTGTCAAACTTGCAATGTCACTTGATATGTTGCAACGTATCACGACTTTTTCGCCATTGCTGGCAATGGGGTGGGCGTGGTTTCGCTATGATTCATCTGGCCTGTGGGCCGACAGTTTGACACCCCTGCCTTACACCGATTGATACATCATATATTGATCCTCAAGAAGCCATGAAGAAGCCTTACATTTGTACATATAGCTTAAAGATTTGCAGTGATCTTCATTTTAAAAAAATAGTTTCACACAAGAGTCTTCTCAATTTCTACCCAGAATCAAACCATGTAAAGTATGTTTATGCAAACTATGTGTTCTGCATAAGCTGTAGGCCTTCTTTGGATATTACAATTTTGAAGAGAGAAAAATATCGTTTACACAATGCTGAATCTTTCTTTTTAAAAAATCCAATCTCTGATCATCTCATACTTCATCAATTGATTATCTGTAACCTAAGTAGATTTGCTGTTCCCTTTAATAACAATAAAATTAAAATTCTTACCTGATAGAATTATGAGGCCTATTTTCTACTTTCAACAAAATTTGTATGTCTGACTGGGGAGACACTGTGTAGATTTTTAATCTGCAATAAAAACTATTAACATTTTAAAAAATCACATAACAAAAAATACAGAAAGTTTAAAATCTGTTGTTTCAGCAAGAGAAACCAATCAAAAGAATAATATACACAATACACTGTATTAATACACTGAAATAATAGAAAATACGAATATTTTGTAGAAGGAAGTACCTTTGCTGCTTGACAAGATCAGCTTCTTGAGGATCAATATATGTCTTCAAAATATCACACAAAGGTTTATCATCTGGGACCCTTTATCCAGAAATACAAATCATCAGTGAAGATATTTGTAGGAATAGACAAACCAGTTAGCATCATATTAATATGTACTGTATGTAGTTTTATGATTTCCTCTGTTTCAGCTATATATAGTTCATTCATATGTATATGTATACACACACACACATATACACACACACATACATATGCACATACACACACACCATTTAGAAATTCATACCCAAGATACCAAAAATACTTTCTGTTAAATTATTCCTGTTCCAGTTACTTAGTCCAATTGAAATAATGCTTTCACATCTTTAAATAAATCTTACTGTTGTATATTCTTTTCTAAATAGGAAACCGAAGAAAGTGCTTGAGGGATGATGTTTACTAGGTTACATACCAAGATTGTAATACAGGATATAGCCATATAAAAATAGTATGTACAATAAGCCATACTTTCTTGATTTAAAGCTTCCTAGGTTACACAGATAAAGCTAAAAATAGATAAGATGATATGCAATTTTAAAATAGTTCAAAGAGAAATATCCCAATAATTTGTTTATTCAGAAGCTTGTGTATTTTTTCCAGACAAAAAAACTCAAATGTAATTGTAAAATATAATCCGGCAATTATTTAAATAATTTAATTATAGAATTATTTAAACTTCAGTGAAAGTAAATTTGCTGCCAAGTATGTATGAATACCTTTGCTCTGTGAATTTAGCATGACTCTGAGGAAATATAAGCTTCAAGTGCCAGTAGAACTTTTGTTCCCTGAAAAAAAGAAAACAGTACAGATCCTTAAAATTCTTTTTATTACAAATGCAATTGTAATAAAGAGAAAATTCAAAACAAGTTAAGAAGTAGGAGAAACCTGTTGATTTGGGGAGATATCAAAAGTCTTAAATTGTTCCCACCAAAATATAACCCAACAGGAAAATCAAGTACTTCCCCATGGCTCTAAATACAAACTTTCTTCTACTTTTTTAAATATGGTTTAAACTTAACTGCTATTTTCCTTACATTTAAGGATTGATGTTTCTTTTCCCATTACACATGTATGTATAAACACAAGTATCACAAGTATGATGTTAATAAATAAATAAAAACAATACAGTGCTACGGGTATAAAATTATTTTGATCTCTGCGTAATAAAATAACATTCTGTCAGCAGATCGCAAACAGAAGCAGTGTAGATCAGTCGGTTCCTAGGTACGATGAAATACTATGTCCAAATTGTTGGATGTAACAGCCTGGGAATATGTATAGCATTTTTCAATCTTTACTTAGAAATAAAGATTCATGTTTTGCTAGGATGAAATAAAATAATTTTACTTTATAAATTACCCAAGCAGACTGGTAATAGTCTGAAAAAAGAACGATTTTTGGAAGAAAGCAACTAACATTTTTAGAAAGGAGGGAAGTTGACTCATGACTAGAATAAGAAGTTGGCACGTATAAATAGAAGGAGAATAAAGAGAAGCAAGCACTGCAAAGAGGTTCTGAAAAATCTGTTTCTTTTCTACAAATACAATGCAAAGTAGTAAGGGAATTTGGAGACGACAGATAGTATGTATGCCGAAGCTGTTCTCAAAAAGTGTGAAGTCTCTTTGTTGGCTTTTACCTTTACCTAACGATGTACAACTAAATGTTGGAATTATATCTGTAATGTAGGGCCATAACAAGGTGCTTCTTCAGAATTAGGTTTCTGGGAGCTAATTTGTACAAACGATGAATTAGTTACTGACATAATTTTATCAATCTTGTGATAATCTGATGTACGTGTCTTTAACTTCCATGAACATCTAGGCAGAATGCAGATAGAGGTTTATGGAGTTACGGTGTAATACTACTGGATTATACTTTTATCTAGCACATTGGTCTTTTAAACAGCAGTGGATAGTCAGATTATGTATTTATTCACATAAATTTAAAAACACCTTTGACTGGACAATCACTTGTCTGACATGGTATAGGGTCTCCTGCTTCAGCAGGAGGTTGGACTATAAGACCTCAAGGTCCCTTCCAGCTCTATTCTGATTGAGGGTTGCCTCTTTGCCCCATAACTGTTTGAACAAATTATGCTCTACCCAATCTCTTTCTATTGTATTAATTAGTAGCAACATAGGATTCTGAAATTATCTTTTCAGTTTCTATTCTGCTGACAAAATGTAGAAGCCTTTTGCAAATATTAATTATCAGTGCAACACTATTTCTTCTTTCTCAAAAAAGGCACAATTTATACTTCACCTCCTTTGGTATGTAAGGGAAGCAAAATCTGTGGTGGAGTCCAGTGTTCTATAGGTTTTATCACGTATCTATTGTATTCATTTGCAAACACATTATCCTGCAATTCTTCTTTATTGGTTGCATCTTACATTGAGATGTTTTCACTTGATGCTTTCATTTTATTAATGCACAGGAAAACTGTCTCCAGAAATTCTTTTGCCAACAAAATTTAGAGCCACATTAACTGAATTTCAACAATAAAGGTGGGAATAAAAGCATTAAAGCCCTTCACCAAATATTGAGACAAGACAGAAGAAAAACATAGAAACCATATTTTTCACTTTCAAGAGATTTATAAACAAGACATTAAATCAGGGATGAGCACAGCCTATATCTGATAACACAAGTTCTGGCTTCTAGAATTTTTCAAAAGTGAATGTTGATATCCTATAGCTCTTTTCTAGCGCTGTGTGGGCCATCAGTGAAGCATGTGTAGATCAACATACAGAAAGACGGGGGGGGGGGGGGGGGGAAACACTCAGGAAACTGCAGCCAGCCTCCCAGGGGATGCAATGACTAATGCTTGGAGGAGAGAAGTCTTGCTTGGGCTTCATTATTCATGAAGTTTCCATTGGAATGTTTGTTTGTTTGCCCAGTGCCACAGTCTCCCTTTTTCTTAGAAAAAATTCAGCATGATGAAAAAGGGAACTAAATGAGTATTTACCCAGAAAATTTAATTAGGCCATTGCAATTCACGAGATTAAGGAACAAATTTAGCTGTTTTTATAGTAAGAATAATTACAAGATTCTTTAGGCAAAAGAAAAAGAGATGAAAGATGTGGGAACTTTAACCAGAAATTATCTATGTCAATTTTTGTATTTACATGGACAGCAGCTAAAAAAGAGTTAAGTCAAAGTAATTGTGAATAGGGGTTATTCTTTTTAACTACTGATCAGTTGAATTAAGCATGAATCATAAGTTCACTGGACATAAACCATTTATATGCCAAGCATCTGTCTTTCAGCCAATTTGATTATGTATTTTTTTAGAAACCCCATGATGTTGCAAAAAGTACTATTGTGGTTCATTAAGACAACAATGAAATCATAGGAATGGAAAGCCATATTAATACTCAAACATAAACTCATTTATGATTATATCTAGTAAGATTACATAATATTCTGATATAATTAGAAATAAGTCAGGTGTTGTTTTTTTTTAGCAACCAACACCATTATCTTAGGAGTTGATCAACATTTTTGTCCTAAGGCAGCATCTGAAATAAATATTTAAAGATTTTAAGTTGCACAACTCATTGATTAAGCAAAACTTTTATAAGTGATCACCTTATTGCTACAATGATCTGTATTCACTCACTGAACAGAACTGAAAGGTATTTGAGTTATGTTGCTGAAAACAGGAGCAAGATGAGAACATTTCTATTGCAAAATTTACAAACTTTTTTTGCAAATTTTAATCTGACACTGTCTTGATCACTAAAGCTGGAGGTTTTGCATGTTTTTGTGATATTCCTACTTAGATACAGATTTCTACTTCGAGCATAGAAGTATATTGGCCATTATGCTAATTTCTTCTTGCAAATGCCTTATAGTAATACAAAATATTTGCAAGAGAGCCATCTATTGGTTTCCAGAATTATAGCCAAGTTACTCTTTGCAAGAAAACAAAAAGCCTTACGCATAAGCTTTTGTGGATCAATGTCTATTTCATCCACTGAAAGAACAGTTATTAAAACAGACTGTGCTATTAAGACAGAGCATAACATTTGTGCATAAATATTGCAGACACGATTTATAGATTTATCTGTGTTGTTACATAAAAGCTTTGCCTCCTATCTAATTCAGTTATGCTCCTTGAAACCAATGAAGTGTATTAGCATCTCCTTGTTGATGAAAAAATCATGTTTCTTTTCCATCATTCTCTGCAATAAAGCTAGAAAGTTTATCTCATTCTACTGCTATTATCGCATTATACTGATGACAAAATTAAATGCATACTGTACATAGTACACACTGAGAAAACAACATAAATATAAATCAGTCAAAGGACAACTTGATTCAGAATGGTGAAAAGCAATCAGGACCCCTGTGGATCAACTGAAAATAATTCAGAGGTTATAGCTGGATAATGTTTTATTAGCATGCATCAAGAAGACACCCTTTCAGACCGGAGTTGTGATGTGTGCACCAAGTATGTAAGTGGCAGAATATATCTGACATTGCGCTGAATTTCATCACTTGCTCGCCTTAACATACTTACACATAAAAGCCATATTTAGAATGAAGGGCTTTGTTGAGCTAACATCATGCTGATAATAGTAGCCAGAAACTTACTTATTGCTATAGAAAGTAGAATTCTCTCGTCTCTTTGTGAAGCCAATCGGTAAAGTTTGCAAGCAGATCTTGCATCTTCGAGCTCGGTTTCTCAGAAAATTTACCTGATGAGAGATGCAGGGTTTTCAAATGCAAGGATAAGAATTGCTTTAAAAGGAGAACTACTTTAAAGAATTATTTTGAGAAATTGCGGTTTAGCACTACTAGGCCAAGCTTCACATGTTCAAGACCCAGAAACTAAGAGAATCGTGGAATCTTTTGCTTTCATTGAATTTGTCATGTCTAAATCTTGTTTCAATAAACCACAGTGAAGATTAAGCTTAAATTTTAGTCACTAAAGCAGAAAAACCTTCTAACCTCCTCATGACCCAACTATAAAACACAGGAGTGCAAAATTTGCTCTTACAAACTTACTTTTCTAAAAGTAAACCATAATTGAATGTTAGGTTGAAAGCAGATGTATCACGTTTCACAGAATAGATGAGATGTTCAAACCATTTCTATATGGGGCTCTAAGGCAGGGGTGTCAAACTGCCAGCCTGTGGGCCAGATGCATCATAGCGAAACCGCGCCCATCCCATTGCCGGCAACGGCAAAAAAGTCACGATACGTTGTGACACGTCACGTGATGTTGCGAGTTTGATACCCTTGCTCTAAGGCTTTGCCTTCACTATGAGGGACTTATTCACTAAAGGTTAGCAAGACTGAAAATATATCCAACAGCAACAATTCTCAAAGTCCTATCTTGTAGAATTGACTGCTCAAAAATGATTGAATTTATCTAGAGTATATGCTTTATTATCTCAGTAACAGGCTGTGCAAATCCTTTGGAAGAAATGCTTCAGAAAAAACAGGGATGGGTACACAGTAGCTCTTTTCAATCATTCAAGGAGGACCATTTTGCAGGTGGTTTCAGCAGCTTCTCCAGCTGGCTCTGCATGTGTGCATTTCACACAGCAGAAATAACAGGAAGCAGCTTCTAAAGCAGCTGTGCAAGCCTGGAAAAAGAAGTGGCTACTTTAATAAGCCAAAAAGAAGGAGTTTATATGTGTTCCCAAATGTTCTGAAACAACTCTTTCAAAAGATTTGCATAGCTCTACTCAGTAAAATAACTCCTTTTCATAAAACTGTCACTTGATTTTATTTATTTATGCCTTCATTTAATTTTTAAATGGCATACATAAAGAAGGCATTGACTGTTCTATACAAATGAATGCGCCTTCAAAAGCATACAATTCTGCAGTGCTACATTAGATGAAACTTAACAGAACTTAAATTCTGTGTTAACATCGCATGAAATTATATTGGATAAAATTATATGAGATCTATGTTTATATACTAATATTCAGTACCAGAAACGATAATCTTTTAACCTTAACACGTATTTACAAGTTGTCTCTTTATATTGATGTTTCTCAATTTTAGCAATATTAAGATGTGTGGACTTCAAATCCCAGAATTCCTTAACAATGCTCTAAAGATTTTCAATGTCACACTTAAATCTAATTCTTGCATATAAAAATAAGTCACAAATCCACAGTAAAGTCACATATATGAAAAACAAGCTCTTTCGCAAAACGGCTCCTTTGGGGAGAGTCTGTATATTCTTATGCACAAATAGCTGCCAGCAATTGGCATGTTCAGTCATAAAATGCTTATTTAACCAAATACAAAGAAATGAAGCTGCTCCTTTCCATCTTATCAATTGTTGTGGAATCTTTCTACTGCTCTTGAGATGTGGGAGCACTTCTAATGAATCATTGGTTTACAGTCATTAATTATATTTTAATTGTGAAAGTGCTTAAGTCGCATATGGAAATAAATATGCAAGAAATTTGTACTTTCAAACTTGCCTTACATCTATAGAATATCAAAAATCAGATGAGGCAGAGCTCCTAGAATACATTAAAAGAAACATCTATAGGCATTCACATGCTTACAGGGTGCTTGCAAAGCATAGCAAGTCTCCTACACAAATCAAAAGCAAACCCTTGAAAACCTATTGCTATATTACCTCTCTAGTTATTTCTTGCAATTCTAAATGAGAAATTTCCACTTTGCTAGCCGTTATTCCCTTAAGCTGTCTTTATTCAGCAAAACCAAATAGTGTCAGCACTGCTTACAAATAGATGCTTCCAAGTGAAACCAAACAGCTTAACCATTTTCCTTTCTACATTCACTCAACCTAATCATTCTGCAGACACACTTCCTGCTTCTACCAGCAGCAATTATCAAAGGGGGGGGGGGAAAGGTGGAAAAACACATCTTTCAAACAATAAAATGGAAGATTCTTCCGTGGGACAATGCTCCCTGCAAAATTCTTGTGTATCACTTGTTTTATGCAGAATATAGGCTTATTTAGACCTGGAGGAATGTTGTCCATGGGGTCGCGATGGGTCGGACACGACTTCGCAATTAACAACAACAGGCTTATTTATAGCTCTAGAAAACGGGTGTCAAACTCGCCGTGTCACGTGACGTGTTGCAACGTATTGCGACTTTTTTCACATTGCCAGAGCTGGGGTGGGTGCGGCCTCCACATGATGCAACCAACCCATGGGCCAGCAGTTTGACACCCCTGCTCTAGAATTTTACCACTGAATGGCAAACATGGAGAAATGGTCTTCATTTTGAAGTGTCTTAGCTCCTCTGAGGGCATTTTAGTAATCTCTGTGATTTATCTTTGTCCTTTTTTCTTTCCTTTCTATTTCCTTCAAACTTAACAAAGATAACAGCAGGGGCTTCCATGCAGGGATATATGCATTCCTGTTCAAAGTTACAATCAACCTGAATAATTTATGAGACTTATATACCGCTTTAAGTGCAAGCACTCTCTAAGCGGTGTACACCAGTAAGCAATGTATAATATATATTTTACATTGCCCCCAACAATCTGGGTCCTCATTTTACCTACCCCGGAAGGATGGAAGGCTGAGTCAACCTTGAGCCGGTGAGATTTGAACCGCTGACCTGCTGAACACAGTCAGCTAAAGTGGCCTGCAGTACTGCACTCTAACTGCTGCGCCACCTCGGATCTTTTAGAGGACTTATAATCTGGATTTGAAGTTCCAAAAGTCAGGGCCCCTCCATAGTCATGGGTCTAAACTTTTGTTTTCAAAGCTTGGAAAAAATGATGATATATAAAATAACCAAACAAAAACAATATGGCATACTGAGTAGTATTCTCCCAACTGCTGGGTTGCCAATATGGACACAGTTGCAATATTTTAATTAAGAATTACCACAGTACAACAATTATTTTCCTGAGGTTAAAGAGGTACTAAACTCAGTTTAGATTAACATCTTTTTCTTCTAACAGTATCTGTATCTCAAAACTTCCTCACAACAATCTTCAAATGTTGTTCAGTGTATCCATTTCAAGGTAACCTTGAATATAATGTGATCTTCCATGCTTATCTTTTCATTATTTACATTCCCAATCTTTTTTTCTAGTTGAAAAAAAATGTAAAACATTTAATTTCTTTAGAATATTTACAAATCGATTGCTTTTGGGTTTATGAGAAATAGTATCTCGAGCAGCTCGGTCAGTCATTCTTCCCACGTCTTCTAGAAATCGATAATCTGAAGAAGAAAAACAAGGAAAAAGGCAAGGAGACATTTTACTGAAATAAAAGTGATGCTGATATGTAAAAATATAAAGAACCACATATAAGTAGTGTCTTTAGCATTAAAATATTCAGTATGTATAAGAATGTATACCAGAACCAGAAGCAATTAAGATTTTGCAATACCTTTTAAGTAAAACTATTATTATTTTCAAAGTCAGAAAACTTCAGAGAAGGAGGGTACACTGTTGTTGTTTTTCTTACTCAAACATGCTTTTTTTCTGGAATCATAAAGTTATCATACAACCCCAGGAGAAGAGAAATTTCTTTATGGAGAAGCTGGGATTTCATATTTTATTCTGATTTTTTAAAAATTCTCTATGCTGTTTTGATGGTATTAGTGTATGCTAGATCTGACTAGTCACTGACTGCAAATAAATTTTACTATTATTATTGCTGAGAAGTGCAGTTCCATTCCTGTTTTTCAAGAATTTTTTCAAGCTTTGGAATCTGCGAAATTTTAAATACTTCTATATGTGCTAGGATTAGATTTCTTTTAAGAAATATACTTACATTGCCTCATTCTCAGTCCAAAATATTCTCAACCTATCTTTGTGTTCTATCCGACATACTATTGTGTTTGTTTTAGGATACTCGGACAAACTACACTGCTAGTATAGTAAAAAGGAGCTTACTACTGGCACAGTAGCAAGAGTTTACCAAAAAAAAAAAAAAAAAAAAAAAAAATTATAATTCTATTTTTTTAAAAAAAATAAACAACTATATAGCACACTGCACTAGTGTAGATCATTGCTTATCCCAAGCCCTAGAGTACTTTGAGTATTTTTATTGGACTAATATTCTTACCACTTAGAAGAGTTAAGTTGCTGAACTCATTCACTGAAACAAAGGCTGCTTTTTCTCTGATTCCATTACAGCTGTATAAAGCTTTATGTTTTTTTACACAAGCCAAACTGAAAGCACAAAAGCAAAGAAACACTGTTATTTTATTTTCAGTACCTAAGATAAAAAAAAAAAAGGTCTTTGGTTTATACCTACCTGCATGAATATTTCATACATCGAGGGCATCTGTATTTTGCTGCTTCTGTATTACAGAGTTCACATCTAAAAAATTGAAATTTGAGATGCTACATGTACACGTAAACAGCACAGAGAAAAGTCTCCACACAAGGGAATTTTGGAAAAGACAAACTAGTGAAGAAAAATTATCAGAATTTTTCACTTTTGTTCAAGTGCAAACTCCCATTGGCAGCCTTGGCTATCTCCCCAAAACTGATTTATTACAAATTAATAAACTATGTCGGGATGTCTTTGCTGTAACAGCATTCCACTGCATTTCCTGCAAAAGATGTTAAAATATTGTTACTGATAATCTGAGCCCCTTGAAGCTTCTAATGAGAATCGACACAACAGGGTCTTACATCCTGTTAATGGCCACTCTCAGGATTCTGGCTTATCGTTTGTCAGCAGCATCCTGGTAAATGCTGCTTTATCATTTCTTGCCAGTAGAAGCAGTTAAACAATGGAAATTCTTTTCCATGCTTTGTTTAGCCTGAAATGTAACTGAGTAACTTGGACTGGTGCCCCATCAGCTAGAGATGATGCATCAGAGTTCCAACTGGCACATCATACTAAATTAGAAATACACAACCTGAACACTAGCAATTTGTGATCTGATCTACAATCAGCTCCTGGCTGGGTCTTTGCTCTTGTAATTGATGGCACACCGATATTAAATAAAAAAATCAAATCCTAATGGTGGGTTTCTATACCATATGAAGTCAAACAGTGACAATATGTGAGCCTAGGCAATGAGACGCCACTATTCTAAAAATGTGTTTTCTTTTTAAATCACCAAACTGACATAGTTTTGGGTCTTTCTGTTTCACACTGTTACCACATCTATTAAAAAAATCAATTCCTAGATGGCTACATAGAGGTACAGAATAATTTCTTGGGGCCATGTAAGTTTTCCAGTTTTTGCAGCCCAGATATGGTAGCCTTTTCCCTCCTTGTTATGTATATGTCATCATGTGAAGATCACCTGAAGTGTTAATACCATTTTATAATGCCTTGGTAAAGCTACACTTGGAAGACTGCATCCAATTTTGGTCACCACGGTGTAAAAAAGATGTTGAGACTCTAGAAAGAGTACAGAGAAGAGCAACAAAGATGATTACAGGACTGGAGGCTAAAACATATGAAGAACAGTTGCTGGAATTGGGTATGTCTAGTTTAATGAAGAGAAGGACCAGGGAAAACTGTGACTGAATCTGGATGTTTTGCTTCAGATAGCACGAAGCCTCCTCCCAGAAGGTAACAAGGAACAAGCAGCTAAACAAATCTTTTGGAGCAAAATAAGCCTGATCACAAGGCATACCCTTTCTTTTATACATTGCTTTATGAATAAAATCAGAGCATGATGAACTTGTTTATATGGAACTAACTCAATTTTTAGTTTTAACTGCTGTGGAATTTTTTCTTTCAAAAAGGCCAAGTGTCAGGTTGCTGACTTAGCATTTTCCGAATTGTGCTTTAAACCTAGGTCAAACTGATCCCGACATAATTTAATACAGTAAATTCTGAGAAACCATTTATAGATACAGGGAGAACAGGCCTTTTTCAGGTTTGTCACTATAGAAGTAGCGATAGTTCTAAAGAAGTCCTGTTCTCCTTCATATCTATAAATGAATTACTAGTTGTATCTGCAATTCTCACTTGTTTTAAGATAAAAGCCTAAAATAATGCTAAGAAATATTTGTGAAAAGTATAAGAGCTTCAGTAGAGCAAAGATACCTTGATGAGAAATAATGCAAAGTAAGCAGAATTTTGTAAAAAAAAAAAAGTATGATATTTTTGCTTTTTAACTGTGTTACATCTAATATTTATTTATTTTATTTTTATATATATATATATATATATATTTATCCTTATAGTGCAAATGTATTGGGATTTTTCACCCAAAAAATGAGTAAATGATGATGTGGTGAGAGGGAGCTCAAGGTGTTACATGAACTGGGTTCAAAGATCATAGATTTCCCAGCTCTGAAATTTAATTTCGATTTCTGTTCAATGATTTCCGAAGTAGATTGGCTGATATTTTTTTCAGAACATTTCTAAAATTTATACCGCAGCCATGACAACTCCAATGATGTTTACACAAACATATTCAATAAAATAAATGTATGTACAGTATCCAAAGTGAATCCAAAAGAGATGTTTGCCTGTCATATACACAACGAAGCCAACAAGTCGTCTTTGAGCTGAGCACACATATTGTTCTTCTATTTGTTCATATCTTTTTAGGAGCATTTGAGATATGCAAAAATTCAAGTCAATGTTAGATGTAAAAGTACAGCTCCAAAGTACAATAGTCCAAATTAATACAAAAATAATGTGAAATTGTGCCAAGCTTGTGTCAAGCATCCTTCCCAATCAACATTGTCCACAGGTTTGTCATTTGCAAATGTAATTCTGTAATACCAGCAGAAGATCGCTGAAAAAAATGTCAATACTCATAAACCATTCATTATTTTTCACTTGGTCTACTCTGCAGACAGCTATAGTCACCTAAACCTTTGCATACCAAATTTGAATGTTGGAAAATGTTTTATTTCAAAAATCTCTTACATTTTATATATTTATTTATTCTTTTTTTCAGACATAAACCACTTGACTCTGGGCTGCTTACAATTCTAAAATTACAAACCAATGAAAAAAACATTTAAACCCTAAAAGCACCCATAAAATAAATAAGTACAAATAGTAGCTGTGATGATCAGTCAACTAATAATAAAGACAAATACAGGTGGTCCATGACTTACGACCACAATTGAGCCCAAAATTTCTGTGGCTAAGTGAGACATTTGTTAAGTGAGTGTTGCCCTATTTTATGAATTTTAATTCTACAACTGTTGAACGAAACACTGCAGTTGTTAAGTTAGTAACATGGTTGTTAAGTGAATCTGGCTTCCCCATTGACTTTGCTTTCAGAAGGTCACAGAAAAAAGAGAACACATGACCTCAGGACACTGCAACAGTCGTAAATGAGTCAATTGCTGAGTATCTGGTGCAGTCTCTTCTTAAAAACTTCCAGTGTTGGAGCATTTACTGCTTCTGGAGGCAAGCTGTTCCACTGATTAATTGTTCTCACTGTCAGGAAGTTTCTCCTTAGTTCTAGGTTGCTTCTCTCCTTGATTAGTTTCCACCAGTTGCTTCTTGTCCTGCCTTCAGGTGCTTTGGAAAATAGCTTAAGTCCCTCTTCTTTATGGCAGCCCCTGAGATATTGGAATACTGCTATCATGTCCCCCCTTGTCCTTCTCTTCGTTAAACTAGACATACCCAATTCTCGCAACCGGTCCTTATATGTTTTAGCCTCCAGTCCCCTAATCATCTTTGTTGCTCGTCTCTGTACTCTTTCTAGAGTCTCAACATCTTTTTTACATCGTGGTGACCAAAACTGGATGCAGTATTCCAAGTGTGGCCTTACCAAGGCATTGAAGAGTGGTATTAATACTTGCCATTTGTCCGAAATGGTGTAGGGTTTCCTGCCCGAGCAGGGGGTTGGACTAGATGACCTCCAAGGTCCCTTCCAACTTTACTACTATTATTATTATTATTAAAAGGATGCTGCAAAGATCAAAACTGTGGAAAACGGTCATAAATCACTTTTTTAAAGTGCTATTGTAAATTTCAAGGGTCACTAAATGAATTGTTGTAAGTCGAGGACTACCTTACATAGCCAAGTTTTTAAAGCTTTGTGAAAGGCCAATAGGGTCATTCTATTCAAATATTCTAAGTGAATAACTTAAAGGTTTAATCAGTGGTGGGATTCAGCTAGTTCACACCGGTTCGGCAGAACCAGTAGCTAATTTGTTGTTGACTTTGGCAAAGCGGCTGAAGCCTTAGTCCTTTTTTGCAAGGGCCAGGTTGGACCGCCGGAAGTGCACGGATGCCAGTTCCGGAAGTCTGTTCCGAGCCTCGGAGGCCTGGGAGAGGCCTCCCAAGCCCAGAATGGCCCACCAGAAGTCCATTCTGAGCCTTGGAGGTCCAGGCCCAGAATGGATTTCTGGAAGCGATGTCCACGCAGAGAACCGGTTGTTCAGGTATTTGAATCCCACCACTGGGTTTAATCCAACTAGCACAATTATTTGACTCCAATATTAAAGTGTCTCTTGAGGAATTCTACACTTAAATTGGGCAGCAAAAATTCTTGCACTGCATCATGTTCAGTTCCTCTCAAATGTTTCCATATAGTTTACCCCCTTCAGCTTCTTATATTTAACTGGCAATTTGCTTTGGATATTGTCCTGTTTATATAAAGTGTATACAGCACACTTTACAACTTACACCTCGACTTATAACCACAATTAAGCCCAAAATTTCTGTTGCTAAGCGAGACATTTGTTAAGTGAATGTTGTCCCATTTTATGATCTTTCTTGCCACAGTTAAGTGAATCACTGGAGTTAAATTAGTAACACGATTCTTAAGTGAATCTAATTTCCCCATTGACTTTGCTTGGCAGAAGGTTGCAAATGGGGATCACGTGACCCCAGGACACTGCAACCATCATATACATGAACTGGTTGCCAAGCATCTGAATTTTGATCATGTGACCATGGGGATGCTGCAAAGGTCAAAAGTATGAAAAATTCATTTTTTTCCAGTGCTGTTGTAACTTTGAATGGTCACTAAAATAAACTGTTGTAAGTTGAGGACTGCCTGTGCTTAATATTCAAAGAAATCCCCACACCACGTTTTTGTGCTTCTACCTATTCCCCTTCCCCACCTCCCAAGATTATTCAAATAGAGAATGCGTGTGGACAAAAATGTCTTTTAAAAGGGAGAAAATCCTATATGTCAGTGGTGAGTAAAATTTAAATCCACAGGAACACTTTTTGAACTAGAAGACCTCCAAGGCCCCTTCCAACTGTTATTCTGAAAGAAATGATACCTAACAATTAGACACAAATGACCTTCAACTACAGCTGACAAGCACCAGCACTGACTGATGCCCTATCTTTCATTTCCATTTCAGCAATATAGGCAACACAGATAGTCCTCGACTTAGGATCACAACTGGAGCCCAAACTTTCCATTACCAAGCAAAATATTTGTGAAGTGAACTTTGCTCCCTCTTGCGACCTCTCTTGCCACAGTTGTTAAGTGAATCACTGCAGTTGTTAAGTTAGCAACATGGCTGTTAAGTGAATCTGACTTCCCCATTGACTTTGCTCCTCAGAAAGTTGCAAAAAGATAATGACCCGGGGACAATGCAATTGTCATAAAAGTGAACCAGTTGCCAAACATCTGAATTTTGATCACGTGACCACGTGGATGCTGCAATGGTCATTTAAGTGTGAACAACATAAGTCACTTTTTTCAGTGCGGCTGTAACTTTAAATGGTTATTAAACGAACTGTTGTAAGTCGAAGAAGAGCCAAGGTTGCCTACCTAGGGAACCATTCAAAATAAGACACAACTCCCGCCTCCTACAACCGGCTTATAATAGCAGCAGAGCAACCAATACTAAAAACGGCAGCCCCCACCCCAACGCCAGGCTACAACTCGGCGGTCCACGCGGGAAGCTTAAAGTCACGAGGTTTGTTTCTCCACCCTCCATCGGGATCGTCCCTCGTTTCCGCCTGAAAACCTTGGGCCCCGCCGCTCGCGAAAGGAAACTCGTACAACCGCCCTGTGGCAAAGGAAGAGGTCGGAGAAATTGGAAAAGGAAGCGAGGGCCTACCTCCGCAGCGACATCTTCCGCTGAAGGCTCTCGACCGTCCCGCACGGAAAGGCTCCCGTCGCGGTCGCCATGCTCGGCGCCGCGCTTGCTGCAGCCTAGACTGGCGCGTCAGCTCGTGAGAGCGCGGGACAGCGCCTCCTATTGACCGTGCGGAGAGAAGCAGCGGAAACAAATCCCTGGGAGGCGCCGCACGAGTTTAGAGTCGCTGGGGCGGGCTGAGAGGCTTGGAAATGAGGGTAGATGGATCGTTCCCGGCAGACCCGGGCAGGGAAATGATGGAGGAGTTCCTCTTTTCTTGCTAAGGAATCGGGCAAAAGTGGTGCTGGTGCAATTGGCCATAGGCAGAGTAGACTGCAATGAGGAGTAAATGGTATTGGTAACTGGGGAAAAAAGGAAGGGTCCGTTAACACGTGAAATCTGATTCCTGAGAAGCTTCGGAGCCTGAATGGATCAAAAAGGAAATGAAGCGTTTTAGGTGTTTGGCTTTATTGCTTTGGGCACTCTCGCTGAAATGGGGGCATTCCCTGTGCTAGATGCTAATATTAGTATTTCATTTTTAATGGAGTTGTGGCTCCAAACACAAGCTTCTGGGGACTTAAGATATCTGGTCCAAGGTTTTTTGAGGTCTGCAGTATAAATTTTGTACAACATAAGAGACAACATAGCTTGTCTTGTATTCTGGGCATAGTAATTTAACAACGGAGTGACAATTTATGAGATTATTACATACAGTAAATACATGCCACTTTAGTGTAGTGGGGAAGGTGCTGTGTTAGAAACTTGTGAGTTATAATGCCGCCATAGGTCTGAAAGGCGGTGGTGACCTTGGGCCAGTTTTTTTCAGCCCAACTCACCTAACAGTTATGTAGGGAAAATAGGGGGAAGGAGTATTAAGTATGTTTGTCACCTTGAGTTATAATAATAAAGGATATATATATATATATATATATATATATATATATATATATATATATATATATATATATATATATATAGGAAAATTTGGAAACGAAACGAAAGCTTGGCAGCTTTTAGTAAAGTATATTTTTATAAAGGGAGTTGGAACAAAGGAAGGCATGATAAGCCTACAAACAGTTGCATTTCTTTCTGAGCAAATGTTTTATAATTAGATTTGTAATTTGCAGAGATGCAATGCTTACTATTAAAAATTAGCCACAAGTAAAAACAATTGTGCATATTCTGCATATTGAATAAAGAGAAGATAGTTTTTGTATTTTAAATCTGTTCTAGGCCTCACACTTTTAAAGCAGCAGGCCTTTGTTATAATTTGGAACTATTGTTTGTGGGAGGGCTACTTATGTCAGTTAATGACTTAAGACAGAATTGTCAAATTGCCGACCCGCGCGTCGGATGCATCATGCCAAAACTGTCCCCACCCTATTGCTGACAATGGAAAGAAAGTTGCGATATATCATAACACATCATGTGAGATTGCAAGTTTGACACTCCTGACTTAAGATGTCATAAGAATCCTGAAGCAGTTAAACTATATAGGTGGTCCTCAGTTACGGACTGCAATTGGGACTGGCAACTCTGCCACTAAGTGACACGGTGGTAAAGTGAAACATCCTGAGACTGTGCTAGACTTACAACATCAGTTCTAACTGGTGATGAAGAGAATCATTGCAGGTTATGACTGCAACTTGTGACTTCCTGCTGGCTTTTGCATTGATTGTTTGTGGAAAGCTAGCTGTGATCGCAAATGGTGATCACATGACTATGAGATGCTATGAGCATAGTAAATGTGGGCTGGTTGCCAAGTGCTCAAATCATGATCTGTTCTATCCCAGCCTATTGCCGTCCTTGTTAAAGGCACAAGGACCAAACCCCTGCTGATGCAATAGGCTGGAGACTTTACAACAAAACAAAACTCTTTTAATATGGTTGACAAACCTGTAAAATAGTCCAAAACACAAACAGCAAAACTCAAGTCCAAAGGAAACACGATGCAAACATAAGAAGTCACAAGCAAGATGAACAGACCAGGATTCCAAGAAGCACTTTGCAAACGGTTGCCTTCAGCAACCAGCACCACCCACATCTCCCTTTATTCAGCAGTCCCAAGGCGTTGCCTCTTATTGCCTTTTCTTTTTACTCTGGAGGTGCCTCATTGACTGTTGATTTACTCTTGCTAATTGACGATGTGTGCTGGTGTCAATTAGCAAGTCCATGAGGTGTGGGTCTTCCGGGTCTGACTCATGCTCCACACACAGCTGAGCTTCATCAGGAACACGACTGGAGGGCCTAGACTCTGCATCAAACTGTGAGTCCTGTAATTCATCAGAGCCTCTCTCTGCCCCTGATGGCCCTTCAAATGCCTCCTCCACCTCTTCCTCAGATTCCTCGGACTCAGCTGTTGTGAGCACAGGCTGGCACAGAATCACAACATGATCATGTGACGGGAACACTGCAAGGGACACAACTTCAAATAATGGTCTAAACTCTAAAGTCTGCTTTTTCAGTGCCCTTGTAACTTCACAATCAATGAGTGGTTGGTGAGGACCACCTTTAGGTCAGTCCTGGATCACCCTCTCTGTACAGGGTGGTAAGAAGGACCATGTTCCAGAGACACTTTTATTAATTCTCTGCAGCTGACTTCAGCTGTTCCTGTTGTAGCAGTGCAAGGAAAGGATAGGGTTGGAGGAGAGGATTACTTTTATTGGTTCGTTCTATTGAACCCACACATAATTTCTTTTTGCAATAAATATATATAAGTGGTCAGAAATCACTAAGGTGTTAATGATATTGGTTAAGGAAAGGCAAATTAATGGCAAATCACTATTTACTGAATTTCTGGACTTCTCTTATCCCAGATAATTTAAATGATGGATGGATGTTAAAGAAAGTATTTTAAAAGTATGGTGTTCCTTATAATTTTTATATACAAAAAGTCCTTGGCAAAGCTCTGGAATGAAAAATAAAATAACTACAGCATTTTCTCCTTGACCGCACTGAAAGCTGCTTGAAATATTGTCCTAGATAAGAATTATTTTGGGGAAAAACTTCAGCCACAGACCTAATTATTTCTTGAGATGGGAGACCTCCAGGAGTACACTGAGAAACTGGAAAAACATCTTGGCAACAGTAATAACATACTATATCTGTATGACGGAGCCCAGGGTGCATTCTGTTTGCTTGGAGAAGTTCCATTACCAGATTAGGTACTAGTGCTAGTGAATTTGGGGCTTACTCCGTTTATATACAGTAGCTTGCCCTGCCAATGTTGGTGGGTGTGGTGTATTGTTGCCAGAAAAACAGTATGTTTGTAGCCATGAAGTCAATAACCAAACTCAACAGGAAGAATAACTAACAGAATTGGAAGGGACCTTGGAGGTCTTCTAGTCCAACTCCCCCCCCCCGCTCAAGCAAGAAACCACACCATCACCACCACTGCCATCATCGTTACTGTTTGGTGTTTCAGAATGATCTAATGCCAGTTACGGTTTCAGAGCAACATGTGAACGTGTGAAATAATGTCATTCACCAACTGAGGAACCATTACATCCAAGGATGTAACGTTCTTGGTATAGCTGCAGAACAATTATTTTCAGATTCGGATACCTATGAAGTAATACGACTTGGTTCCATCTTATCTCTTAACTTTAAACATGGTAATAACAAAACAAGCATTTCTGAGTATTTAGAGCAGTGGTTCTCAACCTTTCTAATGCCATGACCCCATAATACAGTTCCCCATGTTGTGGTGACCCCCAAGTGGGTGTGGCCACCAATAAGGGAGTAGGACAGCTAGGGAAAAGGGAAAAAAATGGCGGACAGCGTGGTTTGGCGACCCCCGTGAAATGGTCATTCGACCCCAAATGGGGTCCCGACCCACAGGTTGAGAACCACTGATTTAGAGGGTAAGATTTTTTTCTGCAACAAGAAACTTAACTATTATTATAAATAACTCATATTTTACAAATCACCAAAGTCTTATGATAAATGAAAATTAAGAACATACTTGGCTAGTAAGAGGTAAAAAAGGGTTACTCTATAAAAGTTTGATATTTAAAAGTATAACAAATGTTAACTTTTTGATTCTGAATCATCCATATATAGCAGGACTAGTCAACTTATGCTGTTTCCCTGCAACTAGTCCCTATGGATCCAATAATGATATAGCAGTTGCTCTAGATTTGCAAGCATTCAGGCTGCATATAGTAGGAGTGCACCTATGAATTCATGGGTAAAAATGACGTCTGAAAAACTAGTATATTAGAGAAAACTGGTGTAAAGATGTATTTCCTTTCTGTGGTCAAAAATATGTTTTAAACCTTTATCTTTCTCACTGCTTAAAGTTATATATTCTAGATTTTATTCTGCTGGCCATTACTATTTAGTGAGTTGTTTCAGATTCAAACTGCAAATAAACTTATTTAAATGGATAATGACATACTAAATTAATCTATCCCACCCCAAGCCATCCCATCTAAAAGGAAGCAAAATTGTCATGTTTTCTTTGAAGGGAAGTACCGTATATGCCGCCGTATTAGGCGACCCGGCATATAAGATGACCCCCGTCTTTATAGCCGGGCCGCATTCCTAGAACGTCTTATACGCCGGAAACTACCAGTATTTCCGGCGTATAAGACGACTCGGCGTATAAGACGACCCCCGTCTTTGGCGCCAATTTCAGCGCTCGCGGAAGTCGTCTTATACGCCGGCATTTACGGTATTAAAGTATCTGATATTCATTTAAAAATTGTTATAAAACATTTGTGAGAAATTAATAAACTTATGAAGATAAACAATTTTGGCACAAAAGCACAACATTTTCAAAGTGACTTATTTAAGAGTATAATTTAATAGCCATTTAAATATATGCTGTATTAAGATTTTCAACAGTTACAAAATATTTACACAAGATATAATTATAGATTGCCCTGGAAAGTTAACATCTTTAAAATCATTGTATGTAGTCATTCTACAAGTACAAAATTCTGTTCTTTTTATAAGCACCAGATAGGTCTGTCCCATCCATTTCATGTTACAGACAGAAATATTTTCAAAACAAGATTTTCACATAAATAATGTTTTCAGTTATCATGAAAAATGTGACCAAATATTTTTAAGACACAATTTTACAATGAAAAGTTGCTTTGATGTAACCAGCACATACAGCCTAAAAAAAGCAAAGGAAAAAAAATAACACTTTATGTTATATATGGAGCGCCAGGCCACACAAACAGGAAACACAAAAGAGGTAGTGGATCATCTGTGAAGATGTTTGTATCCGAAAAGGACCATCATACAACTAAAGTGTTTAAGGGATTTTTATGGCGGCGTAACTCATTGTCAGTATAACATAAGCTATTGCACATTTGGGAGCATAAACCATACTCCTTTTTACTGCATTCTTCCATCTTTTAAGGTGTCATGGACAGTGCTGTTAATAAAATCAAGAAGAATTTCCATATATGTATATTCTTTGGTTCAGAGAATATCATAAAAAGCACCAACCAAAAATTAAATATTTTATTAATATTGTCAAAAGTTTCTTTCTGAAACCATTTCTCCTTCATAGGAGGAAGTCTTTTTCTTCCTGAGATTCTTTAAGAAATCACCAGCATGTTGCTGTACAATTCTTCCACAGTTTTATAATTATTTCTTGTGTCCTGCATATGGCGTTAGGAGGAGGTTTATTCAAAATCTTAGAGAAAGCACACAAAGCCACTTTCTATGTATCGCTGTTGTCCTTGTTTGAGATGAGAAAATGGATGAACCTGAAGAACTGGTAGTTGATTGGTGTCTTGAGTGTGGAAAAAAAATTGAGTCTTATGCCAGTTGCCATCTTGAATCTGCAATAAAAGAAAAGTAATGAAAACTTAAAATCATGCAATATTTTAATTCTGTACAATCTTTACAGAGAAAATCAAGAAAGAAGCAATAGTTATCACCAAGGATATGTAGATGTTCCATGCACAATTATGTGCATAAACAACTATTTTGGAGAGAGTGTTTTAACAAAATATCTATTTTAGATGTTTTTATCTCATCTGAAAATAAGACTTTTCATTTAGTTACAAACTAAAAAGTGGTTGTTCCAGGAAAAAAATGGATGAGGGAAAATAATTGGACAAAGCCAAGGACATAACAGAGGCAGGGAAGTGCATGTTATAGGAAAGCTAGTAGAATATTTTGTTTAAGGACATCAGCAGCAATCATGGCTGAAGGAAAAGAGGGACTGGAGGGATATGGAAATGCTGAAAGGAGAATATAAGATACTTGCCTTTCTTGATCCATCATATAGGAATTGCTCGGAATATTGTTTCATGTGAAATCTAACACAACCAAAAACTTCAGGATTTTGGAAATGGCTCAGCAGAACTTCACAAGCAATATATGGTATTCTGCTTTCTTGCACCAGCTCAAGACAATAAAAGCATCTGTCTAAGCACTGAACAGCCAAAAACCTGGCTAAAATTCATCAAAATGGCTGCATCATTTCTCTTCAGATCATTTTGCTTCTATTAATCAGTTTATTATACTTTGGGGAAACTACAACAAGATTGTGAAATGTTCTTTTATACCATGTTGTATAGTATAATACCAACATTTTGATGGCTGGGGTCCCTGTTTAAAATTTTAGAGGAGGTCACACTACAGGTAGTCCTTGACTTACGCTCACAATTGAGCCTAAAATTTATGTTGCTAAGTGAGACATTTGTTAAGTGAGTTTTGCCCCATTTTATGACTTTTCTAGCCACAGTTGTTAAGTGAATCACTGCAGATATCAAGTTGGTAACACGGTTGTTAAGTGAATCTGGCTTCCCAATTCACTTTGCTTGTCAGAAGGTCACAAAAGAGGATCGTGTGATGCTGGGACACTGCAACTGTCATAAATGTGAGACATCTGCCAGTGTGTGAAGTTTGATCACATGGCCATGGCAATGCAGCGGTCCTAAGTATGAAAAATGGTATAAATCACTTTTTTCAGTGCCTTAACTTTGAACGGTCACTAAATGAACTGTTGTAATTTGAGGACTACTGGTATATGGAGGAATTAAAAATACGGGGCGAAGAGGTTGTTGCAAAGTTTTAAAAGGGGAAACTGAGATTTCCCTTACTATTTAATAGAATCTTATTTAGTAGAGGCATTTCAGTGTAATGTTTAAACTAGAACCAGCCTAGATACTGGGAATCCATGAATGCCAGTCCTGGGTTGGCATGAAGCCAGCTGGGTGAGTTTGGGCAATCACTTTCAGCTCTAGAAAGAAAGCAGTGGCAGACCCCTTCTGAAAATTGCATGCACTGATGGTTCAGGTATTTGCCAGGAAGCAAAACTGATCTGCAGGCACTACCACTATCAATAAAAAAAAACCTTATTATACACCACCCTTTTCATTTGTTTCCTGTAATCTCCAATTTCTAGAAATTACGGTCAAAGGATGTTCTTTATAAACAGTATGCTAAGCTACTTGGAAGAACAGTGGAATATAAATGTAATAAATAAATATAATTGCTATCGGAAAACTAAGTATTGGAAGAAAAATACTTATTTCTACTTCATTTACTTCTATTTCCACTTCCACTGCATAGCTTTCTGTTCTTTTTGGGTTTGTCATCCTGCCATCTACACTGTACCTGCAAACTGAGATTTGTAAGATTTACAACAAAAAAAAAGTATTTGGAGTACAACTTTTTGTTCATAAACCAGAGGTGATTTGATACTCATTGGAAAAAATGAGCTCTTCCAAGTATCCATGAATAGTCATGAGCATTTTAATTTAAAACCCAACAACTTTCATTTTTAAACCATTATTTTATGATTGTCTTTATCTTGGGTATATACACAACAGCAATAGGCGTTCATGGCAATTATAAATTTGGGCAGAAAAATTTATGGGCTAGTATAAAAGAATCAGATCTGCATGCTTGCTCATTTGTTCTTGTGCCAACGTCTACAAATTTTTTGACTAATAGAAAATGGAGTCCTAATGTTGTATCTTGCACATTGGAATAGATGTGTCAAACACGGGCTGCAAAAGTTAAGCTCGCAAGGATATAGCACGTTAGGCTTCTGTTTAAGAATATCTACATTACTTAAGGGAATAAAAATAAATAATAATGATTATAGATTGAGAGCTTTTGCAGATGATTTGGTTTTAACTTTACAACAACCGATTCAATCGGTTAGTCATCTATTGGAACTTATAACTCAATATGGAAAAGATTCTGGTTTTAAAGTTAATAACAATAAGACTAAGGTATTATCTAAGAATATGACTGAGAAGGATAATGAAATTTTAGTTAGACTTACAGGTTTTCAGATAGTGAAGAAGGTTAAATATTTGGGAGTGTTTATAACTGCTTCTAATGGAAAATTATATAAGAATAATTATGGAGTATTATGGACAAAAGTACAAAAGGATTTAAATGATTGGAAAAAATTGCAACTGTCGTTGTTGGGGAGAATATCAGCTGTCAAAATGAATGTTCTACCAAAGTTTCTTTTTTTGTTTCAAATGATACCTATTTTAAAAAAAGATGCTAATTTGGATGAGTGGCAGAAGGGTATCAATAAATTTATATGGTCTGGGAAGAAACCAAGGGTGAAGTTTAAGATTTTGCAAGATGCTCGTGAAAGAAGAGGGCTTTAAGCATCTAATTTGAAATTATATTATGATGCAGCTGCACTAACTTTGATAAGTGACTGGCTTAATTTAATAAATAAAAATATTCTTTCTCTTGAAGGGTGGGATTTATTATATGGTTGGCATGCATACTTAATTTTTAATAAGAAAGTCGATTGGGCTTTTAAATTGCATATTTTAAGAAGTGCCCTACTTTGAGTTTGGAAGAAGTATTATTATAGGTTAAATTATAAAATACCTATTTGGGGGATTCCTGGACATGCAATAGAGGGGATATCAAATGGGATGAATTTTGGAAAAATTTCGTATAAAGAATTACTTATCTGGTCAGGTAATGACTGGCAATTAAAGTCTTTGGATGTATTAAGACAAGAAAACATTTTACAGTCATGGTTTCAATATTTACAAATAGTGGACAGGTGGACTTTAGATAAGAAAGTGGGGATAACATTAGGAGATGAAAATTTGATAATACAGATTAAAGATCAGAACAAGGCTCATATAAAAAGAATTTATAATATCTTAATAGAATTGGACTCGGAAACGGAATTGGTTAAAGATTGTATGGTGAAATGGGCTCAGAATATTCAGGAACCAATCCCATTGGATTTATGGGAGATAATTTGGATTAGAAATGTTAAATTCACACAGGCTCAAAATTTAAGAGAAATTTTTTATAAAATGATTTACAGGTGGCATTTGGATCCTAAAAAGTTATCTTGTATGTATCCTAATTTACAGCCCAAATGTTGGAGATGTGGTAGTTCTGATGCAACTTATTTTCCTATTTGGTGGACTTGCAAAAATATTAAGGCTTTTTGGATTGTGATTCAAAATATTTTTAAAAGGAAGATAAAGTTGATTCCTCAACTATTTTTATTAGGGATTTTTGAGGATTTTGATGTCAAAGAAACTATTTTAATGTTGAATTTAATTACAGCAGAAAGGTTATTGATAGGTCAATATTGGAAGAAAGATTCATTGCCTACATTAGAAGAATGGACATTTAAGGTTTCTAATCTGGCAGAAATGACTAAAATTTCTGCTTATTTAAAGGGTCATACACAAGAAAGATATATTTTGGTATGGAGAAGATGGATAGATTATATTCAGACTAAATATGGAACTGAAAAGTTCCATTTATTTTATGATTTAAAAATAAGTATTATTAATAATATTTTATAAAAAAATTATTATATAATAATTGCTTATAAACTGATTTGTTTATAATATGTTATTAAGGTTTAAAGGGAGTTAAGGGTTAAGTATGATTTTAATTGTTGTATAAATTGTTAAACTTGTTTAGCTTATAATTAATATACTTGTTAACTTAATTAGATTATGTTTAATATGTTTGAAATACCCTGTATTTGGCTCTGGGAAGTGGGGGGGATGGGGGTGGGGGGTTATTGGGCTTATTTTGTAACTGTTAATAAAACTTTTTAAATAAATAAAAAAAAGAATATCCAGATTATAAATCATAGCTAATCTCAGTTTTTATGGATGTTCTAAATTCATCATAATCTATAAACAATTACCGTATTTTTCCATCTATAAGACGTACGTGTATAAGACGTTCTCCGCACCGATCAGCTGTTTGGCGGAGCACCGAACAGCTGAGCCAGCAAATCCGCAAATTCGGCCAGCAGAAGATCTTGCCCCCTCCCCCCTCCCGTTAGTGGCAAGCCCACAGAGGCTTGATACCTGCACCAGGCGGCATGGCAATCCACATACGCATGCCCTAGGCTGTGGAGGTTACCATTACTTTTCCGTGTATAAGATGCACCTGATTTTTGAAGAGGGTGTTTGCAGGAAAAAATAGTGTCTTATATGCGGAAAAATACGGTAACATTTTTGGTTGAATGTTAATAAAATGGAATCCATATTGTTTGTGGACAAAATCCATACATGAGAAAACAGGAAAGTATTCTTTATATTAAGATTTTCAGTAATGACTACAAATAGTTTACCATGCATTCATCCATAAGAACTTTTGGTTCAAGCAGCGTATTTGCTTCAAAAATATCACCATTCCATCCTTTGAAGATCAGGGAAGGTTTCTGATCATGTAGTTCATTAGTTTTCCACACTGGGGTATTTAGGCAGTGAACTGTAATAGTGTGGGTTGCTTCTGAACTAAGTAAATGAAGGAAGTTCATCTGTACTTTTCCAATGTTAAATTCCAACTGTTTAACAAAAGTAAACATTATTAGAGAAAATACGGTGGTAGTTCATAACCACAAATCATACTGACACTGTTCAGTTTAGATATATTTAATTTATACTTATTCATTAAAATTCCATTGCAATCACAAACTATTGTTATTTAATCTGTTAATTATTCAGGCACCATAAGCATATTCCTTCCTTTTCTCACAAAACCGGATTTACACTATAAATATGAGGAAGAAGGTGACATAATGGGAATGGAAAAAACAACACTGCATACTTTGCTTTTCAAATTGTTGTTTCCATATGGACCTTGTTTAGGACCTTACATTGACATTTGGCTTGAATTTCTAATGGTTCTTCAACTACATAGCAATCCATTTCAGGTCTAGAACAATAGTGAGAATCAGCCTTTTTTTTTTTTAAGGCCATTTTCATCTTGTTTTTTCTCTTTGTTTCCACTAAGTTCACTAAATGTTTTAGGAAATGTGATACAGACACAGGGAACAAAAGAAATTATTAAATAATACTACCACTATACTAGTAATGAATAAGGTTTTGTTCTCCATGTAACCCTAAAGCATGATAAGACCCTAATCTAATCTTGCAAATTTGTAATAATTCTCTGGAAATTATTTTTGAGTAAGACTGTATAGGACTAATGGGTTGTACATCTACATAATTGCTGATCACTATACTATAAATCATTACTTGTCTCTTTTTTCTTTAAATCAGTGGTTCTCAACCTATGGGTCGGGACCCCATTTGGGGTCAATCGACCATTTCACGGGGGTCGCCAAACAACGCAGTCCACCATTTTTTCCCCTTTTCCTTAGCTGTGCTACTCTCTTTTATTCTATTGGCTTTCAAAAGCCAATAGGAATTGTCCAGGCTGTCTCTGCCCTGCTGAGCCTGCCAAAAGTCCCATTCTGCAAACGGTGCTGCACCAGTTGAGTAGTCCTCGACTTACGACCGGTTGGGGGTCGCGGCATTAAAAAGTTGAGAACCACTGCTTTAAACATTCAGCTAAGAACATGTATTTAATTCATGATCAAATATGTTCCATTGCAAGAGGCTGTTATTACATAATTTCCTATGTGTTAGCTGCCTCTACCCATCAAAACTAGGTTTATTTGTTGTGTAAATATGCATGGATATTGCAAAATATGCAAAAGGGAAGATATTTTTAATGATTGGGCAGCCAAATTCCATAGGAAAATTCCAACTCTTATAAATAAATAAAATAGCAGTAAGAATACAAGTATCTGGTTGTTGCAGAAATGATCTACCTTTGTGACAGATACAGATGATAAACATGTCTGGCCACCAGCAGTGAAGTTGCAGAAAACCTCAATAGCATCTGAAGGGCACCCAATATTTGGATCAATCCAATATTTTCCTGTGAGTAAATAAAAGATAGACAAATTCTAAAATACGTTTTTCGCCTGTGGAAACCTAGTTTCGTAAACAGAAAAGGCTTCAGTCTTAAGTTCTCTTCTGCCTTTATGTTTTCAGATTCCAAAAATACAACGGGAGAAAGAAGAGAATTAGAGTTACAGGTAGTCTTTGATAACCAACCACTCATTCAGCGACTAAAGTTGCAATGGTACTGAACAAGGGATACTTAAAACTGGTTCTCAAAATACCAGCCATTGCAATATTCCCACAGTTCCGTGATTGCAATTTGGGCGCTTGGCAACCAGCTCCCACTTACAATGGTTGCAGTGTCCTGTTGTCATGTGATAGTTATTTGCCACCTTCCCTACACTCTTCTCACAACCACAGTAAATGGGGATGCCAGCAGGGAATTTCACAACTTGCTTTGATAAGTTTCCCCACCCCACCTTCCTGCATACCACACCCTCCTTTCTTGATCACTTTGCACTTGGACACACCCACACTCTCCTCCCCTTAATGTCCCTGAATTCACACCCAGATTCTCCTACACCCTGAGCTCACACTCTCACCCTCCTTCCGTTGACCTTCCTGTGTTCGCATGCACCTGTGCACATGTGGGACTCTTGCTGCTTCTTAATGAGCCATGCATGGGTCTTGATGTTTCAAAGGCAACTGGGACAGCCTGGATTGCTGTCGCTAAGCAATGTGATCATGTGACATAGCCCTTTATGACCATAGTGCTTAGTAACGGCCCTTCCTGTTCCAATTTGCTGCTGTAATCCAAGGACTACCTATAACTGTACTGTGGCTCAACTATATCCAATTGAGTTGTGAGAAAAAGATGTAAGGACATTTTTCTTTGTAATTATTATTTCTGTAACTATAGTCAAAGACACCTACAAATACGTCATGTTAATAATGAGAATATTTTTTCTGTGATTTCACAACACTAGCAGAAGAAGTCATACAATTATAGAATTAGAAACTTTGTAGAACAGAAGAGTTTATAAGCAGTATCTTAGGTTCAAGATACTTGAAGTTCAAACCAGCTAGATTATGAAGAAGAATTTATTCACAGAATAAACTTTCATATAAAAATCATGTATAAGCTAGGCAATTTTTGCCATAGCTTCTGAAATAAAATATATGAATCTTATGCACAATAGGCAATTCTATAATAAAAAACCAAGAGTTCAGTAGCTGTGGATCTTTTATATTAAATAATCTCTGAACTCTAGACAGAGCAAAAGCTGTATAAAGTTTAAGAGCTTATTTATTTTATCGGAGACATACCATTGGATACTTTACGTTCGCAGTTGAGCAAATCTCTGCAGATACGTGCTGGATTATCTCGGGTTCCCAGTGGGTTTTTGATGCTATGGAGTAAATTGCTCAGATAATGTAGTGTTTTGAATATTTTGGCACTGTGGTCCAAGAATGTCACTTCAGTGTTCTGATAATTCTGCAAAAGGAAAAAAAATTATTTGCTGAATATGTGTCAGCATAATGCTATGGCTATAAAAAGACAAAATATAATTTTAACTAAACATAACTATAATTTTCTAGATTACCAGAAATAATAATTCCATTTTATGTTGGCAGGCTAGAACACCCTTTTCCCCAAACACACACACAGACACTGCCTCCAGTCCTGGGCACCATGCCTGCAAGCTTCAGACAAACTGGAACAGATTCAAAGAAGAGTAACATAGATGATCAAGGGACTAGAAATTAAGTTTTTATGTGGTGGAAAGAACTGGGAAAGTTAACATTCTTTAATTACATAGTGGGCATCAATCAGTAAGATTAGTATCTGTTTTCTATTACCCTGATGTGCAGTCTATAGAATAATGGAAGTTAAATGACAGGAAACAAATTCTGATTGAATGTTAGAAAAAAAATCTTCTAAATCTGTCAAAGAGCAATTTGACAGTGGAAACAAATATTCAGACTGATGGTAAAATTCCACTTGTTAGATGTGTTCAAGCGCAGCTGGAAAGCTATCTGTCAAGGCTGATTTAATTTGGCTCCCTTCACAGGGAAAGTATGAGGATTGACCTAAGTGATTCCTTCCATTTTTATAATGCTATGATTTTACTATATCATGTTTGGTTCCAATACCTGTTTAATCCTTTTCTATATTAAAAACTAATGCTGTAATATTTCCTTATGAGATGAGGTCATGTCATCTCTCTTTTTTGTTTACACCAGCCTAAATAATTTGGTGTTAAAACACAGTTGCATAATGTCTATAAGCATTTAGGCTAAAAGGCTCAGATACTGTAGCTACATATATCCTTTTCTAGTTTGCCATTCAATGCTTTTCCACATAAAGTAATACAATATTTCAAACTCTGTAGTAAAAGCCTTTAAAATGATGCATATCTTATTCTTGAAATGGTAATTCTAATGTATGTGTGTAATTTATCAGTTTCAACGTGTAAATATTGTTACCTCCATTTCTAAGGCAGCATTTGATTCAATCAAGGCTTGAATAGTGGCACTCATGTCTATTTGTTTCTGCATAAAATCAAAATGTTTCTTATCAGTAACATAACTGTCCAGAAATTCAAAATCAATCACATGGATCTTTCTACAAAATTAAGAACAGTTATTAGATAGGCAAGGACATTAACTGCAAGGGCTCCAGGAAACTGCCTGAGATATCAAAGTGATAAAAAAGGAGTATTTGTATTTCATAAGAATTATTATTTCAAATATAGGATAAGTACAAGAAGTTTATATTTTTTCATAATGATTCGAGTATTGTGATATGCATGCATATAAACATAGCCTAGTTTTATAAAAGTAACACGAAATATGAAAAACAACAAATGGTATCACTAATCAGGGATATATTTTGAACTGGCAGTTGTGTATTGACTGTACATTCCCTTGAATTAAATCAGTCATTTCCAAGAAGATTTGCACATGCTGTTCTACATGTTACCTGTACAACGAGCATAATCTTTTATTATTTATTTATTTATTAAATTTATTTGATACCTATAGCATATCAAAATGACTCTGACCGGTTTTAAGATAATACAAATGGAAGTAGAACTATAGCAGGATTAAATTATTTCCATTTAAATGGTGACTTTAGAGAAAAGGTCAAAGGTTAGGTTTGTATCCTTTAGCTTTATTACCCAGTGATTAAGTTATTCTAATAAATAAATGGAACCTACTCTGGGTCCAGGTCCTCCTGGTGGACCCTAGAAATAAAAGGGAAAAAGAGAGTTCATAGGATTGTACGTTATATAAATTGGGGGTTATACAATATGTCTTTTGATAGTATTTTGATTCCTTACGGGTAGACCTGGGTGACCGCGGGGTCCTTGAGGGCCCTGAGTGAAAAAAAAGAGATGATAAAAATGCCTAAGTAAGGGTAAGATTACTTTAAATTTTCATGTATCACTTTGTAATTAAATGTAATTTAATTCAAGCCTTTAAATAAATGTAAACAGACAAATAGAAGCTATAGTTGTGATTTATACAAAGATTTCGCAATACACTATAGGCCACTTATCTAAGTTCCTGAAAGTATGTACTGTATATTTATAAAGCTATTCTGTACTATTTTTTCAAATCTACAATCCCTTCTAAAAGATGGCAACCCAATAAGACTGGATAAGTAAAATTATTTTATTTTTCATTCCTTGTATACATTTGGAGATCATTTTGAATTGATTAATTAAATTATACCATAGACACAAGCAGCCAGCATTTTGCATAATCCCCAGTCAATTAAAATGTTACTCTAAAACAAATCCATGCATTACACACTTAATTTATTAGCAGTGCATAACTATTGCAACTGTCAGATGCAACTGTCTGCAAATCTGTTTTACATAAGTTAATATTTATTGCCTATAGGAGGACAAATACTTCCCAAATACACAAGCTTCCTAAAAAAATAAATTTGCATTGCTGTTTCGCAATGTCGGACTTGAGTAATTGTGCCATATTTGTACCATGCCACAGTACTTTTTTTTTTCTTCCATTAAATTGTATCCCAATTCTTGGACACCACCTGGACAATTCCCTGTAATTTTCTTAAGTTTTTCAGAAGTGGTTTGTCAATGCCTGTTTTCTAGTGCTGAAAGAATGTGACTAGCCCAAGGTCACCTTGCTGGATTTGTGGCCAAGGTGGGACTAGAACTCCCAATTTCCCAGTCTCTAGCCTAGTGCCTGTATCCACTGCACCAAACTGCCTACATAAACAGATACTTAAAGACATATAAAGAAGCCTCAAAAATGTTGCACAAGTTAAATTAAGTGGTTAGGTTAAATATGTACTGGGTTATAAATAAATAAATAAACCCCCTCGTACATCCATCAGAACTAATTCTTCCATCACCTTCCCCAACCATTCAGCAAAAGTTTTCTGCACCGCTTTAAGTTAAAAAAAAAAAACCTTGTTCAGAAGTAAATAACAACAGGATCTAGGAAAGATGCCAATGGTTTCCCCCACCTTCAGAATAATACAATCAGATGTACTATGGAACTGAATGATTTTTTCTTAATGGTTTTCAACATAAGTGGAAATAAAAAATTCTGCTCTTGTGGAGACTAAACTAATTGGTTTGTGCTGCCAAGAATTTATGTGTAATTCTTCTCTGACAAGTCTCATGCAAAGAATGTCAAGATGGAAGAAAATGTCTAATTGCAATGACCAGAAGATTAAATACTGATGCCGATTTTCTCCTGAAGCTCACTGAAAATACCATTAGCTAGGAGTTTATGTCAGGCTAATTTAATTTAGTTCAGCCGATAAACAACAAAAGTATCTTTAGACACTGAACCATTACAATAAAATGAAATACCTAAAGCTCCAATCCTAAATATGTAGTACAAAGGAAAAAGAACTGACAATAATTGGCTTAAGCTGTAGGACTGTCTGGACTCATCAGGATTAGAAAATAGTATTTATAGGACCAGTGCTTGTTCTGAAAGTTGCTATGAGTCTGAAAATGATTTAAGATTTCTACTTTTCTCTTACATGGGTAAAACATTATTAATAATATCTAATATCTGATAGGAAATCCCTCATGGAAAAAGTGAAAAATGAGCTTGTGATTTGTATGTTTGAAAATTAGAAAGAGTAGTAAATGTAAAGAGGGAAATTATGGTGTGACTTTCTATTTATAAGGACTATCAAAAAGACTGGAACCTGCTTTTACCTTTTCTAAATTTTCTTTTTCCATTTTCTTTCTTTCTTCTTTATATTATTCCTTATATCCTTTGTTTCTTTTTAATATTTGTATTGCTTTTATCGTGTTAAAATTTCTTCAGTAAAAATTATATTAAAACACTAATACATTAAAAGCATGTGGAATTTGCTTTGTTGTCAGCTAATGATCAGCTGCCAACATTTAGAATTGAAGGTGACAGATATGACATATGAAAAATAAGCATTATTTGTCCATAAAAGATATAATAATAAACAGATCTCAATAAAGTTACTTCATCAGGGTTGGCCTAAAATATTTGAATCAGCACCAAGCATGTGCTGCTTTCACACAGATACGCACTCCAAAATTCTTTGCAATGTATTTGTGCATATATTCCAATGATAGCTCACCCTTTGTTCTAAGAGGTTAAGTAGGGATCTTGACTCATTTTATTCCCATAACTTTGAGCTCGCTTGGAGTGAGTATGAGTAATTGGCTACAAATTACCCAGTTAGCTGCATAGTCCAACACCTCCTCTACTGTCCTATATTGGCTTGCAGCACACTGCACACATTTTGATTATTATTAGGGTTTTATTGTTACCCCAGCAAATGGCTTAAGTTTTGTGTACTGTTGGACTACCCTTAATCTTTGGATTGAGTGATTTAAAAATACTGCAATTAGTCACTCAATCAACCATCTTCATTCAGTAAAATTACTGTAGTAAAGGACATAATGGGCATTGAAATTAAAACCAGAAATTTTACTTTTACTTTTTTATGGCTTCAGCGAAGAAACCTGGGAACTGGAAGTTTATGGAGACCAACAAAATTTTCTGTTAGAGATATCTAATCTCAGCCATTTCTTAGATTTTCTGGACGACAGAGAAGCCATTCACATATTCATGGGAATTAGGCAGAATGTAGCATTTTACATTATTCCTGCATAAACAGAGACAGAATTCTCATTCCCAAAGCTAGTGAAGTCATTAGCAGGAAGGTCTACAAGTGCATGTTTTATCAAGATCCAATCTGGAACCAGAGTTTTTATCTTCCAAACTTTTGGATTCGTGCTGGAGCCCATCTTCAGGGAACTTCTCTCTAGTAGACTATGTGCTGTTCTCTGTGTGGTATTTATACTGCCTATCGTTCATCTAAAAAGCCACTTACAACAGGCACTATAAAGACAAAAATTCTCAACCCGGTGACTGATCTAGACTGGATCCTGCAATATTATCCTGGGAGATATATATTCTCCTTCATGCATGCTTTGTCTTCAAAAGGTCCCAGAGTCTGTCAGTTCCAGGAATGAGCTAAAACTGAAGTCCCCAACCTTTTGGGCATCAGGAACCGGTTCCATGGAGAGACATTTTTCCATGGATCGGAGGGGTGTGGTTTTGTGTGGATGGGGCTTTGCTTGTTTGTGTGGACGGTTGCTGGCATGCCGTGGCCCGGTACTGGTCCACAGACAGGGAGTTGGGGGCCCCTGAGCTAAAAGATTCATCTAAAAATCTACAGCTGCTATTAATATTTTCACCTAAGAACCAATAGTCTGACTTTGTACAAGACATTCTACATTCCCTACGTTTCCTTCTTTTCATGAGTTGCAAAATATAATAAAATATAATAAAAAAACTACATCTCTGATTTTTCAAAACAAGAATAAGTGAATTGTATTTGTCTGACTGATGAGCTCTGATCAAACAGGCTTGTTCTGTATCCTTTTGTACAGGACATATCATCACTAGGAAGTATAGAGAAGACATTTTCAGCTATTCAACTATGATACCTGGATATTGGGTATATATACCACTCAGTATTATAATGACTATAGTGATATATAAAGCCAGCCAACTATGCAATGGTAAATAAATCAGTCCAGTCTTTTTGTTTAAAAGCATGCTTACACTAAATAAATACAAAAATTTCACCCTACCATACTTATAGCACGTATACCACCTATTGTGCATCCACTCTAATTTTTGCTTTGGTGAGCCAACATTACTAGACAGGAGGCCTTGTAGTGGTACACAATATCAGCCAGCCCAGAAACAATTTAGAACCACAGCAGTATGATCTCTTATATAACTTGAAATCATCTTTCAGGGCTTTGCTCAGCACCCTTACATATATCCCTAACCCTTTCCACAAAATATAAATATTGGTTTCACTTACAATTTCACCTCTGGATCCCTTTTCCCCCCTGGGTCCCTGGGGAAAAAATGAAATTACATTAATCTTATATGTCCTCTATCATTTGCTTTCAATCACACTGAGATGTAATGATATCTAAATACTTATATGAAAAAATGCATTAATTCAGCTGTATGAATATTCACAGAAAGGCATTTTTTTTTTACTGGATTCATTGGCATCCTTCAGTCTCGAGAGACTATGGTATCGTGCTCTGGAAAGAGGTCCTAAGGCAGCATCTGGTGTGGCTAAAAAGGCCAATTCGAGAATGGCAGTCCCTTCCACACTGAGGACAGATAAAATCTGTCCCCTGTCCAGCCCCCAGATTTCGCTGGTTCCGGGACTGCCTCTTTGCCTCAGCCTGCCACACAAATGTTTCTTCAAATTGGATTAAAATTATGTTTAATAACTTTGGAAAAAAATAGAGTATTATACCATAGTTCAACTAATACAAGTTTTCAAAGAATTTATATAAAATATTTTTAAATAAAACTTTCTGTTTTAATTTCTATGTACAAATAACATAAATTTAATCTGCAAAATCAGCTTGTTCTTCACACTTTTTAAAATGTGTGTCTTAATTCAGTTTATAGATCAGTGTAATTCTATTTGCTGTATTTCATCTACTGTCTGTTTAGGTATAAATCTATGGTAAATCATAATAATTATATAGAAAGTTAAAATTCTCTCATGAACAATGTACATATGTATACTTCTTGTTCAATCATTGAGGCACTTCCAACTCTTTGGGATCCATTATATTATCAGGTTTTGGTTGCCAGTAATTGCTTCAGTTGGCTATTTTGGTGATTGCCTTTTATTTTTATATTCTTGACTTATTTTTATCCTTGACTTCACATTCTATGTCCAATATATTTAAGCTTGAACTTCTAGCATTACTAGTGCTTGCAGTGAGGACTCTAGAGTTTGTATTCATGAGTTCTACTTTTGTGATTGAATTGTCAACAATTTTCTCTAACACTACAATTCTTTTTTGTTTATTTTTATTTGATATTATTATATTGTTTGCTGCTAGAGTCATTAATGTGAGAAGGGCATTAATTGAATAACATAAATACATTCAAAGGCATCCATTTTTCTTTGTTCAGTTTCTAATATTTTTAGAGTTATATGTTACAGCTGAGGCAACCATGCTTTGACAATACATACCTCTGTTGCCAGTGTAATATCTTTGAGTTTTAATATACAGCTAGATCTGTCCTATTTATTCTCTGAAATAGTAGATAACCTATTTAAATATGGTGAGAACATACAACCTTGGTGAATTCCTGTCCCAGGAATTTGGATGCTCCATATTCTAATCTAAGTGTTACTATCTGTTCATCGTATAAATTCTTAAGCAAATTGATGAGGTGACCTGATATGCTCATGTTTTTAAGGAATATCTATGATGTGTTATAGTCCACATAATGATAGTCTAATCCAGGGGTCCCCAACCCCCATAGCATGCCAGCAACTGGGCTGCACAAACAAGCGAAGTCCCATTCGTGGGATGCAGGGAGCACACGAAACCACGCCCCCTCCAGTCCATGGAAAAATCTTTCTCCATAGAACCAGTCCCTGGTGCCCAAGGTTGGGGGCCTCTGGTCTAATCAATAAAACAAATCAGAAGTCATTTTCTAACTCTTCTGCCTTTTCCACTATTCACTGAATATTCACAGTGTGATCGCAAGTATTTCTGCCTCTTTTGAATCCACCTTGTACATTTGGCAATTCTTGTTTTATGTACCATTGATGTCTGTATTACAAATTCCAGAGCATTATTTAATAGTCTGTGCATTAAATGAAACTTTTTTTTAATAACATGAGCATGTTTCCAGCCTTCCCAGGTTTTTTTTTCTTTTTTGGTATTGAGATATAAATGAATATTTTTCCAGTCCCTTAGCTTCTACCCTGTTTTCCATTGATTATGATTATATACTATTAAGTTGGTCATGACTCCAGAAATCCACTGGTTTTTCTTCTATAGTTTTGTTAGTGATATTTTCTACAGCTCATAAACTTTTCACTTTCCAAATGTATGCCTTTAGTTCAAGAATCCAACCTTTGTATGTGTTACAGACTAAGGATCTTTTTTGTACAATTGTTTTATGTATTCACATTCTATTTTTTTTCCCTAGCAGATGCTTGCCTTCTGTGCCTTTTGTTTCTCTTGATCTTTTGTAACTTTCTTAAACAAAACTTTTAAATCTTTTAGATGTTATGCTCAAGCTCATTGTTTATTGAGATATAACTTTTTTCATTTTTGTTCTTCTCTAGTACTTGGTATTTAATTGACCAACTTTTCCTCTGCCTACTTTGTCTTTTGTTTTTCATCTTTTTTCAGATATTTTCAACATTAATAGACACTCATTTCAACATCTTTTGTGGGTTTTTTTGTATTTTAGGACATTTTTCTTTGTGAAATCTTACAAATTTCAGTATAGAATTTGTCAAGTCCATCTAATCTACTGTATTAGATCTATTCCTTACATTACGCTCATGATAATATGGAATATCGCAATGTTGGTATTTGTTGGTCTCATGAATTTGCTTTATTTACTTTAAATTGTAATTTTTCAAGGAGTTTGTGATCTGAGCTACAGTCAGAATGACATGTTTTTTGCACACCAAATGGAGCTTTTCCAGATTTGACTGTTGTTTACCTAGTGAGCTTGATTTGGGCGCTTCTACTCAGGTAATGTATTGAGTCGTCTTATAATTTATTGGAATAAAGTATTTGCTAGAAATGTTGAATTTTCTTGGCATATTCTTATTACTCTGTACATCGAGATAATTTTTTCCCAGTATTGCAGGTATATTTCACTTCTAACATAGAATCCTCATTTGCTATAACTATTATGCTGTCTTCTGCTATTGTATCAACAGTGTTTTAAATTTAAGTCACCCTAGAACTGTTAGCCTTCTGCTTCCTCTGCCTCTGTGGTTACAGCACAGATTCAATCACTATAATAGTAATTGGACTGGTTTATTCTGAAATTGAACTGAAATTAATTTTTTTATTTGGAAACGGTACACAAGCATTGATTTTGATTTCTTTTTGTTAATAAGTAAACCAGTAATGTATGAAGTAGGTCTCATGTTCCTTCTAACCTATTGCAGACCATTTCAGTTCGCCGATTTCCAGAATACCAATGTTTGATCTTAATATCTTAAGTCTCAAAACATAAATTTTGCCTTGATTCATGGATCTGTCATTCTATATACCAATTGTATAATATCTTTAGAGAACTGAACTTCTGTTTTGCTTCTGGACGTGTCAACAGCTGCATCCAGCTATATCATAAAGCACTAGTATTACTCATATTTGCTTTCTGCTGTTTGTTTATTTATTCCCTGTCTTTATTATTTTTATAAATAACTTAAGGTAGTGAACATAGCTATTTCTTTTTCCTCCTAATTTCCCCACAACAACACTGTGAGGTGGGTTGGGCTGAGAGAGAGTAACTGGTTCAAAATCACCCAGCAGGCTTTCATGTCTAAGGCAGGACTAGAACTCACAGTCTCCTGATTTCTAATGCAGTGCCTCAACCAGTAAACCAAACTGGCTCTTCCCAGTAGCTTCTGATTTGGAGATTCATATTCCAATATTATTTTAATATTGTCCCGGTATGAAAGTCCACTTAATTTTCATGGAAGAATCTTGAAAACGGTTGCCATTTTCTGCTCTGATGTATTGTATTTAATATATATGTACCTATATGTTTTGTTACATTGAATATATGGTTAATTAAAATGTTATGTATAGAAATGACACAAATAATTTTCAGTTTATTAAGAATATATCTGAATGGTTCAGTACCATCCAAAGCATAAAACAAAAACGAAAAGTAGTATTTATGCGTATAATTAGGACTTTCCTACAGAACATTAATATTTATGTACGTGTATATTTTCCTGCTAAAAATAAGCAATTATCTAATTTTTTAGAATAGTTTATGAAATTTCCATATATTGCAACTTTTTAATAAATATTCCTTGCCTTCAAAAATGTTTGTGGACTAAGGACAACATATCTTAATAAAAATCAAGAGAAAGCATTACATGTAGGAATAAAAAACAAAGGGAGATTTCAAATTGTGATGAATTGCACTTACAGGTCTGCCAGCTGGACCAACAATACCTTCGTAACCTACAGGGCCTGTGTTTCCCTGAAAACCAAAAGGAAAATAATTTGTAGAGCAATAACTGAATGCAAATGTTCTTATGAAAACTTCATGTTATGTCATATTTTTATTTACATTCCACTACAAAACATATAATGATACTAAACTATTTTCTGGGTACAAGATAAATGTAGAATGCAAATTTAGTTTATCTCATTTTTATTTTCATATTCTGCTTTGCATTTCAGAGAGGCATTTATGAAAATTTGAATACTGTACTAAAGGTAAAGGAAATTGATTTCTGTTTATTTAAAAACAAAAGTGAGCAAGCATTACATTTCATGTATACATTTTATGTTTAGATTATCAAATATAGTATGCAGCAAGCTGTAATTTCAGTAAATAAGCAAAATCACCACTAATTTTTTCTAACGAAGTTATATTGCTTTACCAAACATAAAAACAATACAATTTTATAAAGTTATTTTGATGAAACAGGAATTTCTTTCACTCAAATATTTTGCTTTAAGGCAAAGATAAAGATATGTACTACTGTTATTAGGTAATTGCTGTCTAACTCTACAGTCTAGTTCTTCTGAAAATTAAAAAAAAAATTAAATCAGTAAAACAATTCAGAAATAAATGCATAAAACCAATAAGAAAAACTAAGATTAATCCTAGTCTAATAAAGTTTTGAAGACTATGTAAAATCATTCAAGGAGGAGGCCAAGTATATTTTGTGCAGGAGGAAAAGGCTTGGTCCATGTAATGAAAACCTTTATTTTCTTAATGATAAACTCATTACTAATAACTGTTTTGGAAAACTCAAAGTTATATAGCAATAGCACTTATATATCGCTCCATAGTGCTTTACAGCAATCTCTGAGAAACTTCAGTATAGTATCCCAACAATCTGGCTCCTCATTTTACTGACTTCGGAAGGATGGAAGCTGGTCAACCTTGAGCTGGTCAAGATTGAACTCCTGGCTGTGGGCAGAGTTAGTCTGCAATACTGCATTCTAACCACTGTGCCATCAGGGCTCTTATCTGCTAAGCATGGTAATTTGTGTACATATAAGCAAGTAAAGGTACTTTGATGGATTTGAACTAGTGGCTGGACCTTAATGGAGAAGGTCTAAATGATCTGAGGAGAAACATTGAAAGATTTATTTCCAAATCAAGCTTTTTGGGAAACTATGATTAAAAAGGCCAGGAAGGATCCAGTAGGATCCCTTCTGCTCACTCCATCCACATTTTCCTAATAGCTTAAGATGTCCCTTATGTAATCGTTTCCTGATTAATGGAATTAGATTTGGGACCTACTGGTGATTCATGTACAGATTTGCTGAGATGTTGTCTTATTAATATCTGAGTTCAGTAGCAGATAGGACAGATGAACTGCTCTACATTTCCAGCAAATGATTCAGGAATGCCCTTTTATTGGACTAACTCCTGAATGCAAATCAACCTCCTGCTTCTTCACAGTCCTACAAGACCTATGCCTGTGGCAGCTGAAGTTTGACTTGTGAAGAAGACTGATGTGGTATCTGCAAAAATTAAACTCTTGATGGTACAGAAAGAACCACTGTAGAAGGCAAACATGAAACTTCGGTCATGCTAAACTATCTAGAAAAAAATACAGTCAGATTCAAAAGATGGATAAAAACTTGAATATCCATATCTTACCCATATCTAAGACAGCATCTTTAGCAATTTCTCTTGAAACAGGGGGATAAGGTTCAGGTACCCATAATTTTAAAATGAGTGTAATTGTTTATTTTGTTTTTAAACATATCACTGTTTACAACCAAGAAGGCTGATTTTTATGGAGACGTAGCTTTATCTGAACGTTTTCTCACTTTTCTTTGGAGAATCTGAACTCTGATCAGCAAGTTCTCTCATGACCAGAAGTTGACATTCTAACCTCGTTAATCGACTGTTTTAAATATTACAGCTTTTTAAAAAAAATTCTAGTAGACATTGCCATCTGGTGGTCAGAACTATTTTTTTTTTCAAATAGGAAATTTGGTCAGCCGTTTAGGTTCTAAGACAGGGATCTTCAAACTTGGCCCTTTTATGACTTGTGGAGTTCAACTCTCAGAATTCCTGAGGAATTCTGGGAGTTGAAGTCCACAAGTCATAAAAAGGCCAAGTTTGAAGTCCCTGTTCTAAGAGAAGAGAATATTTGTAGCTCAGGATTGAACCGTGGAGTCCTTGGTGCTCTTTGAGGAGCTTGACTAAATCCAAACACTGATAGAGAATTCCTGGAAGCCTATAACACAGACGAATCAGCCATCAACAAGCACATAAGCAACATTTTACATACCATTCATAAGAGACAAACGAAAAGTTAAAAAGGAAACAAAAAGACCAAAACACCTTGCCAGCAATCAACTCCCAGATAAACAAGGATTAACACCAGGATTAGTACCAGACCAACAATCAAGAAGTAAACAATAATCCAATCAAGGATCTACCAACTCAGATAAACAATCAAACACTAAACAACAGCCTAATCAAGGAACTATCAAGAAGAAAATAACACTCCCACCAATGCTGTGTAAGTCGCTACAATATATATAAACCAGAGGTCTTCAAACTTGGCCCTTTTGACTTGTGGAGTTCAACTCCCAGAATTCTTCAGCCAGGCAGGCCTGGTTTAAGAATTCTGGGAGTTGAAGTCCACAAGTCATAAAAGAGCCAAGTTTGAAGATCCCTGATATAAACAGAGAGCAAACCCCACTCCCTTCTAGCACTGAAGTTTTTTTCTAGTTGGGTAATGCAACATCTGCAAGAAAACAACAAAACTCACAGCACCAAGGATCCACTAAGATATTTTATTCAACAATAGCAAGAGCAACCACTATAAGTCCATCTCGTATTTTAGGTATTAAGAATGCTTGGGCTCGTCCAAGAAAAAAATAAAGCAGATGCTCTACAATTGAAACTTGCCATCCTTGCTATATCAATCAGCTGAGCTATTATTCAATAATATTCAATTTTTTTTGCTCATAGATGTCTGGTCCTGTAGCAATGCTAAAATGAAGCTAGAGAAAATAACAGCGCTAAAAAAGGAAGATGCACAGCAATGTTGCCCTGCATCATTTCTTCCTTTCATGTTGCACTGAGATGTCACACAGAAATACATAAGGAGTGAATTTTGAATTTTGACACTGCAATGCACAAAAATTGTAGGATTATAGAGTCATGAAATCGTAAAATAAATCAAGAAATTTATAGCTCATTTAACCACTAATTGTGGAAGCAAGAAGAATTTTGAAGTGTTCTTAAAGATTAGTGAATTAACCACAGTTAATTTATTATAATATCTACTTTTTGTACAATTACCTGGAAATAAGTCAAATTAACTTTAATTGGTTTTTACTTATTTCTTCAGAGATTAACATAGGACTATTTTAAATAATGCAAAAAATGATAATATCTCCTTAATAATAAAAATACAATAAATGAAGAATATTGGCTATTTGCTGATCTTTTATAACAGGGGTGTCAAACTGCTGGCCTGCAGGCCAGATGCATCATAGCAAAACTGCGCCCACCCCATTGCCGGCAAAGGCAAAAAAGTCGCGATATGTCATGACACCTCATGTGACATTGCGAGTTTGACACCCCTGTTTTATAGCATCTCAAAAGATGCTGTTTGAGGCAAGCCAACTTTATCAATGTCAAAATAGGTATTGGGACAATCTTTCCCCACTTGCCCTTGAACTAAATCTTAATTTATTTACTGAAAAGCAAAACTTTGGGTTAGGTATTCACACAATTTCTTACTGCTACAATAAATGTGTGGAAGATTCCTAAGAAAAATTAAACATTCAGGAGAGTATTAAAAACGATGTTCTTTCTCAAGGCTTTGGGAGAGCAGAGCCGCAATAAGATAGACAACACCTTTGGCATTTGATTTTTATCACTTCTGCTAATTAAGTATTTTATGTTGATTTTAGATACATATTGATTATGACTGTAACTTGCTTATGATTGACTGGCCTGGTGTGAATAGCTATAAACAAACAAATCTTGATATTCATATAGGTTTATACTTACTATTTCACCTATTGGGCCTTTAGGTCCCAAAATTCCAATTAAACCATGATCACCTTCAGGGCCCTAAAAATATAACACAATATACTTTATTTATTTATCAAATACACAACAATTGAATAAAAACCACAGATCTAAAAACAACAAATATAAAAAAAATTATAAAAATACACATTAAGAAATAAAATTTATCATCCAGTGGCCTCATGTACATATTAAAAAAGGAGAGGAAAGAGCAACTAAGCTCTGTGGCACCTCACATGGTAAGGGCCATGAGGTGGACTTCTTATTCCATGTCATGACTGGAATTGACCATCATCTTCCATTTAAATTCATAAGTCTTAAAGATGCTTAATATTTATTTAAGCTGGTCACAAAGAAACCACATACCTTGGGACCTGGAAACCCTTGAAATCCCATCAAACCTTGATCTCCAAATTCTCCCTGTAATATTTGTAGACAAAAGAATTAATACTTTGGAATGACAATTTAATAGATACTTTACATACTACAGCAGATACATACGGCGAGTCCTTTCTGGCCAGGAAGTCCTGGTCGGCCTTGATCACCTTGTGTCCCTGGAAATCCTCTTCTACCTTGCTTTCCTAGATGTCCCTGAAGCCCTTGTTCACCCTGCAGCAAGCCAGAATGAGAATGAATACATATTCTCAGAGAGAAAAAGAATGCCATCACCCTTTCCATTTATACTGTACTAGACTGGAAACAGACCAGATGAGCTACTGCTACTTTACTACAAACTACATTAACAGAATCTTGCAAGACTCAAAGTACAAATCTCTCACCATTTCCTTTATGGCCTGACAAGTTAGGGAAGAGGGTTCCTTCTAAGCCTCTTTCTCCACTCATTATGCAGTTGTAGGTTATATAATCTCTTATCTGACCATTGTTCCCTAGGATTCATCCTTTGCCCAACTTCTCAAGGTCTTTCTCACATACCATTACCTGAGCAAAGAATCTTTTGTTATTAATAAAAGCAATTTAAAACAATTTTAAGAAAGTTATGTACATCTTTGCTTTCACTGTGCTCTATCGTAAAGTCACTGTGGAGTGTATTATAAATTTATTTATTTTATTTAGCATATTTATATAGCTGCCCATCTCACAAATACAGGACTCTAGGCAGCGTACAACACAACAACAGTTACAAACTCCATAACAACCTAAAAACATCAAAAAACCTCAAGTACCTTTAATCCTGGCAGGCCAGGGCTTCCTGGCACACCTGGTGAACCTTTACGTCCATGAGTTCCAGGATATCCTGCTAGTCCAGCTAGTCCTGGGCTTCCTCTGGTACCCTTGACAAACAAAAGCTAGTTAAACAGAGTCCCTTAAGTCAGCCAACCCATTTATTTTTAGCAGAGGACAAATACAAGTTTTAATATATTCAGAATAACCACTATTATTTAATATATAAATTTGACTACCCATATTCACACACTGTGATGCTACACCCTTGAAATAATGCCATTACAGAAAGCACCATGTACAATATCTAAAATATCAGATATAATAGCATAAATCAAGCAGCATAAATAATGAATACTAACTCTACTAGATTCTAATTCAGAAATTACCTCATGCATGGCAGAAAGCTACAAACATCAATATCAAACTGACTACTTATAACTGGTCAGAAATTCCACCAACATAACAAGATAAAGGTGGCTCTTAATAAGATAAAAAGGAGTTCTTAAAGCTGTAAAAATATTAAGGTGAATATGCGGAAGGCATTGCTTATGTTCTCATTGTAACATATTCTGTTTCTACATAGGTTGATCCTATGCTACAGTGTAAAGTAAGTAAAGAAATGGAATTTGCATTAATGAAATATGAAAGCTTCTTCCCAAAGGAAAATGGTTGGCATTATTTGAGTGGGAAGTGACATCTGTAGGGAAATACTGACACTGTATTCTTGTGTAATATTTGCTACTATATATTACTGATGATGCCATTTTTTTAAGGCCTCCGTCATCATCACCACCATAACCACTGTCATAATCGGAATAAAATTAGTTCAACTGTTACTCACAGGAAGGCCCTGCTGTCCAGATAACCCCGGTTTTCCAGGATTTCCAGGAATACCTTCTGATCCAGGGTTGCCAGCTACACCTTTCTGACCAACAGGACCAGGTTCTCCCTGAAACAAATGTGAATTCTGCTTGAAATGCTCTACACCATCTAGATCTAAGTAATACCAATGACAATTTGACACAGTCAATAACCAATGTGATGGTAGCTCAGGTTGATAATATGGGACTGAAATTAGATTTGCCTACTTCATTTTAACTATATTTCCTCCCTGAGTGTATGTATTCATAATAAAATCAGGCTGCAATTCTAAAAATACATTTCAAATATAACCTATATTTTAGTGGAGCTTAGTTTCCTGTTAACATCTCAAGATTGCAATATAAAAGTATTTTATTGTACACTAGATTTCTAACCTAAAAATTAAGGACATTCTATCCGATTTGCTATTTATCTTTAACTGATAATGTGTCTGTCTGCATAGAATAACCTAAACTTATCTGTATCTGTATTGGCCATCACTTAAAATAGAAGCACTTAATCAATCATTTTACTCACAGGCGTTCCAGGTTTCCCAGGCTGACCACTTGATCCTTTTTTTCCAATAGGACCCTAGAAATGTCAAAATATTTATTAGCTCACAAACTATAAAACCTAACAATCAGTTAGGATCCTGAATTTTCCCACCATATCTTTTATTATTTATTTATAAAATGTACAGGCTACCCATCTTACCTCAAGGTAACTTTGGGTGGCATACAGTCATAAAAAATAAAATTATATAAACTAAAAACATAAGCAAGTAATAAAAATCCAGAACAAGATGTTCCTCGGGGCAGGTGCAGTGGCAGAAAAGCCCCTTCTCCTGTATATCACTACTCGGAATAATTTAGCTGATGGGGTTCGCAACGTGTCTTTTCTGCCAGCATAGGTGGGGATGGCCAATCCCAGTGGGATGAGACAGTTCCTCAAGTAGTCTGGATCCATACCATTAAAGGTGATTACCAACACTTGAACTGCATCTGGAAGCAGACTGGCAATCAATGCAGTTTGCGAAGCTGTGGCGTTACATGGGATGAATAGGACCTCAATGACTGAATGCATTCTTAGCAGTTAGAGATTATGAGCTGACTACATATTCTGTAAGATGTTTGTTCATTTACCACAAGTGTAAACATTTTGTGGTTTGACTGTAGCTCTACAAAGCTACTGATATATGCACTTTAATAAAATGTGCTTTACTTTCGATCTCAGATTGTCACATATCTTCAGAGCACAATTCTACTGAAACAAAAGTCGGTTTAAAGTGGGAGTTTGAGAGTACAATTGGAATCCTGAGAGAAAGCTCTTATTATATAATTTAAAGTCATTATTATGACTTAAAAATAAATCTGTAACAAAGTATATTGATATATTATTTAGAAATCAATTACTTGTGTTTATTTGTAATTTGCCCAATAAATCAAACAGAGATGAATTATGCCACAATCCATATTTTCTTTCCGAACAGGTTCAAATGGGCTTTTACCGTAGCCACAATTCAGAGAACAGCAATGCCTTGTAAGATTACTGATGCTTTACTTCACCTCCCACTTTTCAAATAATATTCCCCATGTGCTACATGACTGTTCTTCAAATGTACTTAGGATTTAAAAACCTTGTAAGGGTTAAGGCAGACAGCAGCTATTGTTAAAAAAAAAAAAAGTAAACTAAAAGATCTGCTTAGGAATCAGAGTTTTCTTTTGTAGTACTTTGCCCTATATAGATCTGGCTTCTAGTAGATTCTATCTAGTAGATTTCCTTCTTTTTAAGAGAACAAATTATCCAGGAAAACAAGAAAGTTGCTACCTTCATTATCCACTTCGAATCTTCCAAATGTGAAACTAGACAAGAAATTATCCAGAGCTACTGATGTTGTTCATTCTGAGCAGGCTTATCCTTGGGCAACAAATAGGAAATTTCATGCTGTCATTAAGTTTTGAATTGCCTCTAATAGAGGGAGGTTTAGATATGGATCATATCCAATCTACTAGCTAATTCCTATTTGGAATATTTTTGGTTTTATTACAAAAGAGGCAGGTACAACAATAAATTTCTATGTTGTGCTACTGAAGTGGCATGTTTTATTATTTATAGTTATTTTATTTGCATTATCTTTTTCCACGTTATTTTTTTCATTCTGTTTTACTACTTTGCCCTGCTGTAACTTTTATATGTAAGCTAAATTTCTTCCTCCTTTTTCTATTCTTTCTTTCATCTACACTTCCATTCTTCCATTTTGCTTTTGTTCTTGCTTTAGCTACACTGGAATACCAACACCTGCTAATCTGTATCAACACTGGTTTGGTCTTCTTTGACTCCACCACCCCCTCCTATGATAGCCCAGTGGTTAGAATGCAGTATTGCAGGCCAATTCTGTTGACTGCCAGCAGTTCGGCAGTTCAAGTCTCACCAGCTGAAGGTTGACTCGGTCTTCCATCCTTCAAAGGTGAGTAAAATGAAGACCCAGATTGTTGGGGGCAATATGCTGACTCTGTAAACTGCTTAGAAAGGGCTGTAAAGCACTGTGAAGTGGTATATAAGTCTAAGTGCTATTGCTATACACCCAATTCCTAGGCAGTTCCTTCCTAGATGGCTTTTGCTGGTTCTAAATCAGGTATAACTGATATTAGTGTTCAGGCTGAGGTAGTTTGAAAGCAGGGGTGGAGGCAGTTCTCTAGGCAAGTGGCATCTGTTCTGTTTATCCACTCACAGGGATTCATGGAGGTAACTTGGATACATAGGGAAATGAATATATGCAAGTCATGAGAACTTTATGCAAATGATGCCAGAACTCATTCTTGTCATTTTGACGTAACCGTGGCTTATTATGGATGTAGCTGCACCCAGTAGCTTCAGCAATACTCTTTATATCACCCCAAGTTCTACAAAACAGCAACTATGGCCAAAACAAAATGTTTCTAGACTTTAAAGCACTGAATAACTTTGTTTTGAATTTTTTCCCTAAAAAATTTCCCACTTTCTACTTACTCGAGATCCTCTTTCTCCTTTTAGCCCTTGCTCTCCCTGTTCGCCTGGTTCACCCTTTGGGAAAAGAAAACAGTAATGTAGATAATGTTTGTATGATAACAAACTGAGACTAAATGAAGATTTTCTATACTTATTTTGAAAATATATATATGCAGAATTACAATGTACTGTGCTAGAGACTTACTGGTGGCCCTTGTTGTCCAACAGCACCTCTAAGTCCTGGGAGTCCGGGGTGACCCTAGAAACAAGAGAACCTATTCTTGATAAGGAAGTTTCCATTTCTTTCAAAAGTGTAAATTCTAAAATGCTAAGTCACGCTTTAATTAACTGATGTTACTATGGTGTAAAGAAGCAGCATCTCATCTCAGATATATCTATGTTGTAAGAGGAGGGTGGCAGAAGTAATCAAAAGGCAAACAACACCATTCAAAGTGGGTGTTATTACGAATACACATACACATACACATATGTATACACAAAGACATTTGTTTACATTTTAGCAGACAAAACATTAGTGTCTCTTATTTCAATATAGTCTTTAAAATCTTGTATGCCATTTTGCTTGTTGATAAGTCTAAAATCTATTCTTCTAGATCAGGGGTCCTAACCCTCGGTCTGTGGACCGGTTCCGGGCCACGGCATGCCAGCAACTGGTCCATAGAAACAAGCAAAGCCCCATCCATGGGATGCAGGCAGCACACAAAACCATGCACTCTCCGGTCCGTGGAAAAACCTTTCTCCACAGAACCGGTCCGTGGTGCCCAAAAGGTTGGGGACCTCTGTTCTAGATGTCTTGTGATATCTGCAAGATCTTGCTGCTTTTATTAAATGGATAGAACCCACTTTGCAGCATATGCTCTGCCCTCTTTTGCTATGAGGGTGATGTGAAAAACCAAGCCTTTTTCTAGTCCAAGTTCTGTATGACACCAATACAAATATGATATTGGCTATCAAAAGAAAAACAAAGAAGCTTTAACTTTATTTCCCAGGTCCCAAATCTTTTTATTTAGTTTCAAAGTGCTCATTTTGATAAATTGATCCTGAATTCTGTTTAAGGTTTAGTTTTTATGTACGATTAGTTGCTATGTTCTCCATTTTTTTTTTCAATAATCAATGGTGGTCCTGGATTTATTTTTAAGAGGTATTCCGATAAGTGTAAGACGGAGTCATGTTGTGGTAAGTTCACTACAAGTAACATGCATATAAACAGCAAAATAAGTTTTACCATGTAACCTATGTCACCAGGTTCTCCTCTCTCTCCCCGTTCACCAGTAGGACCCTAGAGAAATAACCATAAAGAATCCAGACTGTTTAAAATTTCATTTGAAATACAGTTACTGCATTTTTTTTTTTACCAAATAGCATATCTCTGGGAGAAAAGGAAAGAAAAACAAGATGTTAGCAAATTCCAAAACACTGCAAAGCATCACTGAAATTTAATTTGTTATTAGTTCTACAGAACTGAAAGAATATATAACCGCAAGAGTTAAAGTGCTGTCTAAAAATGCTTAGCTTTCGAATCTTTCTTGCTCAAACTTAAACATTTCAAACTGAAAATTAGATTTTACAGTAGATGCTAGAACGTTTAAGGAAATGAGTACTCCTAATAGTTTGGATTTATGTAGAATGTTAAATCAGCTAAAGTGAGTCACATTATTTCATATAATATATTTTTACTGTCTAACATCCTTATATACAGCGTAATATTATCTGCATACAAATGAATGGCCAGAACCTTTAATGGATTAATTAAATCCATTCATACATTTACTAGTTCCTATATCAGTGAGATAGCTCCTATCTCCTCAGTGTTTTCCTTTATTATTTGTAGTGCAGATCAACACAGTGCATTAACTAATATTACTACTAACCTCTAGCCCATAGTCTAAGAACCATGGGCTGTATCAATAGGGTGTGGTACACATGCAACCATGCACATGCATATTTTAAAAGAAATTGTATCTGTTTATACAATGTTGACTGTAATTTTCTGGCTAAAGAAAGACCTACTGGTTCACCTAGGGGCCCAGGTGGTCCTAGCATTGAGCTGTCTTCCCCAGGGTAACCCTATAAAGAAAATAAAACCAATTGTTTATTGGTCACGAAATCTATTTTCTTATATAAAATACATAAATTATACATACTTTGCTTCTTTAGTATATGTGTGTCATATACATACTAACACAAAATATTGTTCAATTTATATAATGGATTGAGTTTGTGACAGCAATCTGTAAAATAATGATTTCACAACTTTTTTTTTAAAGAACTATGAAGTAACACATTCAGTTACCTACAAAACAATTATACGCATTATCTATTTGAAAGTAAATCCAATTAATATTGATGAAACTTACTCTCAATAGCATAGAATATACACATTCTAATTTTTAATTTTTTTAAATATTTTTTAAAATTCTGATACAGAAAAGACCTATTTATTATATTAATAAAAAAAGCTATAGCTTTGTTTTCTATCATTGATTAAATGTATTTTGTAAAGTCATAATTGTCTTCTACAGATACAAATATTTTCATCAACAGTTGCTTTAGTTAGCTAAATGCTAGCTTTGAGTCTGCAATACTAAATCTTTGTAAGCAGAAAAACCAGGCTTTTGATTCAGAATTCCATATGTTTTCCACGTAAAGCTGCATTATCATTAATGTCAATGTGAGATGGTAAATTTATAGGTACACCCTTTCAAAAAGCCACATTCTTTGAAGTTATATGTTCTCTTTTAATGTGGAAATTTTCTCAAAGATCCACAGAAATTTATGAAGTTTTTAAAAAGGTCGGAGTTCCATATGCAACTTGGAAATATTATGCCAGCAAGCAGGGTGATCGAAATTTGCAGAAGACAAATAATGGAAACACCAGGATCAATTTTAAAAGACTTGGGGGCTTTAAAACTCTAAATTATTCGGACCAGAGTATCTGAAGATTACTGGGAACTATATGAAAGATAGTTCCCAGTAATCAAATTTAGAAACTGTATGAACTGGTAATTGAAGCAGATGTCAGGATGATAGGTATTACAAAATTGCTCACAAATTCTTACTCTAGAAAATACAAAATTCTCTGCCTTTCAAAGAATTCTTAAGACAATTTTTATTTTAATTTATATGTTATTGTTGTTGCTCTTCATTCACAGCAGCTCTTCATTTCAAAGAGAAAATTATGTAAATTGTGTGAAGTTTTTATATCATGGATCTAACTGAATTTTCTAAATACTACCTTGTGAGTGCAATATGGTCTAAAAGATAATTGAACTGTTATAAGGTACTATGTTTCTGATTTATAGACCTAGTTTGATGTGGTGGTTAAGGCATTGGGCTAAAAACGGAGAAACCTAATCCTGCCTTGGGCATGGAGCCGGATAGGTGACCTTGTGCCAGTCACTTTCTCTCAGAAAAGGAGTCTTAAAAATGACTAATCATTTCTGAAAAATCCTGCAGGGACTTGTCCAGTCTCTGACAAATAAGCAACAATCTATTCACCCTTCAATTGTACACCCTCCTAAGACTCCACTAGGTTTGCATGGACAGTAGCTACAGCATATAAAGTGATAGCTTTAGACTTCCAATAAATGCTATGATACCTGCTGTAGTAGATGATTAAATGATTAAATTTATCAAATTCTTCAGTTTATGTTTTTAATGAAATGAGAAAAATTAAAGCTCATGCAACATGCAGACAAAATCTGTGAATCTTCATGGTTGCTAGCCAGCAGAAATTTGTCAATAAATGCAACACTTTCATCTCCTTACTTTCTCTCCTTTGGGTCCTGGAGGGCCAAGTGCTCCCATCGGACCTTGGTGACCCTAAGAAAAATATATGTCATGCAATATCTGCAGTTAAAAAAACACAAGTAACAAAAATTCTTTTCTGCATAGAGTGATAAAAAATCCATGCTTTGTATAATCAGAGTCACCTTGTGACGAGATGGGAGGCAAATAAATTTAATAAATAAAATAAATCTACCGGGACAGATTTTTTCAAGGCTGATGGAAATTGAGCAATTGGCATAAAATTACTGATGTTTAACTGTTATATTTATCTATTTATCCAATTTATATAGCCACCTATCTCACAAAACAAGCTGTCAAGGTTCTGACGGACAGAGACAAATAAAGCAGAACTCCGAGGCTTGCAAATTCCTCAAAGAACATGTTTATTAGTTACAAAATATCAGCATGTCAAAAGTGAAGCCATAGTCTGAAGACACACGTAACAATTCTCCAATATAAAGTTAAGAAATCCCACCCCTAAGGCTATACAAGCAAATATGTTCCCAAATACATCTTCTTGGCAGGCTTTTCACAAAACGCCCAGCTTGCAGTCTCGGGAGCAGCCGATGACCTTGGTTCCCATGGGATAAAAGTTTATTTAGACTAGAGAAGCATCTGGCAAACCCTCCTCCCTCCATTCTAGGTGTCAACTGAAAATGAGTAGGAAAAATGGCTGCAGCCATGCTTATTTTTAGAGTTGACACAAGCGATTTTGGGGGGTGTACAACAAAACTAAATAGTCAATAAATACTTAAACTATCATAATTATTAAAACATTAAAAGCATAAAAGGACTATAAAAACAGCAAGAAGAAATAGCAGAAAAAGGGATGTTAATAATTACAGAGACACCTAACTAGTTCATCCATTCCTTGGATGTCCCAGGCCTGCTGGCCTAACCAGGACTTAAGGGATTTTTGGAAACTCGGAAGAAATGAGGCCACTCCTACCTCAGTGGAGAGAAATTCCACAGCATGGATGCCACAGCAGAAAAGCCCCACCACCTAGGGCCTGCCAAATCTAATTCCCTTGCCGATGCTGATAAGGGTTTAAAAATTTTTTTAAACCCTTATCAGCATCGGCAAGGGAATATTCTGAAAAATTGTATGACGATTTCCACAGCTGTTTTCAAATGGATAACTGTAGAAAGCCAAAGATGCTTTTAAAAAGTAATGGCCAGATGCTTTTAAAATGTAATGGCCAGCAATCACAACAAAATATGGAATCAATAAACAATAGCCAATTGCTGGCCATCAACACATCAATCAACCAACAGGAAGGCACCACATAAATACGGCTCACAGAATAACCAAAGCGTATATTCCTATAGAAAGAAATTCCCTGAAGATGGGCTCCAGCACAAGTCCGAAAACTTGGAAGCCTAGTCCCGATGACAGACCCAGATCTTGCAACATTATCCCAGGACATGTATATTTGCTTTCATTCATTACATAACAATCATAAAATTAATGGATAGGCCCATGAACCCATTTCAGAAATGTATCATACCCTATAACCTGGAATTCCTGGTTTTCCTGCTGATCCCATTGCTCCTAAATGTCCCTGCACAAGGAGAAGTAGCAATTAACACATTTTAATACTTTAATAATTTCATTAGCCAAGCTATCAGTTCACATAGTACTTCTAATTGGAAATATTCACAAAGCATGGAAATAGAGAGAATTAAGCAAATTACCTACTGGAATTAATACATTTGAAATAAGCTTAATCCTAGTTAAAACCATAAGAATACTTTTTAAAAAAGTAATACTAAACAGACTTGTAATATAGTAAATAAATATAACTGAATCAGATTATAAAAAATACAAGGTGGAAATCTGATGGTCTTGTCTCTTAAAAAGTACATAAAATAATGTAAACATATAAAAAATGTGCTATAGAACACAAACATTCAATTTCCGGATACAATATTTCAAATATAAACAATGCTGATACATAAGCATAAATGAAGCATATATAATAAATTAGCCCAGTAAAATATATGTCTGCCTTGAAATATGTCATTTCACAGTGTACCTGTGAAAAATAATTCTGATATGACATGACCATAACGGAACCTGCCCATTATGATCATGACTGTCATAAAGCAGGTCAACGCATGACCAATCTGATTTTATGATCTTTTTCTTTGTAGCAGGCATTAAGCGATTCACCACAGTCCTTAAATCTACAATGATTAAGTGAACATTGTGGCTATTAAGTGAACCCATATTTTCTATGGGGTATGAAAACTGGAAGTAAATGCTGCTTCTCGGCAAAAACATAAACCATGTGACTGCAGGATGCTGCAAACAGACATAAAAAAAGCCATCCAGAGTCACTCTGGATAGTGAGATGGGTGGCATATACATTTAATAAATAAATAAAATTAATAAATAAATGTGGTGAGTTGCCGAATGCCCAAAATGCATGGATGTGACTGTGGGGGGGAGAGGCAGTTGCAACGTTGGAACCAGGTCATATGATTCTTTTTGGGAGAGGTTCATCTTAACTTTGACTGGTGGCTAAGTGAACAGTTGTAAGTTGAGGACTACTTGTATGCCAACCGTGGCTTCTTAAGAGAAAATCAAATATAATATAAATAGAATGGATAAATAGATGAATGAATCTGCCTTATAGAGATATATATTTTCTATTTAGGCTGATGGAAAAAAGCAACTGAACTAATTAATGAACGGGACTTGTTTGCATGGAAAGTAGGTAATGCCTCTCAGCTCTTGCTTTTTAAATAAATAGTACTGATAACAGTATAGATTTTGAAAATAGCTTCTATATAATAACAGAAAAACTGTTACTTAAAAATAAGTCACTCAACATTCTCACTCCTTTTGTCTACATATCACAAAAGGTGATTGACAGGGTTAACCTGTTAACTCTGTATGATGATTTATTATGGATGCTGTGAATTTTAGACAATTCACAAATCCGGACAAATCAATCAGCTTTAAATAAGCTCTTCACCTGCAACAAAATTCATATAAAACTACAGAGGATTATAAAGCTTAAATTAATGCTATACCAACCACTGGTCCTCTAGTTCCTCTTGAACCCTTTGGTCCAATTTCACCAAGCTTGCCAGGTTCACCCATAGCTCCGATTTCTCCTGGGAAACCATGTTGACCCTTTTCCCCCTATTTGGGTGGAGAATAAAACATTACACCAATTGAAAATCACACTGGAAAGCCAATATAGGTATAGGTAGTTACTATGATCACAACTGGGACCAGAATCCAGCAAGTGGGACATCACATGACTGGTTTGCTCAATGGCTGCAATCTTGGCACTTAAGGTTGTGGGTGATCTTGTGGGTTATTAAGTGCAGAGAGAACCAGGTAAAGAGCGTTGGCTGCCTTAAGGAGGTGGAGTAGGCCCTGGGAGGCCTGATGCAAGCCATGCACAAGTGTTTCCACTCAGAAACTGAAAATCCTTCATGTGCAAGCAGGCAGGCAAGATTTCAGCTCTGTGCAAGCAAGCAAGAAGATTTCAGCTCCACACAAGCAGGCAAGAAGCTGAAAAGCTTCAGCAGGCAGTTCTCTCCTCCAATTCCCAGAGATGAGAGGGAGTGTTCTTGACAGCAGCAACAGAGCTTGCACTCTTCCTTACCAACTTCCCATTGACTTTCTATGGAAGCCAGCAGAGAAGACTACAAATGGTGAACACATGATTGCAGGATGCTTGACTAGTCATAAGTGAAAACAGGTTTTCAAGCATCCACATCAGGATCACTAGGTCATTGGGGGGGGGGGTGTTGATGCAATGTTTTGCAATGGCCAGAAGTGCTTTGCTAGTTGCAAAGCACCCTCTCTGAGGACATCATTAATTTTCAACTGTTGTTAAGAGAACAATTTAAGTTAAGGACTATCTGTAATGCCAAACATTATTTGTTATTCTATTCTTAAAATTGAACAGCGGGGTGGCCTAGTGGTGAAGACGCCTGCCTTCCACTCAGAAGGTTGAGAGTTCAAACCTAGGTAGTAGCAAATAGTTTTCTTTCAGGGCGCAAAGAGAAAATATCTGCTGTGAACTCCATGAAGGCATCAGGAAGGACATCTGGCCAGTAAATGCTCAGCTCCATTCACATGCCCCAACTCTTCCCCAAATTAAGGGAAAAGAAAAAAAATCTATTCTTAAAACTATCACTTTTTTCTTTTTACAACCCTGTAATCCCTTATTTCAGGGTAGAATTGAAGCGACAGTACGGAGCTGAGCATTTACTGGTCAGATGCCTTTCCTGATGCCTACGTGGAATTCTTAGAAGGATCTCTGCACCCTGAAAGAAAAGCCTCCGCCACTACCTAAAATTGAATTCTCAACCTTTTGAATGGAAGGTGAGTGTCTTCACCACTAGGCCACCATGCCACTCTATTGTTAAAAAGAGCAGTATTTTATTAATATTGAATCCTTAATGAAAAATAATTTGTTTTCTGTCCAAATTCAAAATAAAAGAGGAAGACCACTTACCTTTTTTCCTGAACGACCTCTTTGACCTGGACTTCCTTGATTTCCTTCAGGACCCTACAGTAGTTAAAATAAAGAGAGATAAATCTGGGACCACATTTGTAGATTTAAAGATGAAGAGTTATAAAATCCACTCACTTGGTCTTGCCAGGTTTTCCATGAATAACTTTATCCAGCAGTTTTGTGTATACATTAAATAGGAGTGGTGAGAGTGGTGAGCCTTGAAACGCCCCCCCCCCCCAGGAGAGGCCTTTCCCCCACCCACACAAACTGGAAGGAGTCTCAGAAAAAAGGCAACAACCACTGCAGAACAGCGCTGCCCATTCCAAGCACCCAAAGCCAGTCCAGAAGGTTATCATGGTCAATGGTATCAAAAGCTACTGAGAGATCTTAGAACGGCAGAGATTGATGCATCAGCCTTCTCTTAAGTCTTTCGTCGATAAGTGCAACTATGCAGTATCAATATATTAACTCAGCTACAATCCTGACTGGAAAGTGTCCAGATAATTCCCTTCCTTTTGGGCTGCCAGAAACTGTCCACTTACCATTTCCTTCATGTCCCTGGGCTGTAAAGGACTAGGTGAGGGAAAACAATATGAATCTGAAAACAGGAAACTATTACTTATTCAGGTGAGCAGGATTTGGGAGATATCACTTATCTGAATGGGGTAACTCTTGTTCTAATAGATCAGGTTCATACCTTGGGAGGTCTCCAAGACATTGGTGTGAGAGAAGCTTATCTTTTACTGATAAGCCAAATGTGTCCACGGCTAGAACAAAGAGACCTAGTGTTGGTGATTGAGCCACTTTTGGTGGAATTCCCTTGAAGACAATTTGGAAAGTAGAATCGGTGGTGAGCAGTGCTTCAGAAAGTGTTGCATCATCTCCGTATTGGAAGTTTTCTAGGCTCAGTCCAAGCTACTTACCGTGGGTTATAAAGTCCTATGCAACTCTGTCCAAATTATTTGCAGTAGCACCAATTCCACTCAGTTCACCTTTTTTCCCACCTTTACTATCTACTATTTTTTCCCCACCTTTACTTTTTTCCTCACCTTTACTAGATAGCACTACTATCTAGTGCTGAAGCAGTGTTGGAAAGGTTTAGAAACATTTCTTTTTATCCAGACTATTTAAATTCCTTTTCAAAGCTAGAGTTTTAGTTATTTTTATTCTGACTGATCATTTGTAGTTGGGTAAATGAAGAATATTTTTAAACATGTGCCCACATAAGTACACAGATACCAGATTGATTTACTTATCTTTCCCACTGAAACAATACAAAGTAGTCTTTGAAGCAGCAAATGGCTATTGTCTTTCTGCATTTCCAAAAATCCAGTAAAACTGATCTTCCTCAATGCCAAACAGTTACGCCTAAAACTGGATCCATACTTCCTGGATAAATATATTCATAATTGTCTACCCTTTCCCAACCATATGGCAGGATCCACACAGTAAAAGAACCACCAAAAATCTCGTATTTCATCTTTGGGATTTTTTAATGTTATGTTGATGATTTTACAATAACATGCAATTCAAACTGTACTCTTTTTTTCACCCACGCTACCAGATTTTCATGACCATACATAATTTTGTATCAGATAGAAACTGATGACTGCCATGTTACAAAAAACAAATACTGCAGCAAATAATAATAGAAAAATGTTTCCAGCAGATACATTTTCCTAAACAATTAATGCCTGACTCAGAGTTGATAGTTGCTTCGCAAGAAAACTCTGCTATTGAGCTTCCTTGCTACAATAAATAAATAAACAACAAAAAAATATTCAGCTGGATAAGCTGGGTTTTTTTTTTTTTAGTTTTTCTCTGCAATAGTTTGTTCAAAGCAAGCACAGCAAAATGTTTCTGGTTTTTATTAAACTCTGTCATGTCCTGAGATACCAGCCAAATTTACTGACAAACTAGATGAGGTACCACTTCAACAGTTACATATCAGATGTTTGTTAAAAATCAAATGGAAAATACAGGATTGTTTCCTGGATCACAACTTTGTCTTGTTAAGTACAGTATGTGGGAGGGGGAAAACATACAGTGGTCCCATTCAACTGCTTTGTCCCCAAATGCAAGCAAACAGCACAAGTCATCTATAGAGAGTTCCTGACTGATGATCCTAATAGAACCTGGAATTTCATGATGATCATAAATCAAGGCATCCACGGGACCGACCCAATTTTAAAACATTTTTTGCAACAGTCGTTAAATGAATGTGGCGGTTGTTAAGTGAATGGGGTGGTCATTAAGCGAGTGTTGCATTGTCTGCAATGGACAGCTTTTGTTGGAAACAGAAAGTAAATGCTGGTTAAAAAAACATATGCTACAAACAACAGTAAATGCAGGCCAGTTACCGACCACACAAAATGCAATCATGTGACACGGGGGGGGGGAGAGAGAGCAACTTCAAATCCTAGTTGTTAATGCTTTTATTGGGGGGGGGGCTGTTTCCATCATAACTTTAAACATTTGTTAACCTGGTCATAAGCTGAGGACTATCTGTCTGAAAGCTCCAGCACAGGTTACCTACTATCTGAATCTACATCTAGGTTGCCTCCTCATCCAACAATTCCAACATTTTTAAGCCACTGATAACCATTTCTAATTGTTTACCTAGTGTTTCATTTAATTTGACCCTAAATCTATTTATTTTGTTATATCCTGGCTTTCCTCCAAATTAGGAAGAAACAGCAGCTGGCCCAAAGACACTCATGACTTCCATGGCTAAGAATGGACTTAAACCTGTTTCCAAGGTATAATTTTTATCACACATTATGTTTATAACAGATTGGTATTTGGGAAATAGTGGAATAGCATGGACCAGCTCTGAGAAACTAACACCAAAAGACAAATCAAGGAGACAATTTTTGCGGATAAAAATGACTCCTTAAACCAGACATGTCAAACACAAGGCCCGGGGGCCAGATGTGGCCCGAGAAGTGGTTTCATGTGGCCCGCGAAGCCATCCTGGAAACAGTGAGGGAACAGCCCCCACTGCCTTGGCCCTGGCTGGCCGGCCGGGAGCCAATGTACAATTTTGTGGTGGCCATCTATACTGAAATGCATTCAATCTTAGCTCCACAAGGCCATCTGGAAACAGCAAGTAACCAGCTCCTGCTGTGTCACCCCTGCCCCCTGGGTGCATGATGGGGAGGTGTCACTCTTTATGAGGAATGAAGAAATGGACCATGCCTTGGCGCTTGCCCCATTCCCACCCCCTTCTGCCAGAGACCCTCAAATCTGTCCTACTCCTGCCCAGGCCCCCACAGGCACCCTTGACGAGAAAGATGTAGAGCTGGCCACGCCCTCCTAGTAGGCCACACCCACTCTATCCACACCCACCCAGTAGACCACACCCACCCTGGCCACACATCTGCCCCCCCCCGAGGGCAACCGCAATGCTGATGCGGCCCTCAATGAAATTGAGTTTGACACCCCTGCCTTAAACCAGCCATATTCTTTATTATGGAAAGTTTTATTTTGAAAATTAATTATCTTAGATAGTGGGGGGGGGGTTTGTCTTGCACATAATTGTAAGAACTGATCCATTATAATGTGTGTGTTTGTGTATATATCTTTTCTCATATCACTACTGTTCATATTTAATTTTAAAAGAAGCATTTTTTTAAAAGAAGCATTTTTTTAAAAAAAGAATTGTTGCCTCTCTTACTATGTTTTCTATTTTCCACACATCCTGTGTCTGGTTTTTAATTATTTCCTGATAGTTTTTCGTCTTAAGGATGAGATATAAATGTTTTAAACCAATGAACCAATCAATAATATTTCACAAAAATTAGAAATGGCCAATAGTTGATACAGTTTTTAGACAGAATGTTTATTTGTAATCACTCTGACTTTTTTTTCTTTATAATAGAAAACATACGGTGTACTTATGCATCAAGTTATGTAACATACTACAGTGATGACATAATCGCTAATGTTTCTTACATAAAGAAAACTCCTTATTGTGAAGGACAAAAAAAATTGTCTGGAGGAGATGTGATAAAACAATCATTTGAAGATTTCTTTAAAACCTTTTAAAGCCCTGCTTAAAGTTTTGAAGCCTAACACGTGATATGCCTGCCTTCATCTCATTCCATGCATATATTGAGTGTGATGGATTCATAGTATCTTATCTTATCTCAATCAAAAATGCAAAATCAAGAAAACTGGAATAATAAAATGAATGCTCCTGTTTTATATCTCAAGTCTTATATGACCTATATAAGTGTTGAAAATAATCTATTCCATGTTGTTATTACTATGCCAGAAAATAAAATTAATCATTGCTGTTTGAAGAGAGAACCCCATCCAAAGACAGAGTTCAACTGGAATCTGCAATTTGTTTTATAACATTAGTCATGCCCTTCAAAGCTATTAAAGACAATTTCATTTGTATTAACAGGGGTGGCCTTTATATAATTGTAAAAAGTTTCAAATATCTTTTTCATTATCTTTTGTTATTTTCTATTATTTAGATCAGCGGTTCTCAACTGTGGGTCGTGACCCCATTTGGGGTCGAACAACCATTTCACGCGATCCGCCATTTTTTTCATCAGCCGGCGCAGGGGGGTGCCGCCGCGCATGTGTGCCGCGCAGGGGGCGGCGCATAGGGGCGTGCCGCACAGGGGGTGGCGCATGGGGGTGCTGCGCATGCGCGCCACGCAGGGGGGGGGCGCATGCGTGCCGTGCCGCCTGCTTATGACCGGGGTTGCCGTATAAAAAGGTTGAGAACCACTGATTTAGATCATGACATTTATTTTTCGAATTTCATTCTTCCAGGTAATGCTGCAACTCTGACAGTGACTGTATTGTATGATATATTCCTACAAGTATTATGCCATCAATTTAGCAGCCCAGTTGATTTCACAGCTCATGAAAAGTGTAGTTTTATTTTATGAACCTTTGGGACACAGTTGGGTAAAATATTACAGCTAAGATTCTTTAGAACTACTGGGTTTATATTTTTGTAAAATCTATAGAAAATATCTGAATTTACTTACTGGAATGCCTCTGATTCCAGGTTCACCTGGAGGGCCAATAAGCCCTGGAATTCCAATTTTTCCTTTTTCACCATCTTCTCCAGGAAGGCCAGGGTCTCCTAAACTGCCCTAAAGCACAGATATAAATAAAAAGCATCAAGTAGGATGGCATTAAATTACTGGACATTATTCAAACAAAGGCTTGGTAAAATGTTTTCTTCAGGTAGGTCTAGAATAGGGATACGTATGAATAACAAGTATGACATCAAGAACGTCATCTGCATGTGATATATCTGCAAAATGTATTTCAGTTTTGCTGTATCTTTCATTGTAAAAGCCTTTTTTCCTCATATACTTCAAAACTGTCACTAAATAGCTCATCTGCACATAAACAGCTCAGGTAACTTAAAATGTTACGGAAGAAATAGTTGCAATGCCATTACCTCTTATGTGGCAGAGGTTTAATAATGTTAGGGATGGAAATGCAATACAAACAAGTAATGGAGTTTGCAGGAAGCTAAAGGATAAATTAAAATAAAAGCTGAAAGGAATGTACAAGTGACGGAAACATGCTGCTCTGCCTTTCCTTTTCTTTCAATAACAAGGTAGAAGCAGAGTGCACAACTTAATGCTGGCTGGTGGATCACATTGGGCCTTGCAGGTTCTGCTGAGGGTCATTTTAAACAGCTTTTAATTTAATTTTTAATGTTATTTTAAGGCCATGATTTTTTAAATTATTATTCGGTAGAATTTTGGTAATAGCAAAATCACGTTCAATTAAATAAAATCAAAAAGAGAAAAGGGTTTTTTTTTGTCCTTTTTAATAGGTGGAAGAGCAGAAAATAAGTTATTACAACAGGTGAGTTTCGGGGACTTTTTATGCTTTTTTGGGATCTGGCGAGTTGTTGGAAACAAGTATCTTCTGGAAATACCATCTAGTCTGGATTTGAAAAGAGGTTCTGGAAGTCTATTATCTGTCAAAATAAAGACAGGGCACTGCTGTGGAATGTTATCTTTAACCCAGTGTTTCTCAAACTCAGCCACTTGAAAATATGCAGACTTCAACTCCCAGAATTCCCCAGCCAGCAATGTTGGCTGGGGAGTTCTGGGAATTGAAGTCTGCACATTTTCAAGTGACCGAGGTTGAGAAACACTGATTTAACTCCTTACTGCTGTAACAATCTGGTTATATAAGGGACAAGCCTTCCTTAAGTTTATTTCCCCTTTACCTGTTAAAATAGTCTTTTGAACAGTCATCTGTATATTCACATGTAGGATTTCTCCCACCTGTAAAGAGGTCTTTTAACCTTGAACCCTACCTACCAACTCTAGGGCAGAGGTGTCATCTTGAATTAAGACAAGAAGATTCAGGTCACAGTGTTTCTCAACCTTGACAATTTTAAGGCATGTGGACTTGAAGTTGAAGTCCACATGCCTTAAAATTGTCAAGGTTGAGAAACACTGATTCAGGAGAACATGAACAGCCGATTCATGCATAAAGCCTGCTCATTCCTTCATAAAAACTGCTAAAAAAAATCAGGATGTTTCATAAGACATCAAGGATTATAATTCACTATTCCTAAACAACAAAGTTCAGTTTAAAGCTGGATTCATTATCTAAGTTTGCTTTAATAAAAAAAAAAACCCATGTACTTCTATCTATGGGCAACTTGCAAAGTTTAACTGTCATGGAGATTTTTACCTACTCATATGAGAAAGGAAATCAAATTAAAATAAGTTTATGAAAAGAGCACATAAAATATATACTATTTCACTTGGAAATATAGGAAGATACTGTCTACAAATCAAATTATTGCTTCAGAATTGTGAGAAAGGAAACCAAGGAGGATAATGATGCTGTTTATATTCTGGTTTATTAACCACAAGTCATAGTTTCAAATGTTTTATGAATATAAAGTTTAGATTGAAGGAATAAAACCCTGAACCGAAAGTTGTCTTTTAATAAAGTGGAATAATACAGTTAAATCAAAGTGGAATAGTCCATGGAATAGTCTTTGAACTATAAGAAGATATTGTCAGTGGAAATGATTGGACATTCACTATTGCTCATGATAGAACCCAGACTTTGCATTTAGAAGAAATATGATTCTCTTTAGTAACTCAGAGCTTGAAAAATTCTGCCTGAAAACCTGGAGAGATGCTATTAATTGTTAACAAAACTGAAACAATAATTTGATCTGTACACAATATCTTCCTATGTTTCCAAGTGAGGAAAAATATTTTTTCATAAACTTACTTTAATTTGCTTCCAGGTATTCTGTATGAACAAGACACGTCTTTATCTTTTTATGATAGGTTCCAGCACTAGTCTGGGCTCAGAAACTGAATAGGGTTGGGTCTAGTTATCAGCTGGATGGGAGATCATTAGGAAATGCCGGAGCCATAAGATAGATTAGGAAGTTCAAAAACATCTTGAAGGAACAGTGACAAATCATTTTGCTATGGCGGAATAGAAAATTGTTGCATTTTTGTCCAAGTAGGAACTGAGTTCAATTTGAGAGTGTCTTTCTACGAGAACTGTAATATCAATAAATCCATAGACTGTTTGAAATATATTCCACACTGTGAGGGAGGAGAGCATGAGGATTCTTAAGCAGAATTAGTACTAAGAGATCAATTGAGTACCTTTTGCTTCTGTTTTTTTTCTAGCAAATGCAGCTTCTCTTATGCAATCAGAACATGCAACGCCAGTGCAGCAGAACTGTTAAGCACTGACTTTAAAAAATAATTTAAATTTAGGAATCACATAATAAAATGCAACATTTTTCTCATGTAAGTGTAAATTCTGATTTTTAAAAAAGTACCTTTGATCCATCTTTTCCTTGAACACCATCTTCTCCTGGTGGTCCTCGAATACCCTAGGTTTCAGAAGAAATATATCAAAATGTTATTACTACCAAAAATCTTGTATATTCAAAACCCAAGCAACAGTACATTATCTCAGCAAAACAGCGAATAGATCAGATTAAAAGAGTCAAGGATACAACAGTTTTTATCAGTGGTGCTTCAAAACACATACAGGACCAGTACACAAGGCCTTGCTGACTAAGAGCAGATATTGTTATTGTCAGTTTTGTCTTTTTTTTTTTAATCCTTGGCCTCTCTGGCCTTTCCAAATATACAGAAATGCTGAAATCCATGCATTTGAAATGATTCATGATTAACTTTATTCTTAATTTAAATGTGATCCTGTTTTAATACTGAAGGACACAGCAGTTGTCACAAACAAGAAGTTGTCTGAAAGTAATATAAAACAAGCTGCACTGAACAAATAACCAGAATGAACGCTGCGTGTCAGGGAGATGTAGAATTAAGCTTCCTGATATTGGAGTGAAGGGAAGTACAGGAAGATAAACGGGAAGATCAACTTTTAAAGAAGGGCTTAACAGGCACTAAATAAATGGTGCATTTCTGTAGCACTGCCTCATACTTTTAAATGCATTTGACTTTAAAGCAGTGGTTCTCAACCTTTTTAATGCCGCGACCCCCAACCGGTCGTAAGTCGAGGACTACTCAACCGGTCGTAAGTCGAGGACTACTCAACTGGTGCAGCACCGTTTGCAGAATGGGACTTTTGGCGGGCTCAGCAGGGCAGAGACAGCCTGGACAATTCCTATTGGCTTTTGAAAGCCAATAGAATTAGACTCTATTCAAGAGAGTCTATTCTATTGGCTTTCAAAAGCCAATAGAATAAAAGGGAGTAGCACAGCTAAGGAAAAGGGGGAAAAAATGGCGGACTGCGTTGTTTGGTGACCCCCGTGAAATGGTCGTTCGACCCAAATGGGGTCCCGACCCACAAGTTGAGAACCACTGCTTTAAAGGGAGTATCTTCACTGGCAAGCAGAATATTCCTTTCACTAATGCTAAACAGTTTAGCATTCTGGAGTGGATTAGTTTTTATGACAATAAATGACAGCCTTTTATATTTTATATGTTTTTAGTATGTTTTAGAAGAAACATGATAATATTTTTATGGAACCTAAGACTATAAACATGAATGTCTCTCTCTCATATATTCATATATAAGATATACTCAATATCTCTCTTAGTTGGCTTCTATAATTCTTGCAATGGGTAGTTGTTATATAGTACCTGTAAACTCAGTTCACATTAGAATATCATATTATTGTCCTCACTAAAAATGTAATTGCTTTGTCCTTCTGAAAAAGATAACAGATTAATACACTAAACATTTTGAAGTAAAGATTCAGGAGCTTGCAATCACTTGGGATTTAAATCTGAAGTTTTGAGATGTTCTAGATAAAATGGTTATGGAATTGGATGCTTACCCATTCACAACATCATTGCCATAGTTATGTAATTATTTAGAAACCACCAATTTATCAGACTGTTATCTGTTATCATCCTCTTGAAGGATGATCTGTTCTACTCTTGCTTACCTTCCAATTTTCTGGGCAGATAGCATATTTCAAAATAAAATATTCTTCCTAATATTACATCCAAATGAGCAAACACAATTTTCCAATTGGCAATTGTTATTTGACTTTGTATAGGAATACATATGCATGCTATGAAAAACTTATTACAAAAATATAAATAAGATAGCTGCCAACCCCAAGTAATCTAGGCTACCTCTGGGTTACTGCTTGAATTAGTGTTCTGACTTCAAGTTGTGATCTATTCTTTGAGTATTACTGATTTCCTCAGTAATTGCAAATGTATATGCAGAACAGTTACAGACTGTTACAGGAAGTTGATTATAATGTTCAACATGAAAAATTTACTTCAGAAAAAAATATGCTGCATCTCTTGTAATTCAGATTATATTGATCTATTGTCATTTTATATCTATAACAGACCTAGGTGCTTTTGTTTCAGAGTGAAAGACACAAAATAATAGAAGCTACAAGATGGCAGATTTTGATTGATTGTTATGAGAGAAAAAGTCATTTCTGGCAGCAATAGCAATCCAATAGTGGGACCAATTAACCAGAGAAGTGATCATCTCCCTTTCATGAATGAGTTTAAATCATAGTTAGTTAGCTAGAAACTTGGAGTACTTTAACTTAGCTTGAATACTAAGTTAAAGAATCCTGTCCAACTCTTTGATTCTACATTAATAGAAGTTTACGAATCTTTAAGTTATGTAATTAAAAACATATTCTGTCTAATGAAAAGCAGTGCTAGGGGTGACAGGATAGCAGTGTTCTAATATTTGAGGGGCTGCCACAAAGCACCTGAAGACAAAACAAGGAACAATGGATGGAAACTAATCAAGGAGAAAACCAAGCTAGAACTAAGAAATTTCCTGATAATGAAAACAATCAACCAATGAAACGGTTTGAGTCCAGAAGTTGTGGGTGCGCTACGACAGGAAATTTTTAAGAAGAGATTGGATAGCCATTTGTCTGAAATGGTATAGGGTCTCCTGCTTGAACAGGAAGTTGCATTAGAAGACCTCCAAGGTCCCTTCCAACTTAGTTATTCTGTTATTTTTTCTTTCTATACCTTTACAAATTTCTTTAATCAAATGTGATGCTGATATTTTCCAGGTATAGCAAAGACATTTTTTCGTCTCTCATCTGCTTTCCTAATTTACATAGCATTCCCAATATAATTTTGTCCCTAGTAACAAAATATGCTACAATATTCAGTACTTACTCTTACACCTTGTTCACCTGGTGCTCCAATATTGCCAATTGGTCCAGAATCTCCCTGTCACATGCAATAGAAATACATCAGACAGAGTGATCAACATATTCTGATATTCTGCTCAACAGAGCAAAACACTAAGTTTGCTACAATAGATATATAAAGTTTGCTCTTTATAAAACAAACTCATTTCTCAAGCATGAACTGGTCTTTATATTTTTCATCACAAATAAACTGCAAATAGAAAGGCAGATATGTTACAAGTATAATAATGCATAGTTTTCTGCAAATACAAATGCCAACTATATTCTTAACTAAGCCAAACACATTCTAGTCAATCACATAATTATATAATATGAGCTTCTCTACACAGCCCTACGGGCTAATTAACATAGCAGAGTTGAAATGAATGCTTACATAGTGGCATTGTATTCCTTGATGACTGAACTCTATGTTTACAAAGATGAAGCAATGAGAGGAACAAGAACATTTGCTAGTTCCTGAAGACCAATACTTGGATCCTTCCTTCCTTCCTTCCTTCCAACCAAAGCTTGGAGTGCCTATCCTAATTCCAGAAAGACTGACTCTAGCTACACTCCATTCGTTGACTGGAAGAAGCTCGGAGGGCTTGAGTAGTGGGCAGCTATGAGTGTGATTTAAAAAAGACTTGGACTTTTTTTCTCTAAATCCATATTTTCCGATTTCACCAGGCTTCCTGTATATCTGTACCTGTCTAAATGTGACTCCTATGATGGGTCTTTGGTCTTCATTATTCAAATTAGGTAACATCATCAATGCACCAATGACCCATACCTTATTTTAGATTCCATTTCCCCGTCCCTGTTTATAACCTTATTTATTCTACGGATAGGATAGGAATTTGAAAATGTTGTAACCTGGTTCCACATGTTGCGATCTGCATTAAAAATAGCTAAATTTAACCATAGAGTATTTTTTTAAAGGCTTAAATTCTCCTGGGTTGTTTTTTTGTTTTTGTTTTTGTTTGATATGAGCAACAGTTCACTTTTAGGATAGATCTCCTATATGCACATAGACAGAATCTTGTTTGATGTTTATAAAACCTTTTGCTGAAATTAGGATTGTTTCTTAATGCATGTTTCATTATAATTAACATTTAATGCAATTCAAAATGTATATTCTGATGCTGGCAATTATGTTTAGTATGCTGGCAATTATGTTTAGTATAAGTATTTCTGTTATTTATTATTATGATTTATTATTATTACACATTCCATCTCCCTACCACATTCCCAATTCTCTCTTTGTTGGGAAACTACGAGCTAAGCTGGAAGGAGGGGTCAAGTGGGGGTCTAGCTTGGAGTCATTGCACAGCTGCAAAAGGCATAAGCTTGAACCCCTTGAACTTCCAGGATACATGAAGTTTTATCTGGTCGTTCCTAGAGAAGGCAAGCAATCTATGAGATTCTTGTTATATAGGTGGTGGATAATAAAGTTATTGACTATAGCTATTCATGACTGGCTCTGATTGCTTGCACCTGACAATATCAATTCTACTAATACAGAATATTAGCCTTTTTGTTTTCTTTTCAGGAAAACTTCTAACTGGTACATAGGCTCACCTAATTTATAACATTTGTCATGATTCATACATGAAGGATACTGTAATGACAACAGCACCGAACGTTGGACCAATTTAACTGAAATGTCACAGCCAGTTTCTAGTGGAAATAATATTTCATGTATAGAGACATGAAATATCCCAAATATATGTATAGAAAAATAATTGTCTGTTTTCTTCATCATTCAAACTGCACCCCAACAAAATTACTCCAACAATCACCTTTGTGCCTGGTTCTCCATTTGGTCCTGGCTCTCCCTCTGGGCCAGGTGATCCCTATATTGAAAACATAAATGAAGTTATCCATTGTCCAGCACTAAATGCTTTCCAATATGATGAAACTCACTAGGAAGTTCACAGGACTTTTTAAAAAAAATTTATTGGTGTGATTAATGAGATACTTGTGGTATAATATCTTATTCTGCTATGGTGCAATATCCAATTTTTAAAGACCTCTATACTTTTTATATGAAGCAGGATCTTTCAGTTTTGCTTGCCTATATAATTTGGTGAAGTAAAGGACTTACCTCAAAGCCAGCTTCACCTACAGGACCAGCATCACCTTGTTCTCCCCTTGGTCCCTGATATCAAACAAAAATTATGTGAGCATTACATTCTTATTATGGGGAAAAAACACTTTTACACCTATATTTATAACATCAGCAATTTTTTGAAGCATTTTTCTCACAGCTGGATATTTCCTTTATTCAGATTCCGTTAGCTTCTGAGAGTAGAATAATTTAATATGGTCCGTACTCTTAAAGAGGATTTGCTGCAACAGTCCAATCATCATCATGCAATGGAATATTTATCAAGGCTTCTTATTAGACGTAACATTACATTTGAACCCTCAAAACATGTTGCTCCATATGTGCTCACATCACAGATTGAGAGATATGACATAACTGTATTACAGAGAAGAATGTAGCTGTATACATGTGAAAGCTCTACTCTCACATAACTCAGTCTGTCTGCGTATCTCTATGATGTAGGGCTTAAATTCGAGGCTTTCCTCCTGTCTTCTTCCTGCAGATTGGGTGGTATCCATTCAGTGATGATTTCATAATTTTATATCATCTGCACCTTGTCTTGCCAACTTCCTTCATTCTTTACACCATTCATAGAAAGGATATAACTTTGGGGATTTATGGACATCTGATCTACAGTACAAGAAATAATTAAGGATAAGAACTACCTCATGGGAAGGCTCTCAGATAAGTTTTCAAAAGCCCATGAAAGGTGTAGAGATTGTAAAAAAAAACCTCTTATCATATTTGATAGAGTAGCCTCAACATGAAAGTTGATGTCTACTAAACTTGGGGTTTCTGGTAGTGCCTTAAAATTTCCAGCTTTGGAGTCCACAACACTGTTTCTGATATCGTTTATATCAGCAAAATCAGGAACTCTGCTAGATAGCTGATGCCAATATCTACCTGACCTTCTTTGGGATCAAAAGCTAAGCAGACTCAGGCTTGGCTGGTTCTTGGATTGGGGGCTATCAGTGTATACTAGGACATAGGTCTCCAACCTTTTGGGCACCAGGGACCGGTGCCACGGAGAAAGGATTTTCCGTGGACCAGAGGGGGTGTGCTTTTGAATACTGCCTGCATCCCGAGAATGTTGCTTTGCTTGTTTGTGCTGCCCACTTACTGGCATGCTGCAGACTGGTGCTGGTCCATGGACTGGAGGTTTGGGAACCCCTGTACTGGATTTTTAAAAAACTGCAACGGTAACAAAAGCATTTCCATAGTATCCCAAAAACTGGTGACTGCAGGCATGGACATATCTCTGTTGTCACCAGGAGCTGACCTTGATTTAAAGGAGTTTAATCAGTTTAATCAGTTTAATATACTGATTTTATTTCAAATTTCATACTAGTTTTGCTTCATGCTCTGTAATTTCAACCAGTTTTTGTTAAGTACATATGAAAGAGGCCAAATCTTGGTTTTGTTTTAACGGATGAATTAAAGAAATTCTGACAGCAGATTCTTTGATTTTTAATGGAGAAAAATAAAACAATGGACACTAGGACAAATGAATGTGGCACAGAATTCTGAATCTGGTACTGGTTTATATCTGTAAGTTTGAAAAATAGGTTTTTTATTTAAGATATTTATTATGCTCAGACAAACAAAACAATCATTTGAATTATCAGATACAATATACAGATGCCCAATAATAGTACAGTAGTGACATATAATGAAATATGCTTGCATTTTAAAAATATTTCAGTAGTTTTTTTCAGGTTATCAGCCCCAAAAAATCATGTGCAATAATTGCCAACAGGCATTCCTATGAGGCTAATGAGCCAAAGACCAATCCTTGACTATTCCCAATAGTACAAATTAGTAATACATAAGAATTTTGATATAGAAATCAGTGGAGACAAATTCCACATTTTTGTTAGTCCTCTAATTTCTCTTAGATTGGGTTGAACAATTAGCAGACAATACTTGCCACCTGCCACCAACAATTTATAGCCTTTTTTTTTCTAGACTAGGAAATTTAGATGCTTCAAACACTGCTTATTTTGTCATAAAGACTGTTGTGCAAGTTGTCACTCAATTTACATCAGTGATTTTCAAACTTGGCAACATTAAGATGTATGGACTATAACTCATAGAATTGGGAGTTGAAGTCCATACATCTTAAAGTTGTCTATATTGGAAAAGATACTGATTTAAATAATCAACCGAAAGTCATTGTCAAATGTATTTATATTAACTGACAGGTGGGTTATGTACTCAGAAAAACAATTTACTTTCTATTTAGCTTCAAAGATCTAATAAGGAAGTTACACCAACTATCTGAGACTAAATTAAATATACAATCACACCAGCTAAGTATAAGAAACCTGAGACACTCTAGATCAGACATGTCAAACTTGCGACATCATGTGACGTCACGCAACGTATCAGGCCGGTTTTACCATTGCTGGCAATGGGGTGGGTGTGGCTTCCATGTGATTCATACGGCCCGCGGGCCAGCATTTTGACACCCCTGCTCTAGATTAAATACTTAACTGATCTTGGAGAGTGTATATTTGTGAACTGGTCAAATTGTAGCATTAGAGGATATGTTTGATATAAATGTACTACAGCTGGGTAATCTCTTGGGAATAAAAAAAAATGCCTCATGTGGGTTCTTTATAAATACTATCTGAAATGATGAGGTAAAAGCTGAACAGAAAAGGCCAGAAAAGGAATTTTTAAAAAAGTGAATGCAAGGCACCCTCTCTCAAGATAACAACTTTTCGGGCTTTCATGGATATGTTTAAGAGGACAATCTTCCATGTTAAAGAAATGACAAAAAAATTTCTTTATTCTATAGAACAGAAAGACTTATAAAGAGCCACACAGTTTCAGCCCAAAAATAATGCTTCTTCTTTAATATATCTTTAATTACAACAGAATAAGACACATGTTTTCCAAGAAATTATATTTCACATTTCAAATGAAAGGAAATGAAATCAACTTACTGGTTCACCCGAAGGACCTCTATCTCCCGTACTTCCAGAAAGGCCAGGCAAACCCTGAAAACACAAAATCAAAACCAAAAAGCTACTTAAAATTTCCCTCAAATCTTCATAAATTGACCAAAATGCAATTCATAAAACATCTTCAATGACACTTTTTAAATCCAATAATTTTGTTTCTACTATAAAAGGACTTGTGGCTGGTCACTGACTAGCTGATTTATGAATTAGTAAATTCTTTGTTTTGGTGAGCAGTATCCTAAATCGTCTTTGAAAAATTAAGATATACAAACTAAAGATAAAATCCTCTATTTATCTGTGAAGTAAACTACAGTGAATTCAATGACACTTACTTTGTTGTAGTTATATGAAGACATATTATAAATATATATGAAAAATGACAAATAACTGCTACAGTCTAGATGGCCTTCCTGTAGGATCATTTGGGGACAGGAAACAAAAGAATAGTCAATCTTTTTGAAGCTGCCTTTTCATATAACAAATCAGAAAATAAACCACTGACAACAAAAAAATAACTTCCTTTTAAAGCTTAGCAACATTAAGATGTGCTTTGAAAAAATATTCCATGTGTTCCATTTCTTGTATACGGCAGACATCCAAAGTATTATTCTTAGTGTCCTTCAAAACTGACCCATGTAAGATGTCCTATTGTTACAATACTATTGTCCAGAAGCATGGCTAGCTACATTGTAGAGGAAATGATTTTTAATTATGGTAGGAAACTATCAAATTATATATAAGGCATCCCCAGTAGCAGTGTTCCAACTTTGCAATGCTGGACCCAGGGAGATGTGCTGATGTCTGCTTAATGCCATTTTGTTGTGGTCTGTTGGCAGCCAGAGGACTCCGCAGCCAAAACTCAGAGAAGGAAGCACAGTAGTGGGTGTCGGGCCCAGCATCAGGGCCATCTGAAAGCTCCAATGGGACGAAGGAATGGAACTGTCGCAGCCAGGAACAGAGGCGGATCCTGGGCCATCCGCCAGCCCCCGGATGGAAAGGCTGAGACCTTCACGCCTTGAGGCAAGTGAGTCAGGAGAGGAGGATCACCAGGGGCCAGTGATTGATGCGCAGGTATGACGGAGGCTGAGGAGCGGAGAACAGCAAGAGGCTATGGGCCGGTCTTTGGGGCGGAAGAGCCATTGCTGCTAACAGAACCCAACCCTCAGCTGTGGATAAAAGGCAGGGGTGGAGACGAATAGGTAATAGTAATAGTAATAGTAGTAAAGTTGGAAGGGACCTTGAGGTCATCTAGTCCAACCCCCTGCTCGGGCAGGAAACCCTACGCTATTTCGGACAAATGGCTGTCCAGTCTCTTCTTAAAAACTTCCAGTGTTGGAGCATTTACTGCTTCTGGAGGCAAACTGTTCCACTGATTAATTGTTCTCACTGTCAGGAAGTTTCTCCTTAGTTCTAGGTTGCTTCTCTCCTTGAGTTTCCACCCGTTGCTTCTTGTCCTGCCTTCACTTTGGAAAATAAAGCCCCTGAGATATTACTGCTATCAATCTTTTAAACTAGACATACCCAAAGCTTATATGTTTTAGCCTCCAGTTTCATCTTTGTTGCTCTTCTCTGTACTCTTTCTAGAGTCTCAACATCTTTTTTACATCGTGGTGACCAAAACTGGATGCAGTATTCCAAGTGTGGCCTTACCAGGCTGGTATTAATACTTCACGTGATCTTGACTATCCCTCTGTTAATGCAGCCTAGCACTGTGTTGGCCTTTTTGGCAGCTACACTGCTGGCTCATATTTAAGTGATTGTTACTAGGACTCCGAGGTCCCTCTCACAGTTACTACTATTGAGCATGGTGCCATTATGCTGTACTTGTGCATTTGGTTTTTCTTGCCTAAATGTAGAACCTTGCTTTTTTCACCATTGAATTTCATTTTGTTAGTTAGTGCCCAGTGTTCAAGTCTGTGATCCTTCTGTATCAGCCTGTCTTCTGGAGTGTTGGCTATTCCTGCCAGCTTGGTGGTCTGCAAATTTGATGAGATCCCTTCATCCAAATCGTTGATGAAGATGTTGAAGAGTACTGGGCCCAGAACAGAGCCCTGGGGCACCCCACTACACACTTCCCTCCATATAGATGCAGTTCCATTGAGGACCACTCGCTGAGTACGGCCGGTCAGCCAGCTACGGATCCACTGTCTACCCCACATTTTTCTATCTTGTCAAGTAGTAGGTTGTGATCTACTTTATCAAATGCCTTACTGAAGTCCAAGTAAATTATGTCCACAGCATTCCTCTGATCCACTAATTTTGTCACTTGGTCAAAGAATGCAATAAGATTTGTCTGGCATGATCTATTTTTGACAAACCCATGTTGGCTTTTAGTAATGACTTTGTTTGCCTCTAGGTGTTCGTTGATTCGTTGTTTGATTATCTTTTCCAGGATCTTCCCAGGTATTGAGGTCAGGCTGATAGGTCTGTAATTTCCTGGATCCATTTTTTTTCCTTTTTTGAGGATGGGAACTACATCAGCTCTTTTCCAGTCCTCTGGTAGTTCCCCTGTGTTCCAGGATCTTTGAAAAATATAGTTCAGTGGCTCCGATATCACATCTGCCAGTTCCTTGAGAACTCTGGGGTGTAATCCGTCTGGTCCTGGCGATTTGAACTCATCTAGGCTGGACAGGTGCTCACTAACGATTTTCTTGCCTATCTTAACTTGTGTTTCTGTTTTGTTTTTTGTGGCACTATTTTTGATAGGTTGGTCTGTTTTTTCCCTTTGTGTAAAGACAGATGCAAAAAATGAGTTAAATAGTTCTGCTTTCTCCCTGTTGCTTGTCACCTTCTTGCCACTTCCACCCACTAATGGACCAATCATTTCCTTCACTTTTTTCTTGTTTTTTACATGTTGAAAGAAGCTTTTTTTGTTATTTTTGACTTTGGTCGCAAGCCTTAGTTCATTTTGAGCCTTGGCTTTCTTCACTTCATCTTTGCAGGCTCGGGCTATTTGCTGATATTCTGACTTAGTTATGTTCCCCTCTTTCCACTTTCTTACTTGTCCTTTTTATCTTTCAATTTGTCAGAGAGTTCTTTATGCAGCCATGCTGGTTTCTTTTGAGAGCTGTTATTTTTCCTCTTTGTTGGTATTGTGCTAGACTGTGCTTTTATTATCTCATTTTTCAAAATTTCCCAAGCTTCTTGAGTTGTTTTCCCCTTGAGGATTCTCATCCATGGAATCCTTCCCAAGCCCTCTCTAAGTTTATTGAAATTAGCTCTCTTGAAGTCCAAGACTCTAGTTTGACTGTGTTCTATTGGTTGTGCTTCTATAATGTTGAATTCTAATATTGCATGATCACTTCCTCCCAGGGTTCCTATGGCTCCAACACCGTCTATCATTTCATCTCTGTTAGTGAGAATTAGATCCAAAATGGCTAATCCCCTAGTTCCATTCTCTACTTTTTGGGAGACAAAGTGTCTGCTAGGTTTGCCAGGAACCTGTTTGATCTTCCACTTGGTGCGGAGTTTGTCTCCCAGTTGATGTCAGGGTAGTTAAAGTCCCCCATTACTATTGTGATGTGCTTCCTACATACCTTAGTTAGCTGACTAGCAAAAAGTTCATCTATTTCCTCTGTTTGGTTGGGTGGTCTGTAGTATACACCTATGGCAATGTCATTTCCCCCCCCTTTTATATTGACCCAAATGCATTCAAGACAGTTTTTATCATTGTTGTACTCTATTTCTGTGAAGATGTAGTTATTTCTTATATAGAGAGCAACTCCACCTCCTCTTTTATTTGGTCTGTTTCTTTTAAATAATTTAAATCCCTCTAGCTGTGTGTTCCATGTGTGAGTTTCATCCCACCATGTTTCCGTAATGGCAACAATATCGTATCTGCCCTCATTAACCTGAATTTCTAGTTCACCCTGTTTGCTGTTCATACTTTGTGCATTGGTGTATAAACATTTGAGTCCTTTGTGGGTGGCCCTGTGTTTCCTTTCTACATAACCTGTGTGGTGCCTGAGTTCCCCTATTGTCTTACCACCTATTTGGTTAGTGCACTTTATATGGCACTCGCTATTAGAGGCTTCATTTTGATTGGTAGCAAGGTTGGTATTCTTGTCCACACACACATCTGTGCTACATGCACTGATAGCCCTATAGTTTTTAAATTGCCGGGGACAGGGTTGTTCCGTATCAATTAACTCCCTGTCCCCGCTGTTTAGTTTAAATTTCCCTCCAGAAAATCTGTGAATTTATAGCCGAGTAACTCAGTCCCTTTTTTTGATGGATGCAAACCATCTCTTTTGTACATCTTTTGATTGGACCAGCTACTGACATCGTGACTAATATATCCAAAGCCTTCCCCTTTACACCATTCCTTTAGCCACATATTGAATTGTGCTATGCGCTGGCCTTTTCCGTTTTGCTCCTTATACACTGGTAAAACCTCTGAGAAAGTAAGCCTACAGCCTATTCTGCTAAGTTCCTTCCCCAAGCTCTGGAAATCATTCTGCACAGAGAGTACATCTTTTTGGGACAGATCATTAGTGCCAAGGTGTACAATAGCCTCCACATCACAGTCCTTGCTGCCATTCTTGATTATTTTAGAAATACGCTTCTTGTCCCTACTGGCAGTAGCACCTGGAAGACACCTGACCTCTTTCAAAGCCTCTGTGTCCTTTCCTAAATTTACATCCCTTATAATTGAATCACCTACCAGAAGGTAGCTTCTCTTTTTGGGAGCCTTTCTATTCTTGCATGACTGATGTGCAATACCTGATTCACACTTCTCCCTATCAAAATCTAGTTCTTCATCTCGGACCACAGACAACTACTTGTGGCAGACAACTACTTGTCTCCCTGCCGGTCAGCCACTTCTACTTGGAACTCCTGATTCTTGTTTGGAAACTTGCCAGAGTTTCCTCGGATCCTGTGGCACTGGGAATTGGAGCATCTTCTGAGTGTGTGCATGGGTCTTATGTTGGAAGAGAGCCAGCTTGCCTGAAGGACTCTTGTTGCAAGCGTGGTGAGAGACTAAGATTAATTCTGGGTGTTTGGGAGGCTCCATGGTTTGAAGGCAACTAAAGATTTTAACAGTCGGCTAGGTGAAATTGCTGGCGTTGAATAAAAGAGACGTTGGAGATTTATTGGTGTGGCTGTTGTGTTTGGGGATCCAGGTCAGAACACATTTTGACACTAAGCAAAGACCTTTTCATTCATTCAGGTATTTCAAATAAATCAGAACACGTTTATTTTTTCAATGCTGTCAAATTATTCTAGCTAGCATTTGATTTTTTTACGACAGACTTACTTTTTTCTTACTTTTCGCAGCATGCTTTTAGCATTTTTGTCTAATTTTGGAAAATTTAGGTTTTCTTGGCAAGGTTTTCAGAAGTCATTTGCCATTGCTTTCTTCCTAAGGGTTGGAGAGAGGGATTGGCTCAAGTTCACCGAGCCAGTTCCATATCTAAGGCAGGACTAGAATTCATGGTCACCTGGTTTCTAGCCTGATATCTTAACTACAATGCCAAAGTGCCTCTATATAAGCTTCATTTAGAAATTTGCTTGGAAATATGTATACGAGACTTTGTTCTTGGATTACAAATGCTGCCTTGTTTGCATTATAGACTGAAATAAATTTTGCACAAAATTCCATGGAAATAGAACTAAAAACATCCCTCTCTACTGCCATAGTTTGAATTGTAGCATAGTGGTATATCTGCAATTCAGTAAAACTGCAAATCTTTTCAAGGGTTTCTCTAGAATATGCATATGGCTGTACAAAAGAATAGGTAACAAAGCTATTATCTTTTTCCAAGTTCATGTCGCTGCTTCCAAGCCCTGCTCTATCTGCTCCCACATGCTCTTACACCTTACTATATGTTCTGAAGCCCATCTTTCAAAAAGTATGTACAATTCAATATTGCTACTTTTTCTCTGGTAAAGGAAAAAAATGTGTCTTATGCAGTTGCTGTACAAGTAACAGGACAGCACAGATCAGTTTCAGATGTGTGTTCAGGGCATGTATCAAATATTGAAGTGTATTTAATGCTTATTTGTATCATTTAGAAATACTGTATATCTGTTTTTACTTTTTAAAAAATAGATATAACTTGGCTTGCTTATGAAAATATGCTTGTTGTATAAGACTTAAAAAGTCAGTTTAATCTTTTACACTGTTATTGGCTGAGTTGTCTTTACATGTTTTATTTTCTACAAATAAAAGAAATAAAAAGTTGTTGCACTACAGGAAATTTATCATCTCATCAACCAAAGGAAGCAGTTCAACAAGCTCTTTGTTCTCTAATGCAGATATTAATGTCACCTGAGCCAGTGCATTATTGTCCTTGCATTTAAGAACTATTCTGGAGAATTTACCCTCTATGTATAATAGCTACAGCAATCTCATAAATTATATTACATAAATGCTTTCATATATTATTGATAACAATAATGTCTGCCATCATTACCAATGTCTTTTATTATAGATTTTAAAACTTAGATAGGAAATGTGACTTTGGGCTGCACGTGTTTCCCAGTCTTTGTCAAAGCTTAACTAACCAATGGGAGAAAAGACACTGCAATTATTATATCAAAACTAAATTTTGATTTGGGTGCTACCTGTAGATACTTTAAACACTTCCCCTGTAATACTTTAAAGGAGTTATTTTCAAACATTAGGAAAGTGATTCCAATTGGACCTGGAGTTATGGGGAAGGAACAAGTATTATGCTTACTCTTCTCCCCAGTTTTCCATTTATTTTAAATTAAAAGAGAAACATGAATTGCTGCAGCAAAAAATAAAACATGTAATACTTGACAGGATAGAATTCCTACATTTTTGCAGAAACTTTTTGAATTTTATTAGAAACATAATTTTTTAAATTTATTTACACTAGCAGTGTAACATAATGTTCCTATGGTCTACCTGGCCAGGGAAGTTAGTTTTAGCCCCAAACAACCCTATGGTTATTTGACTGAGAACCAGACTAGCTTCTAACAGAGGTACTCTTCATTTGGTGACCACAACTCGGACTGACAACTTGGTCATTAAACAAATCAAAATTGTTCTGAAATGAAATTATGACTGTGCTCATGATCTTTCAGCTTTCATGATTTATAGACCTGCAAACGTTGTAAATGCGAGGATTGTTTACAAAGTTATTTTTTCATCACCATCATAGCTCCAAATGTTTCTAAATAAGGCAGTTATTAAACAAGGTTTACTTTTATTCGTTTACTTTAGACCCCCAACTCATGTTAAGTGACCTCAACTATAAACTCAATGTATTATGTTAGAAGCAGAATGGAATTATAAAAAAATAAATCATGCACTGAAGCATGAACAACTTACTGGTGCCCCTGGACTGCCTCTTTCTCCAGGGATTCCAGCTTTCCCCTATGCAAATACAAAGGAGGCAATGTGTCTATTTCAAAAATATTGTCAGGATTGATGCCTTAAATATGAATGCTAAAAATTGCCACGTACAATGAGTCCAGGAATGCCTTTTTTCCCAGCATCACCAGCTTCTCCCTGGGAAAAATAAGCAAAAGGGCTATTTTAATGTACACTGTATTCAAACATATAACAATTTTCTTTTAAGTTCCAAATTATGGACATTCTTTTCAGTGTAAGCTTTTGGCAACTATGTCATCAACCATCCAGGCACAAATGCAGGTACTATTTATTTCTTTATTACTTTTTATTCCACTTCCTAGAAAAAATTTCAAAGCAACTCAGTAAAGATAAATAATCACTTGATCAAAATAACAATGAGGTCAGCTTTTATCTTAGTCTGGATGAAGCAATGAAGACACTATAAGACACTGGCATAAGATATAACACAAAGACAAAAAGTCGAGTTCCAAATAGCAGAAAGGTTATATGGTACTGTACTTCATGCATCTATCAGCATCATGGATCATTTTCTGGGGCAAAGGTAAAAAAGTTAAGTTTACCTTAATACCTTCTGTCCCTTGCTCTCCCAGAGGACCATCTAGGCCTCGTGGTCCCTGACATATTAAAACAAAAAACAGTCAGGAATGATGCAACTGTTCATGTCTATGCATCCAAGGATTCCTAAGACAAAATTCTAGCACAAAATCTGCAACTGCTATGATAATTCACAGAAATTAATTGGATTCAAATGACTATATTTAGTTGTTGTTTTTCCTATCACTTATTACATTTTTCCCACATATCCACACAGAATCCACTGGGGATTAAAAAATTGTAGGAGATTAAAAAAACATCAGTTTGAAAACATCCCCAGTCACCATTTTTGAATCAAAACAAATGAGAAATCTATCTCTCTGCAATTTTTGCCAATCCCTACTATTCCCCCTTTTTCTTGTCCATTATTTTTCTATTTGAGCTATGGGCATAATCACCTTTAGATCTACCCTTCAAGATAGAAATTGCTAGACTGCAGTTCATTTCTAGAAATTCAAAATTAATTCTTCAAGCTATTTCTCAGATCTTTTGTTTTTCCAATAGGTACACTCCAATGGGATTGATTTTCCAAGCCTTAAATACCTTAACTCTGTAAGGGAATAGGGATATGTCATACATAAATGATCAATTTGGAAGTGAAATAATCTCATTCTCATTTCTCACTCCTTTAAAGCATACAGGAGAATAAAAACTAAAGGCAGGAAAAAGAAGAAAGGGGGGGAGAGAGACAAACCTGTTTTTTGTGGATCTTATAAAATGACAGAAAATGCTATAATGTCTAGACATTTCAGGAGATTTTTGAAGAATGGGGTCAGAAACTAGTAGCTATAATTTAATTAGCAGTGTTTGCTGATATAGATGGATATTTTCAAAAATTTTAATGAAGAAATGAAAGGTGTGAAAGGTAATATTTTGGAAGACTGACAGGAAGAATAGGATAAACAAGAATCACCTGATGCAGAAATACTAGAAAATAAATTCTGGATTGTAAGACATATATGACGGTCAAAATGGAAATACAACTAATAAACAAGTGAAATTATTTGGATAATTTTCCTGAATTTAAAAATGAGGGTTGTTAAAAGCTTGAAGCAACCCTTGAGATGGGAGAAAGAAAAAAATTGAAGGGAGATCAATTTCTATGAGAACATTTGAATGAATTAAGGACTAAGATTGTTAGAAACATAAAAAAGGAATACAAAGTTGATAGATTTGATCAGGATTAAAATAAGACTTATCTTTATAAAATTCTGTGATCTCTTTGCGTCGACATCTGGATAGAAAGGTTATTTATTCATGGATTTGTAAATGGATAAGAGACAAATTATGGGAAGATGTGAACCATGTATGAAATCGTTTAGAATGAAGAAATGATAAGTTTGCTTATACTTGTTGGAATGAAGATCAGAACTCACTTATTTAGTTCTTGTTTTCCCCTTTTTCCTTTTTCCCCTTTCTATTCTTTGCACTTTTTTCTTTCTTTTTCACACACACAAATACACACACACACACACATAATGTGTATTTTAGGGGTCATCAACATACTACTTACTCTTTGACCTTTACTACCCTGTGGTCCAGGAGGTCCTCGTGCTCCTGGAGGGCCCTAAATAATAAATAAGAATGAAATACATTTTTATCATAGAGCAGAAGCCTATTTTGTACAAATTATATTTTGTTACCAACTTTCTTCCCAAAAGCTCAAGACCAGAAAACTGTCAGCCATTTTTCTCCTTATTGCCCTTTTTTAAAAACTCTCTCTAAAATAGGCTAAAATAATCCCTTCAGGTACTCAGCAGTATTAAAAGACTTAATCTCCCCTAGTCCCAGTCCAATACTCTATCCATTGCATCATAATTGCAGATATGGAAAAGTAAAGTTGTATGAGAGACAAATTATTACATTAGCAACTTGAAACAGATAACATATCAGTCATGGCATTACCTTCTAACAGATAGGCCTTGAAATGATTAATTAACAGACACATCTGCTCACATAGGTACATGTCTTATTTGCTATCTGGCCAAATTCACTGGACTAGATCCAGTGGGAATTATGTGGAGGTTTCACAAAAGCAGAAGTGATTCATGACCCTTCTTTCCTGCTGCTATGCATAATGTTCCAAAAGGTCCTAATTTCCTCCAGAATAGTTTTACAGCTTGTAGGGAAAGACTGCAAATCACTCCCCCCTATGCTGAACACATTTCCATCAATTTCAGTGAGAAATTGGGCATGGTTTAAATATCTTATTTTGAACTCACTGGATATAGCTCAGGTTGAACTCATGCCAACTCAAGCCAATATTCCCTACTTTTGGCTGAATAATTTTTCTCTAAAGTTAACCTGCCCATTAATAGACCTAAGCTTAAAAATTAATGGAGGTGTGACTGATGTGGAGGTGAACAAACGTATAATATTTTATACTTACAGGTAGTCCCTGTGGCCCTACATCACCAGAACCACCTGGTGGACCTGAATAACCCTGAAACAGAAGGAAATATAGTACGGCCGATACATAGTTAAGTTTGTTTCAGTTTGTATTGCTATGTACAGAATTCTTATGTGCTTTATTAATGAAGAAAATTTTCTTAGAGACTTATTTGCATTTGTATATGTATTTGATTTTTATGGCAAAAAAATGATTTCTCTCTGTCAATTCAAGTAGTAGCAATACTAGTTCTGTAAAATGTATCTGTGAGGTAAAACAATAGGCCTTTGATCTAAGTTCCAAATGATGTTTTAGGGAATTTTATAAAATCCCCATCACTATTTCAAGCTACTTTTTTCAGGTACTTTCCTGCTCAAACAGAACAGCTTTAAAGTCCTGCCTTCAAAATGATTTTCACAGTGAATTATGACCAACCAGAGCTACATTTTTGCTGACAGTATTGTTAAAAAAATAGTTAACGCAGAGTTAACATAAGCAAAAAACTTCTGTTCAAAAATAATGCAGAGTTTCAGTATATTTTAAGAAAAATGAATAATATTAAGCTCAATCCCTACAATCATTGATGCTTCTCATTTTTTTAACAGACTGTTTCATACAAATGTCTCTACACGTAAATGGGATTACCTTAAAGATCTTAAATATTTGGTAAACAAGAATATTCCAGTAACTATTTAAGTATACACTTTTTACTTAGGCTTTGTTAATGTAAGATAAATAAATAAAATTAGGCAGTAGTTTTTTTACATAAACCTTACCATGAGACCTTTTTCTCCAGGAGGGCCCACTGGGCCTGGATTACCTCTGTCTCCCTTAAAAGTAAATAAACAAATACATACATGCATGCATGCATAGATACATACATACTGTTCATTTAGTAGTTTATTTGATTTTTGACAGTAGAACTGCATATCCAGTTTTGAAATATTTTAAAAAATGAAAATATAACTTCTATACCTAAATAAATATTCAGTATGATGGTGTGAGTGGTAATTCCTGGTTCTCAACTAATTTCTAAGCCTCTGCAGGATTGGAAAACAAAACCAGTAGGAACTTAGTAGTTACTTTTGCGCCTGCCTATGAACCTTTTCCTTGTCTCCATTAATGCATTTATTGCTAGAGTTTTTTCCCTTATTCTGGGATAAATGTGTGTGATTCAAAACAGTTTTTAATTAACCCAGGAAGGACAAGATGGATGCTCTCTTCCCCATGAAAATAATCCCATTGTTGTCATAAAAATGTGAATGCTAACAGGCTGTGTGACTTTCAACCCAGTTGTATTATTTGCTGACAGATTCTATCAATGCTCTGCTTCAAAAATATTCATTTTATTAAAAAAAAATCCTGCTACAGTTTTACTATTAAGTAACATTTTTTGCAAGCAACATAGAGTAACTTTTACTCTTTTGCATTATTAAATTCCAATATTGATTTTGAGAATAAGTATGCTGTTATGTTTATATGTGAAATAAAATTTCAAGTACCGCAAACTCTCCTAATTAGAAAATGAGTAACTTACCTTTGCTAGAGAAATGGTAAAAAGTAAGATTTAAACTTCTTTTCCCCAGTTACAGAACCCAGCAGTTACTTGTACAATAATGTAAAAAAACTACAAAATCTAATCACAGACTTCTATCATGACAAATAATCTTATCCCATATTGAACAAAATTTAGAACAGTAGTTGTAACCCACAGTATAGTACATATTACTTGTGCTGCTCTTGTTGCATTAATTATCAACTAGCATCTTATAGTATACCTTCTCACCAGGTCCTCCAGATTGTCCAATTTCACCAGATGAGCCAATAGGTCCCTAAAGAGAAGAAGAAATAGAAAAGCAAATAATCCAGTAACCTGTCATCTATAGTCAATGTTATAACAACAGCAATAGCATTTAGGCTTATATACCAACCCCATAGTGCTTTATAGCATTCTCTGGCAGTTTATAATGTAAGCATTATTTGCATATACCCCAATAATTTGGGTCCTCATTTTACCAACCTCAGAAGGATAGAATACTAAGTCAATCTTGAGCCACGTTAGGATCGAACTTCAGGCTGTTGGCCAGTTTGCCCGCAATACTACAGTTTAACCATTACACCACTAAGGTTCTTATAATGAATCTCAGCAGCTTATATTTAAATAGCCATATGCACATAAGAATCCAGTCAAATTCTATGAAATATCTGAAAACATTTTTAGGCAACCTGTATAAAATGTACACATTTATTGTACACCATATAATCCGCTTCTTAGTTATATAAGGAACTACATGCAAAAATGAAGTTGCTTTTGCAAAGTCACCAACAATCTTAGTAACATTGCCTACAAATCTTAAATAATACCTTTAAGGACTCTTAAGAGCTAGGAAAAACATTGTATATACAGAATCCTTAAAATTACACAGCTCTGATTACACTGATATGCACATGTATATGATTCTTGTCTATTGGCATAACTGTTTGAAGATTATAAAGCTGTTCCCGTGATTATTGGAACTCAGAACAATATAACTGCGCACAAAAGCTGTTCAAAGCATTCTTTTCTATCTTCCTATTTGGCTACTGCATAGGTCCCATTCACCAGCTTTCTGGTGGTATATACATTTGAGGATCTGCCTTTAGTGATCAAGCTGATGGCCTAATTATTATGAGTAAGATGTCCTCAAGGATTAAATCACAATGTCAGTGCAGTAAATATTTGTAACTTGGCATCATAATTACATCTATTTCAGTGTACTTTTATTTTCATTTTAAAATGTGTGAAAAATCTAAAATAATTCTGCATTCAGCTTCAGGTCTTTTGTATAAGGCAATCCCAATCTTACATGCTTCGAATGTTTTCATGAAACATTTCAGTTCGAAGAGCTTGTCCCATGGTCAATAGGGTAGACATTAAAGAAATTTTAAATAAAATATGAGTAAGGTATTACCAGAGCTTAAAGCCAAGTTGTATTCCTCTGTTAAATTTTGTTCTGTTAAATCAAGTCTCATGAATGCCAGAAACTCCCTGGCATATTAAATGCCTTTTTAAAACAAATTAAAACTCAAAATAATAAATTCAAATATGGGAAAGAAACAATGTAGAAAAAATGTCTACATAAAAGTGCTACCTATATAATATCCCCCAAAATACCAACTATAACTAAAACAACAACATTCTTGGAACAAAATTGGGAACTGAAAAGCCAACTTTTAATGCTATTATAAAGAAACTTTATAAAGATAAGATTCAGGCTCACAAAGACTGAAGAATGAAAGTGTGAATATATGAAACTGGAAAACAGCTTTTTCTAAGTCAATATCTTAAATAATGAGCTGTTTCCTTCTGTTTTGTGACAGGAGACCAGTGAGCTGAAAATATCCATTCTTAGGCCAATATATGTCAGATGTATGATTTATAGCTTCAATAACTCTTCAGCCAGTGTGGAAATCATGCTGGAGAGTCACTAATCCAATTGAAGCATCAGATTAAAGAGAGTTCTGTAGAACTGAACCCAAAAATTATTCTGAATAATGAGCTGTTTCCTTCTATTTTATGACAGAAGACCAGTGGGCTGAAAAGTGTCAGATTACAGCTTTAGATTTTTTTTTTAAAAAAAATCTACATTATGGACAGCAGTATGTTAACAATATCTGTTCTTTTTGTGTAGAAGACGAAAGTAACTTGATTGTTGTTTCTTCACAATCCCCCACCAGAGGCAGGATCCAGCATCCTGAATAGCAGGGGTGGGTCACTATGGCAATTTTATGACCTGCGGACTTCAACTTCCAAAATTTCTGAGCCAGCATGGCAAATTCAGATATTTGGCCTTCTAACAATAGTTAACATCATGGTGCTGACAGATTTATTTATGGTCCTTTAAGATGATATGATGCAATATATCAGAATATTGTAATATTTAAGCTGCTATTATCCACAAATTGAATTTTTAGAATGGCTTGCATAGGTTGAAGTGATGTTTAGATAATCAGTTAACTGGGAAATGTTTGCCAGTTTGGCAGTGAGTTATAATGCTTCCAAATGTAATAACAGCCCTTTTATCAACCACATTATTTTCTAGGGGGGAAAAACTTTAACATTCTGATCTTATTTTTGTAATATTTAAAAATATTTTTGTTTTGTGTTCAATGATAGTAAAGTCTTGCTTATAATATACTGTGGTAATTTAAAAAACTGAAACTTAGCTGTACATGCCAGTATACAATAGCTGAGATAGAAGCATTTTTTCCCCAGTTCTTTAAATCAGTGTTTTTCTTGGCATGACTTTTAAAAAACACTTTCTCTCATTTGTTCTACAAATTTGCTCAATGGAATTCTTTTCATTCTTATTAAGTTAACCAAATATTATATAACTAGATCTCCTGATTCTGTATGAAGCCACTAATTGTACCAGCCAGGGAAAAAAACATTTCAATTATAAGATGTTATAATTGCTAATACATTGCTAATACATTAAATCAAAATAGTTTCTCCTGTTGAGAAAACCCCTTGACTGAGTTTCATGCAAACAAAAAATACAATTTGTTTAGAAGGATCTCTAATACCAAGAAGAGTTATGATGAATAATTACCACATGAATAGGTTTCACACAAGAATTATAGTCAAACGCATCATTTCTATGGAACCTTCCAACAAAAAGATTGAGATTTTTTATGTATCAAATAATCTAACTGTAAAGGTATCTACTGACAATAACCAACCTTGAATATATTTCTCAAAAAAAGAATGGAATGATGGACAAAGGATTTTGTATCCTTTCACCTTTCAGTCAGAATCACCCAGAATAAAATCACATATGTGAATCTGATATTATTAAATAGAAGGGAGATAGTTAAGTCAAAAGCTTAAAACTATTACATTATTTTAAAATGCTCTGAGTCTCCAAGCATTCAACAACAAAGCCTTCTTCCATCAGTGAAATAAATCAGGACCTAGTATGGATTCTCTGCTGAAGAAAAAAGGATTACTTCTTTTCTTTTTTTTCACCTGAGTCATCATTAATGTCTTAGATCGGGGTGTCAAACTCGCAACGTCATGTGACATGTTGCGACATATCATGACTTTTTCCACGTTGCCGGCATGGATGGGTGCAGTTTTGGCATGATGCATCCGGCCCATGGGCCGGCAGTTTGACACTCCTGTCTTACATACTTCTCTGTGGAGTTCTCATTCTGGATCCTACCTTCTGGTTTAATTCTGCTCTTGCTCAGTTTTTTTTAATCAACTAAATTTATTACTTGATTAAGTACTAGATTTAATCAAACTAATTATTAGAGAACATGATGCAAATTACTTCATATCAGGTACATTTTGAAAAATCTACCATATTGGCACAATTGTGTTTGAATTTCAGCAAAATAAAGGCATGGTTTAAAATTCTACATTTTCTAAGCAATTACAAAAAATGAAGTCATAAAACCTATAAAATTACACAAAACCTATAAATTGTTAATTACTGGTTATATCACTCATTTTTAAAAATATTTTTTTGTTTTGAACTAATGGGGGTATTCCAGTATATGTCTAAATAGGACATATTTATACACAAGAATGCTGTGATGTTCTAAATCAAAAATAAGGAACTGAGAACTTATATATTTTATTATTGTTGTTATTTAAAATTTCTTGCAATTCTTGATTAAAAATGAATAGCAGAGGATTTGTAATAGACCATTCCCTTCTTATTTTCACAAACTATGGTTTCTTAGGTCAGTCAAATGAGGGATTAGAGAAATCTAGATTAAAACTAAAAGTGTTTTATTTAGGAACACTAAATTTTACCAAACTCACCTGTTTCCTGATATTAGTTAGACCGCTATTATCTTTAATGAGATGTATACTAAATCAATAAAGGGGGTAAATGGAGACCATAGCTGTATTTTTATATAGGAAGGTGGAAAGTTGTTCTTCTGTATATAAATATTGACAGGATATTTAAATATTAATTTTAATATTAAAATTTAATAATATATTATTAAATATTAAATAAATATTATAAACTTCTGTAGAGTCTAAAAAGAACATAATAAATCCGTAATAAAATTATCTTCAGAATGAGTGCTTTTTAATCCATTACATTAATTAGGACTAAGCAACAACCTGGATTCAAAGTGGAAAAGTTGATCCAGATCTTCAGAACATGAGGGTACTGAGGTAACAATTATGGTATTCTTTTTAAAAAACCTCTAATAGAAATGGTTAAAAGATATGTAGATTGTGAATCCATATGGCTGCACAGCCGTTATTAATTTTATTTCAGGCCTTATTACATCTAGAAAGTACATTAAAAAATATAGAAACTACTTGAGAACTAGCATTAATGATGATGATATCATTTGATCTTCTTTAATTGTAAAAATTACTTATAATTTATCAACTTATTGAGTGCCTATGAACAATATATTAAGGCAAACAAACTGGCTAACCAGCATTTGTGTGCTGCTATCCTATCCCATCCATGCATAGTACCATGACTTTAATATGATTAAATGTGCTATTCAAATTCAGAATGACTGCCATTTCCAATTAGCAAAAAAGAAATTCTGTAAACATCAAATTCCAGTTTATTAACATAAATATGAGACCAAATTTGGAAGCCAACTTTAGCAACAGGAAAGTGAAAAGTCATGAGGGATGATTTGAAATAAAATGGGTACATTATTAATCCATCTTCTGAATGAACATAGTGAGGAATTCATACATAAGATCTTCAATGCCTCACTAATATATGGATATACAGCAGAGATGAATTTTAAGTAATGCATAAATTTTAAGTAATGCATAAATGTAAGAAATAATGAGGCAAAGAGAGGGAGAAAGAAACAGCATGTTCATTCAAATAAAAATGAGCATTCCAAGCAGATAATTTACACCTGCGTTCTGAAACCTGATGCTAAACTATTAGACAGAGCCACAAGCTTTATATAAATGAAAACAAAGTTCAGTCCTTTACTATGTTTTATTTCAATGTCAGTTCCACATCAGTGTTTCTGTAATTTTATAGTATATGCCTCTGTATTTTTATTTCTAGTTACCGGTAGATTTTGCATTTCAAGACAAAATGAAAGACAAAAGAGTATAATAGGATTTTAACAATGGAGATAATAAGATGTACGTCTTAACATAGAATTGTGTTATAATTTTTATGGCGAAAAATGCATTTTACTGAATAGGGTCATATAATGAAAGAAACTAAAACCAATATAAAAAGAGTGTTCCATCCACAATATAGAATTTCCATTGGGCTCATAAACATGCATTTCTTTCTCTCACTTTGCACCGGTAGGGCAAATTATACGAACTCCAATTTCTTATCTGGGAACATTAAGCAGAATATTACTGGGGAGGTTATGGAATTCCACAAAGATTCATTTTATCAGTTGCAGTTGAATTTTGACAGGAATATCAAGCTTCAATTAAATTCATAGCACATCATAACTAAGCAATTATAGAAAAATGAAAACGAATCCATTTAGAAATAGAAAATAGTATATTCTTACTGTTTCACCAGTTTTCCCGAGAACTCCTTGGTCTCCTGTTTCTCCCTGTTGTTTTAAAAATATAAAACTTTATTTTAAATTATATGAAATTTAAATATTTTCCTACAGTATATAGATTACACTGTTTTCTGTACTTTGGCAACAGTTAGAAAAAGTTTATTTACTTCTCTAAAAACTTTTCACATAACATATTAACTCAACTTAAATATTTTTCACTATTTCCTGAAGGGCTGAAATGTCATTTATTGTCTTTTATTTGCTAACAATTTTTGCATTCCTTCACCAGTATTATCTCTGCTTTCCTCTACAACAGGGGTTCCCAACTGGGGGTGCGAGATGATATTCCAGGGGGTGCAAAAACTTGGGTTTAGAAGTTTCAAAATTATAGTGTATATGAATAACTCGTTTTAAACTTTTATAAGGTGTGCGAGAATATATCAAAAGCATTCTAGAGGTGTGGAGTATAAAAAAAGTTGGGAACCACTGCTCCACAATTATGCACAAACTAACTATTTACTCGTACATCGCTCAGAATCCCTCTGTGAGGAAAATAGGTGTTTTCTTATTTTGACAACTATTTGATAAAAATTCAAATTCTTACTATTTTTAATTTAACAAGAGCAAGTATCAGGAATAAGTCCTACCTTCAGGCCTTCTAGTCCTGGTTCACCTGCAAAACCTTTCCTTCCAGGTTTCCCCTATATTCAAACAAAGAAGTCCAGTTTTTTTAAAGCTTTTAAATAAAGGTTTCATTAAATTGCTGACAATTAGAGTTTCATTATGCTTACTGCAACCTATCAAAGTGACTGTGGGCCAAAATATATGCCATCTGTATATGTAAAGTTTGTTAGATTTTTCTTTCAACAAAAACATCTAGAGAAAATTGCAGTTATGTTCATTCTTCATCCATGAAGTATTTTTGTTCATTTCTAATTGCTGAAATGCAAGGACTAAGTATGCATTTGTGTGTCATAGGGCAGAAATTTCAAAAGGAATATCATTTCTCAGAAAAAGACCTGCCTTGTAAAAAAATTTCGTATTCTACCTATCTTGCTCATTAATAAAAAAATAACTGCAGCTACACTTCATGTACAAACTGATTTAATTGTTCTCATACGAAATCTGTTGTGAACAACCCTTGTTTTTGTGTTTCATAATGTTCACTTTATCCTTTTGATGCTACCAAAAAGACACTGTCTAGCAATAATCCTATAATAGTTACTCATGAACATTTTTAAAATAATCTTTTTTACAATTGTTCTAAGCATTCATGCTTGGACCAAATCTGTAACAAATTTAAGATTTCAAAATATGTTTTGGATAAGGCTGAAGAAGTATATGGACCAATCAAAGGAAACTTCTGACAACACAAAATTAAGATATTGGATAATATGCTCTTCAATAATAATCTCCAGAGTTTATACAACTACCTTTCGATTCATTCTTGCTTCGCCTATTTTTCTTTCTTAGCATTTTAAATCTTGTACTTTACTAGCCTTAATTAAAAAAATAAACAATGATTTCAAAACTACTTTTTTAAATTGAAAGTAGTGATCTTTCTCAGTTTATCAGAAAACATAAAAAAAATCACTCAAGGACTATTCGTTACCATTTCAAAGGAAGTGGGTAGAAACTATTATAAAAAGTTTAACTTTTTTGTTTTATATTCTTAATTCGGAAGCTCTATTCATTTAACTGACAACGGAAACAGATGCACATACATGAACTTAGAATTTCCAAAAATAAAACTACTATTAATCTGAAAACAGAACTCACTGAAGGCCAAAGCAGTGAGGGGATCAAACTTCTTTCCAGCTTCACAAGTGAACGTAAATTCATTACAATAAATCAAATCCCATTTCAGCTACTGCTTTGCATTTCTCAAATTCATTCATTTTTCAAAAATACAAATTGTTTTACATTAACTGTAAAAAAAATGCAATGTTTTAATAGGCAATCCTTCTTAGCCACATTTGGAGATGTCAGAAATACAGATTAACTGTAGTCTATATTGAAGTTTTTTAACCTGACAGATGGAAATTCAGCCCCAAATAGGAAACTATACTAAAATGGACTGAAATTCATTTTGTGTCTTTAAGAAAAACTCCCTGTAATGAATTCTTTTTATTTCTTTTAATATTTCTAAGTATTTAGGAACATTTAAGGAGGTAACAATATAAATGAGTGGAGAAACGTAACTCCAGATAAGGAAAACATCTTTTAGATCAGTGGTTCTCAACCTGTGGGTCGGGACCCCATTTGGGGTCGAATGACCATTTCACAGGGGTCGCCAAACAAGGCTGTCCGCCATTTTTTCCCCCTTTTCTTTGGCCACGCCCCTGGCACCCAGTGATGTATAAGTGGTTGGGGGTCACCACAACATGGGGAACTGTATTATGGGGTCACGGCATTAGAAAGGTTGAGAACCACTGTTTTAGATAGATGGAAACTCGGCCCCAAATGAGAAATTATATTAAAATGTGAATATTTTTAACCTGGACTGAAATTCATTTGATGTCTTAAAGAACATTGCTCTGTGATGAATTATCTATATGTCTGTTAATACTTCTAAGTATTTAGGATCATTTAAAATGTAACAATATAAACGAGTGGAGAAAAGTAACTTTAAATAAGAAAAACATCTATTATTTAGTTTTCTAAAATATTGGGGAAAACACACGTAAGAAAAATAAGTAATTCTATGCCAGGGACCCTAAATTCTATATTATAAATAACTGATATACTTTCTGAATAAATTAAAACTCACAACTTTCTTTGAGAAAGAATCTGAGTTCTACTTGAGAGCATTTCGGTCGTGCGCAGGAGGAATGGAAGAGAACTTGAGAAGAATATTGATAATTAATTCAAGTGGAGTAGTTATCTATAAAACGATATGCTTTTTGAAACATTAATGGATGTGAAAGTAGGAGAAGAAGGGTTACCAGTAATACGTAATATTTTTATTAAATGTATATAGAAAGGTAGGAAATCTTAAGAGGAAAACTGGACTGAATATATTTAGTAAAGTAAATAAAAGTAAAATCAGTGAAACTTATAGTTATATTCTATTCTATAACATAGACTAGATATGTTTTCCTGTGAATATTTTAGCTCGGGCTCTCCAACCTTTCTGCTTTGGCAGTCTGCTGGGAGAGGGAGGGGCAGGTGTCTTACACTCGCATGCATAAACATGAATGTGGCCACACATGCACACGCACAAATAGGCCATGAGTGCACCATGCAAACAGAGCTGCAAGCATGCGAGTGAGGCTCTCAGCGACGCCGGTGCCTGTATGAGGCTTGTGGCTCTGCCGCCGCCAGGCTAGTGGCAATGCTACCACTGGCGCGAGGATCATGCCGCAGCCCGCAGCAATGCCACCACCGGCACGAGGCTCACACTGCAGCCCGCCTACTGCTTGCAGCGCTGCTGCCATCAGCACAAGGTTCATGGCGATGCCAACACCAGCATGTGGTGTGCCACCAGCCACCTGCCACTTGCGGTGCTGCCGCCTCCTGTGCATATACTTGGGGCGCTGCCGTCGCCTTCACAACACTTGCGGCTACAGTGGCATGAGGGTGGGTGAGCACGCACACACACACACATATGCACTGCCCAACTACTCCTGCGACCTGGTGGCCAAGAGACCATGTCCTGGTAGTGGGCTGTGGCTATAGGTTGGGGACTTCTGTTTTAGACTACAAACACCAGCAGTCCCAACTTCTAAGATTGAGGAGGTGCAAATTATGGAAGTTAAGCATAACATCAAGTCCTGCAAAAACATCTGATATATTTAAAAAAAAAAGCCAGAACAAGTTGATTTGATATCAGTTTGAAAGAAGCACTTCAAAAAATACTTTACAAAAAGCTTAAACATTAACTTTACAACAGTAATAAGATCCAAAATGCAATGATGTATTTAATTTTTAAAAGAATTCCATATACAATGAAGATGCAATCTTCTACAGTGATTTATATATTGCCTGCAGAAACATTTTTGCAACAAAAATAATTTACATGCCACCTATAATGTGAGAGATAGTTATTGTAATAGCATGTTGAATGAGAGATGCGGGAAGTAGTCGGATAAGGGTCAACTTAGCCTATTGCAGGAATGTGGATGTGGCAAATGTCTCAGAAGGCACCCTCCCTAATTTATTGGGCTTTAAAGATGATGGGAAGGAATGAAATTTCAGATTTGTAAGTTTTTAATGTAACTTTACAATAAATGAGCCATGCTGGCGCAGTGATTAAACTGCAATATTTCAGGCTGACTCTACTCACTGCCAGGAGTTCGATCCTGACCCACTCAAGGTTGACTCAGCCTTCCATCCTTTTCAGTACTTACCCTTGGTCCAGTTACTCCAATTGGCCCAATGGGTCCTTCTTCTCCCTAAAGCAAAAAAAGGACAATCATTTGTTCTTGGATATTGCATTTACTGTAGATATTTTTGTGATGTAAGACTAAACATCTGAATGTATATACTTAAACTTGAAAGATTACAGAATAATGATTAACTCATAAGCATATACTTATATAGGAGTAAATCTCACAGTACGACTTATTTCCTAGTAGTGTCATGCAATATTCTTTGTCATCAGTTAAAATCAGGTTTCCTGCTAATTAAACCTTACATTAATCTTGGATTAGGGCATATGCCGGTTAATTTTTCAATTTTTTTTCATTATTCACCAAGGTGGAAAGAGCCTGCGAAGTAGGGGTAGGATATCACCATTAATATACATGAATTCAAGTCAACATGCATCAGACAGATAAAATATACAAGAATTAATCAAGTAATCTCCCACTAGCAGTAAGTTAAATCACTTCAGACAAAATAAACTTTGCAGTGTACAAAGAAATTGTATAGGACATAAAAAGGTGAGATTCAGTAAAGCATACAACAGATGTGTACATTAGAACAAATCCCTATAAAAAGTTAGCCTAAAAGTAAATAATTTTGAAGTAAAAAAATATTAGTCTAGTTATAGACATGCATCCAGAATTTTTATTTTTCTTATTAATCAAATTTTATAATCCTATTGGATATTTTTTACAATACATGGAAGAAAAATCTTTTTTAATGTAAAGAAAAATTATAGATGGATGGATGGATATAGACTAAAAAAGTGGACAATATACAGCCTTGTCCCACTCCTTTGGCAAACTGGAACCAGTCCATATTGTGTCTTCCTGACCTGTATGTAAGTTTCTCAAGATATTCTGGAGTTCCATTTTCCTGAGTACTTTTACAGCTTGACCTGATTTACATGTGCTTTTATAATCACTGAAACTGACAAAAAATACTTCTGTATTAATCAGCTGAAATGGATTGTTTTTTTTCACTTAATCAAGGAGCTATCCTTTATTCTTTTAATAAATGTCTGAAAAACATAACTGCTACCTCTGTGAAATTTTCCATGGTCACGTGTTCTCTCAGAAGTAAACACCGTGATCTTCAATGGTACTTATTTTCTCAAAGATGTAGCCTCCTCTGAATGGAAATAGCTCTCTGTGACAGTAGTGGCATGAACTGAATTAAATTAAATTAAATTAAATGCTTACCACATAGCAGTGATGGAGGACAGTAGGAAGCTCAGATTACAGCACAATCTAAATAATCTAGATAGCATCTGATCTGTGGATGGGTCTTTTGGCTCCAGCAGAGATTTAAATAGTTTTATACAACTCAGAGTGCATTGACTCAATGTTTGGATATTATAAAATGGAAAAATCAAATCACTTCTTCTGTCCATTTACATTAGAAACTTTATTAGTTCTATTACAAAGTTAACGGGGAACTTAACATAACATTGTGACGCATATGTGCCTCATTTGTAGAAAGAAGTGATTTAGCAGTAATCAAGCTAGAAACATCTTTCTGTTCTTGACTGGTACCCATTCAATAACAAAATCTATATTTCACTGGAGATTATTTAACAAGATTTGGGCACATTCCAACCATTTTAGATCAAATATATTTTATTTCTAGCATTCTTCTATCAGTTTCACCCTAAATATATTTTAAAAGAGGTGAAAGCTGCTTTGCGTAGGTCACAAAAAGTAATAACAGTTGCATGCTTTACAAAATGATTTGTAATTATTGCACAGGTTACTTCTCTTCTTTTCTGATATTTTTAAAATAGGAATAAAATGAAACGCCCTGCTTCAGAAATATTACACAGGACTTTTTGAAAAATTATCTTCTTGGACTGAGAGAAAATGGCTGCCCCAAGGTCATCCAGTTGACTTTGTGCCCAAGGTGGAACTAAATGGTTTCCTGGTTTCTAAATTGGTGCCTTTAACCATTGCACCAAACTGGTTCCCTGGTGTAGAGAACCAGTAGAACAAGCTACCATATCTGTGGACCCACATGCTCAATTCTAATCTGTAGCAGATCTAGGAGTACCCAGATTCCCAGACCTCCCATCATTGTCCTATGTAGAAACATTCTGCAACAAAGCTATCAACACAATGGTGCAATAACATGATTTAAATGAATTACAGTAATCTAACTGTTAAGATATGCAATCATAATACATAAAGTGGTATTTGTTACAAAAGCTGCAAGCTGCCTCATTTTTGATGCTGCTTTTGTGATACAGAATCAGAGACATTACCTGAAAGCACAACTGGAGGGAAACAGATAAAACCCAAATAATCTTTTAGCAGTTAAATAAATTACAGTACATTAGAGGATTGATCATAAAAGAGCTAAACAGTTTCCCAAATGTTCTTTTTTGAATTGGGAATTGGGAAGACAGTGATGGAAAGAAAATGTCATTATGAAGTTGTCTCATTCCCAAGAGTCAATATTTTACATTAGTGTTAATATACAAGGCTCTGTCATGCTTTTCTGGAAGTTAGTTTATATTTTTACAGAAATTCCAGTGGTGAAGAATGAGGAAAAGAAGAGTTTAGCAAGACAGTCTTCCAAGAAAAAAAAGTCAGAAGAAACTCCACAAAACCTCAGTCAGTACGTGACATCTGGGAGCGCTAAAGCTGAACAAATCCAGTTTCAAATGTAAGCCACCAATTTTCTCTAATTAAAGACCATATTCTCCATTCATGAGAGCCAAAATGTTACATAGAAAAGACTCATCCTTGCATCAAATAAAATTTTCAGCTTCCAGCTAAATAATCAGTGTTCTGACTATGATCAACCAGCATAGTGGGACTTGGGAAAGGATATTGAATATTTAGTAGGGAAAAATATGTGTCACATCCAGAATTTTACTTGCTGCATTTAATTACAAAGAATTTATAATAAAGTTTCACATAATCTAACCTTTGGGCCTTCTGGACCGTTTGGACCTGGTACACCAATATCTCCTGGAAAACCCTAGGACCAAATAAATAAACAAAGAAATGGTATTATCATTTTATTCAAGAATTTAAAGAAAAACTGAGATCTTAGATATCCTTTTCTATTTTTTCCCTTTTGTTTAGCTGCAGTGAATATAGTGTGTGTGTGGGAGGGAAATCACCTGTTTTACTATAGAAAAGGATCTAATCAATCTTGAAACGTTCCAGATGCTAACCTGCAGCTTGTCTGAGTGAGAATAATGTATGGGCCACTGAGATTATACATTCCTTTTTTAGCCACTTCTTCCCACTAACTGATAACTAACTATATCAAATATTGCATTTGGATCTCTCATTATGACATCTCTCTATGATTTAGAAAGCACTTCAGTATTAACAAACACCCTAATTGCATTAAACTCTACCTAGGAGATTTTGCTGCTACAGGTACATAAATAAAAGGTTTAAATTTTTCCAAAACCTAAAGTAGAATAATAAAATGAGGCAACTGTGCTATATGGAATCTTCAATCACCAGATGTGTCTTTTTTTTTTTTTAGGGAATATGTCTTATTTCAGAAAATATCCATTATTCCTATAGTATTTGTGATTACTGGACTTTCAGTCTGGCAACCATGTGGCAATAAACTCTTACTTTGGAAACAACAAAGTATTCTAATGAATTCAAATGTTTGTGATATAGGTATATGAAAATCACAACATCTTTATAAATATACATATATGGCATGGTTCCTAAAATCAGTAACCTAGTAATTGCTATGCCTATTGTATAAAAAAATACCTAACACATATTATTGCAACACAATAATTACAAAGCTTGCAACACTTCATCAGAACTTCCAAATATGTCAGTATAAAATACAACATAGTTATAAATGAAACTTTTTTGGAACTTAAAAACACAAGTTAGCTAATGACTCATGTTGAGAGACCTGCACTTCATTACTTCTAACTTTTATTCATATCAAACATCACTTCTCTATATAATTCTAGAGTTCTTTTGTATGTAAAACATATGGCAGAAATCTTCCATACAGTTTATTGTCTTGAGGGGATTCTGTGCTCAATTAGAAATCAAAATGATTTACAGATCAAATGAAGTTCATGTTGAAAACAATAAGTAATGTTTTTTTACTCCAAAAGCATTCTTGAGAGAAAAGCTTCCCAAGGAAACAAAAAGCTTTTCTAGTGCAATAGAGAGACCTCCACACTAAAATTGAAAAATGACTTAAAGACATGTTGTGTTCTATCTGACGAGGGAGTAGTTCCTACAAACAATTTTGGGGCAATTACTATTACCAGAAAGTTTAACAGTAGAACATTTCTAATACTAGAAACATACAGCTGGTTTACAAAACTCATCTGAATTACAAATAATACAAATATTTTTAACTTCAAAAGCATTTTTAAATAGACTCTAAGACAGTCTGGGGATATTTAATTTTTAATGTTTTTGCTACACATAAGCAACTTAGTTCATGAAATAAATCTCGATCTTATATTTACAACTATATTTTTGGATGCATTTTACCAATACCATAACAACAAAAGTGTACTAGATTAGCCAAATTAGCAAATTTCAATAAATATATCCACTTTTCCTGGCAGATACTGAACAATAATCTATTCAGAAAGTGAAGCCAATGAAAACTATTGGATTTCTTATTTTAAAATTATCACATTCCATCCTGGAATTCAAAACAAAGTTCCGAAGAAATTTTCAAGTCAGACTTAGGCCTGTCTGTTTATTCTTTATTACTGATATTTTATTAATCAATTAATGATATTAAAACAGGTTAGTCTTCACTTACTGATTGTCTCATTGAATGAACTTTCAATGTTAGGACAGTGTTAAAAAAAATGCTTTGTGACTAATCATCACATTTGCAATGTTAATGATCACCATTTGTATCCCTTGCAACCAGGGCATCTTTACAAACATTGCAGCATCTCACAATCACATGCCCACCATTTCCATGTTTCACTTGCAACAAGCAAAGTTAATAGAGAAGGCAGAAGTAAAATTATAAAGTTATGATTAATGGTGTTTCACTGAATGGCAATGGTGGCTTGCTTAACCAAAAGGGCAGTGAAATTGTTAAGCCTATTCTAGTCATGTAATGTTCTGCTTACTGACTGCAGCACTTAGTGAAAGACTGGGAAGTTCCAACTTGGTCACTAAGTAAGGACTGCCTGTATGTAAGTTTGAAAAATTGCAGCTTGTCAATTACCTCTGGTCCGGGTGGGCCTGATGGCCCCTGGGGTCCTGGATCTCCCATTTTGCCCTAAAATTAGAACCTGTATTATGAATCCAAGTTTTTCTTAAGAGGTACAGAAAATGAAATTGAATGTTGTAGTAATGTGCCTTTTTAATGTCCAGCATTTGAATCTTGTTTATTTTAATAAGAAAATTCTTTGCCTTTTGGAAATTACTGCTGATTAGTAGAAAAAAATTACACAGAGTATTAGTATTGGGGATAATACATTTAAATAATAATAATAATAATAATGTATTATATTATATTATATTATATTATGTAAATGCTTTTATCGCGTAGGTCATGATTAAATTTACAATCATACACATACAGATGAATTTGAAACCAATTCATTATTTCATATTGCTTGATTAAAATATTCCATAGAAGGTCTGATTATGTGGGCAATAAAAGTTGACCCCAACCTGAAGGCACATGATTAATCAATTTGTTTAAAATTGATTTATAAAAATAAATTTCATACCTTCACCAAAAGAAAATCATGAAATATTTTTTTTTAATGAAAGTTTTTAATTTTTTCCATATAAACATTATTAAAAAAAAATATACAATACAATTTTAAGATAAAATAAACATTATTACGACCTGCGCACTCCCCCCAGGCCGCGTCCACCCTCTCTTAAGACATTCCCTACTTCCCTCCTCTTTCTCACCTCCCATCCTACTCTCTTCCCCTTCCCTTCTCCTCTCACTACCCTACTTCCTCTCTACACTTGCCCACCTCTCATCCCTATCAAACCCATGAACGCAGCATAAGGGGAGTGCCCAGGCCGCACCCCTATAAGCAACCATTATCTATATTACACTTACCCCCCACATTTCCTCCCTCCCACCCCCAACCCCCCTCCCTTCACTTCCCAGAGCAGAATACAGGGTTAATAATTAAAAGAATTTATAATAATAAGAAAAAAGAAAAGAAAAAGAAAAAAAAAGAAAAAAAGAAAAAATAATAATAAAAAAGGAAAAAAAATATCATACTTAACCTTTAACTCCAATAGCCTATAAGACAATTCTCTGTAATATTTACTATAATATTCATTCATAAAATAAGTGAAACTTTTTAGTTCCATACTTTTTCTGAATATAATCTATCCATCTTCTCCATACAGTAATATATCTTTCTTGTGTATGATCCTTTAAATAGGCAGAAATATTAAGGTTGCTTATTGTCTATTTTGTTAAGTGGCTCTGCTATGAAAAAAGTATTAATCTATGTTTAAATATTACATGTGATTACTCTTATAAAACAGAAACATATCTTATTCCAGTACTACATAAACAGTTTAGTTATTAATAATATTGATTTACTGGTTTGTTTGGTGGGTCACATAAAAAAGAAAAAGTAGATCAGAAGTAAAATACAGAAACTCCTTGACTTATGACTGTTCATTTAATGATGGTTCAAACTTATGATGGCTTCAGAAAAATTTATGACCTGTCCTCAAAGTTACAATTATTGCACTACCTGTGAGATCATGTGATCAGAATTCAAGTGCTTGGCAACTGGTTTTCATTTACAACAATTGCAGCGTCTTACAGCCATGTGATTGTGATTTGGGGGAGTCAGATTTGTTTAATAAGTGTGTGATTCACTTTACGACCACAGTGATTTTACTTAGCAACCACAGTGATTTGCTTAATGATGATAGTAATAATAATCAATAAAATCAGGTCCAGTCATTATGACTTGCTTAACAATCCCATCGCTAAGTGATTATGGTAGAATGTAGTCCAGATTCCCAGGAAGTGAATTCGAGAGAATAAGAAATAGCAAAGTTTTGATAATTTGGATGGGAAAAAGAGGGTAAATCAGTCACTACCTACAATAGAAATTTTCAGAGCATACGATAATGCAAGTAGTTTGCTATTAATTTGGGAAGATTGTGTCTATAGAAGACATGTCAAACTCGCAACGTCACATGATGTCGCACAACGTATCAGGACAGTTTCACCATTGCCGGCAATGGGGTGGGCGCAGCTTCCGGATGACACATCCGGCCCGCAGTTTGACACCCCTGGTCTATAGGAACAATTAAGAAAACTGCTTAGAAGTAACTCTGCATGTCCTTCTTGTTTTTTTTTTAAGCCTGACAGCAACCAGAATTCCAGTCCTAATTGAGGACTACCTGTTTTGCCATCACTTTTCATTTATGAAAACTTAGGCAGTAATAGAATTGATTAATGCATAAAACGGAACAAAGGTTTTCGTTGCAAAGCTAAAATGATTTCCTAGGTTCTTCTCCATTTCTTTTATGTATTGTTGTGGTTGTAATAAATGATTTTTTTAAAATGTTTTCCAAATTTTTAACATTCTTTCTAAAAGATGGGTATAGTTGTTTATACATAAATTCAACATAACAGATATTATAACAACCGGAATTTCACAAGTCCTGATTAGGAAAGACATTTGAAAATCCTTATATACACTTAGTTCAACAACTTATAGATTTTAATGCTGTTAGCACTGTGTGTAGTTATTTACATTTCTTTTATGCTATATACCTCATAAGATTCAGTTTGCAATATTTTATATATTCTTGATAATCAATGTGCAAATAAAGTGATTCCAACTAAATATTTAAATCCAAAGCCATTAAAACATACCGAGGGTCCTGGTTTTCCTCTATTTCCTGGAAGCCCTGGCAAACCAACAGCACCCTTTGAAAAAAGAAGAGATAGGAGTTGCTAAAATTAAAATAAAATGAATGGCTGCACTCTGCCACTGAAAACAGAAGAAAGGTAATGCTATTATTTTTTCTAAATAATATTTTTATTCTGTCCTTTCATTTGAAAGCCACAATTCAGGAAAAAAAATTTGCTTTGTTTTTTTTCATAGATACTTTCTGTTACAAATATATGTGAAATCTATATAAAATAAGACGTCGGTATTTCCTTTTTTTAGAGATCCCTTGATAGGGACTAAGCTATTTTAATGAAAACATTTTAAAGCAAAGAAAAATGCTTTAGCTGCTCTTTTGCTCTTACCTAACTCTATTCTGTTAAAGAAACATATATACTGTAGGTTGGAGTAATAAACAGTATGGTACACTACAAGCTGGATTACAGTGCATGATTTCTCTCCCCGCCCCGCCCCCCATTATGTCACTCTTAGAAGAAATGTCCTATCATATTAATCTAACACTGTTTTTCTCTTCGTGTCATGCATCCTGCAGGAGAATCCAGGAGGTACAGATTTTAGATTCCACCATAGTGTACTGTTTCTAAATATACCCGTTTCATCAGAAAAGGAGCAAGATAAGCATATAATAGGAGGTATTATGCAACAGTGATTTACTTCTAATAAATTGATATTTGTAACTGGCTATGTCCCCATAGCAGCTACTTGTGAATGGGCATTTCTTCCTTCAGCAGTATTTTTGCAAGAGTGCCAACAAAAATTCCAAATGTGCCCATCAGGCCAAAAAGACTGAGACTCCTGGGTAATGTAATCATTAATAGCCTGGCTAGGTGACAGTAACCAGAATGTTAAAAGTAGAAGATCCAAGAGATTTCATGTTCTTCTTCTTGATGCTTGATCACCTTTAAAATCTTTGTGGGTCAAGAATTTTAGTGATGATAAGCACCTGTAGGCAAGACAAAAAACAATGGATGGGAACTAATCGAGGAGAAAAGCAACCTGAAACTAAGGAGAAATTTCCTGACAGCAGGAACCATTAACCAATGGAACAGCTTGCCTTCAGAGGTTGTAGGTGCTTCATCACTGGAAGTTCAGACAGCCACCTGTCTGAAATGGTTATAGTGTCTCCTGCTTGACCGGGGGGGGGGATATACTAGAAGACCTCTAAGGTCCCTTCCACTTCTATTCTGATCGATTATATGTATCAGAAAGGTGTCTGTAAGTGTCAAGGTGCTTCAATACGAATCTGAGTCATTCTCTAGTCCTTCTTTTGCTACTCGCTGACATTAAGCAATTTCCAATATCAACCTCGGTTCGTCACTCATTCAGACCTTGCCATCGGCTGATTGGATGCCAGAGCCAGAGTGGGAAAGAGAATGGAGTTATGGCCCTCCTTTCTTCCCTTGCGCTGTGTAACTTACTGGTTTCTGGGAAACAAAGTTAGAAGACACCGGTGGCACTGAAGCGGCTAAAGCCTTCCTAAATTTCATTTCGTTCCCACAGGAGTCATGAGTCCCAGCATTCTGTAAGTTAACCCATTTGACTTTGTTTCAATAATTGGTGCCCTATACATTCTAATTTCACCCAATTGAAGGTTTCAGACACAGTATAGGTTATTATAGCACTCATGAATGAGTAACTTGATGCGACTGAAAGAATGGGACATTGCAGAGTACATACAGGTAGTCCTCGACTTAACAATTCCTTTAGTAACCGTTCAAAGTTACAACGGCACTGAAAAAAGAGATTTATGACCGTTATTCACACGTAAAACCATAGCGGCATCCCCAGGGTCACGTGAACAAAATTTGGATGCTTGGCAAATGGTTCATGTTTATGACGGCTGCAGTGTCCCGGGGTCATATGATCCCTTTTGTGACCTCCTGACTAGCAAAGTCAATGGGGGAAGCCAGATTCACTTAAAAACCGTGTTCCTAACTTAACAGCTGCCATGATTCACTTAACTACTACGGCAAGAAAGGTCATAAAATGGGTCAAAACTCTCTTAACAAATGTCTCACTTAGCAACAGAAATTTTGGGCTCAATTGGGGTCGTGGGTCAAGGACAACTTATACTGTAAAGTTTACATAAACTTTATAAAATGAAGTGCTTTTGAATTTACCTTGTCTCCTGGATACCCCACCTCTCCTTGCTCTCCTGTAATGCCTTGTTCACCCTACAAAGCCATTATATGATATAATTTTACCAACATATTATTATATTACAAAACATTCAAATATATAAGGGAGTTATAAATAGCACATTTTGTAAAGTTTAATGAACACAGAAATAACATGCTTGTTATTATTTTAGAGGCTAATATGTTGTCCTGCTTTCTCTCTCTCTCTCTCTCTCTCTCTCTGCATGTATGTCTGTATGTGTCTATGTATCTATATAAAACCTCAGTGCCTCTAATAATTAGAGCAACTAATGAAACAGATTATTTTAATCATTAAACTATTAGACGTGATCAGTAGGAATCTCACATGAGCAGCTTCTGGCAAATTAAAAAATCAGAAAAAGTTCTTATAGATAAGATTCAAAGTTTTAAAAATATTTATAATGAAACTCTTTAGATCACCTTATCACCTTTCAATCCAGGTTGCCCCATACTACCTGGAAGACCCTATGGAGAACAAAGAAGAACAGCATTTAAGGCTCTTTCCACTGCTTACAGTAGCAACCAGATTTTGTAATAGCTCTCCAATACTTTACCAGAGGTCCAGGAATCCCAGGAAGTCCAGATGGTCCAGCTTTTCCCACAATACCCTAAAATATAATGAATAAACCAGAAGATGTAACGAATAAACTGATGTCTCTTTGCATTATTTTGAGGGGATGCTCTCAAGAGGTTTTGCTTGCTTTTTTTTCCTGATCCATACTGAATAGTCCTAAAGTTAATTTAGAAAAGAATATCTGTTGTTCAGAGTTGAACTGTGGAGTCCTTGGTGGTCTCTGAGCGTGGTTGTTTGCTTGCGTACATTTATTTACCTGACAAGAGAACATCGGTGCTGCCGCTTGAAAAAGCACCTTTGGGAAAGTCATGACCCGGATGACTGAGAATCTCCATAGACATTTAGCTAAACACTTTGGGATGAACACCCTTTGAATGGTGCGGGAATATGAATGCGTTACCAGAAAAACTGCAGACTACAGGAACCATTTGCACTTCAGTTTGAAATGCAGACAACACAGACTCATCCCTAACAGCTTGTGTTCAACAGTGAAGGGACACAGGGCAGAAAACATCCTGCAGAAAGGACAGCTTCACAACACAGTCCTTTCAGCAGTTCCAAGAAGGCTCCACACCCATTTGCACCACTCAGGTAACCCTGACGACAAAGATAAACCTCCAAGTGGCCTCAACAACTTTCTAAAACAGGGGTAGTCAACCTTGGCTCTTTTATGACTCATGGACTTCAACTCCCAGAATTCCTGAGCCAGCTAAGCTCTAAAAGAATGCAAATGACCAACTGTCTGCAAGGAATATCAATCCTTTCATTCCCCTCCATCCAGCCAGAGCTGAAGAAGCTTCTTGGATGAGAAGTGAAACATCTTCAAAGAAAAAACAAGAAAGCCCAGTTGCTCTTGAAAAAGCATCTTTGGGATACTCACCCTCTATATTTGTGCCAAATACAATTTTAGTAATCTTATTTTCTAATTCTCATCCAAGTAATTTATAGATATGTTGAATGACAGTTGACACTTCTTCCAGCTTAATATTAAACCATGAACAATTGCTAATTATGTTTGTCATCTTTTGTACTTAGAACTCCCGGGAAACTTCATAAAATATTTTGCGAAAATGCTTATTACCACAAAAGAATCAGATCTAGCAAGGCTTTGTGAAGATAGCAGCTCAGAAAAAGGCCTTTTGCTACTAGTCTAAATAAAATACCAATGGAACACTGAACATAATTAATTATTTTAATTGTTTGATAAATTTGTCCATATTGTCACGTGTGGTATATTATTCTGATTTATACAAGTCTTGCTGAAACTTATACAACTGTAGTGAGGCGGAAGTCCCTTTATCAGTGGAACAGCTGGCCACAAACCCAGCTTTATAATATGTATGCATTATACCAGACACGCAGCAAGGCACTTCTCAAAATATGGGTTTTAAAAACCTGATCCACTTTTTTATCATAAATTAAATATGCGTGCCATCCATATAATAAATCCCATCCCTCAAGAGACAGGATATTCTTATTTGTTAAGTTGAGCCAATCACTAATCAAGGTTAAAGCCACTGCATCATAATACAATTTTAAATTCGGTGCCTTTAATCCTCCTCTTTCCCGTGTATCCTGCATAATTTTAAATTTAACTCTCGGCTTTTTCCCTGCCCAAATAAATTTATTAATCCCCTTCTGCCATTCTTCCAAATTGGCATCTTTTTTCAAAATCATCTGAAATAAAAAAAGAAACTTTGGAAGTATATTCATTTTAACTGCCGAAATTCTCCCCAACAAAGATAATTGTAATTTTTTCCAATCATTTAAATCCTTTTGCACTTTTACCCATAATATCTCATAATTATTTTTATACAATTTAACATTAGAGGACGTTAAATAAATTCCTAAATATTTGACCTTTCTCACTATTTCAAAACCTGTTAATTTAACTATAATATCCTTTTCCTTCATAGACATATTTTTCGATAATATTTTAGTCTTATTATTATTTACCTTAAACCCAGAAACCTTCCCATACTGACGTAAAATTTCAACCAAATCCCTAACCGAATCTGTCGGTTGAGATAATGTCACAACCAAGTCATCGGCAAAAGCTCTCAACCTATAATCATTCTTATTTATTTTTATTCCCTTTATTCTAGGTGACTCCCGAATTTTAATAAGTAAAATTTCCATGGTTAAAACAAATAACAATGGGGATAAAGGACATCCCTGTCTTGTACCCTTTTCAGTTTTAAATGCTTCTGTTAAACCCCCATTAACTATAATTTGTGCAGATTGCTGTTGATATATTGCCTTAAGGGCAAATAAAAATTTATCCCCAAAATTCATTTCCTCTACTACTCTGAGTAAAAATTGCCAATTTAATTGATCAAAGGCTTTTTCAGCATCTAAAAAAATCAAAGCCGCGGGGATTTGATTGTTCTTGTCCAAATACTCAATTAGATTAACAATTTGTCTAACATTATATTTCATATATATTCCAGATATAAATCCAGATTGATCACTATGAACCAGTTGTTTCAAAACTCGCATTAATCTATTTGCCAATATTTTTGAGAAAATTTTATAATCTGTATTCAAAAGAGATATAGGCCTATAATTTTGGGGCTGGGTCAAATCTTGATCCTCCTTCGGAATCAATGATATGAAAGCCCTTCTCCACGATGGAGGTACCTCTGCTCCCAACAGAATATTATTAAAAAGTTCCTTCAATGGTTCTATCATTTCTTCAGATAACATTTTATAATAAATTGCTGTTAATCCATCTGTACCTGGAGCCTTACCAACTTTCAATTGTTTAATTGCCCAAATAATCTCATCAGAAGTAATTAAACCATTAATCTCATCTCTTTGATCAGAAGTAAGTTTAGGGAAATGTAATTCCTGTAAATACTTTTCTATATCTAAAACATGTATGTTTTCACTGGCATATTACTATAGGTTAAATTATAAAATTCCAATTTGGGGAGTTCCAGGACACGTGATAGAGGGAGTATCTAGGGGAGTAAATTTGGATAAGATTTCTTATAAGGAATTACTTAGTTTGGTTGGACAGCATTGGCAATTAAAGCCTTTAACTGAGTTGAAGCAAGAAAATATTGTATATTCTTGGTTTCATTATAATCAATTGTTATTGAGGTGGAATATAGATAAAAAGGTTGGTATTATTTTAGAGGATGTGAATTTGGTAAAACAGATTAAAGATCAAAGTCGATTTCATATAAAAAGAATTTATAATGCTTTAATAGAATTGGACTCTGAAACGGAGTTAGTTAAAGACTGTATGATTAAATGGCCGCAAAATATCCAAGAGACAATTTTATTGGATACATGGGAGACAATTTGGGTTAGAAATGTAAAATTTACTCAAGCACAAAATTTAAGAGAAAACTTTTATAAAATGTTTTATAGATGGCATTTGGATCCCCAAAAGTTGTCCCGCATGTATCCGAAATTACAGCCAAAATGTTGGAGATGTGCAAATTTAGATGCAACTTATTTTCATATTTGGTGGACTTATAAAGATATTAAAGCTTTTTGGATTAAGATTTGGTGGAATATTCAAAAGATTTTTAAGAAAAAGATAAAGTTTACTCCGCAATTATTTTTGTTGGGTATTATTGTAGATTTGGATGTTAAAGAAACTAATTTGATGTTGAATTTCATAACTGCTGCAAGATTATTGGTGGGGCAATATTGGAAGAAAAACTTATTGCCTACTTTGGAAGAATGGATACTTAAAGTGTCTAATTTAGCAGAAATGGCGAAAATCTCCGCCTATTTGAAGGATCATTCACAAGAAAGATATATTATGGTTTGGAGAAGATGGATTGATTATATTCAGAAGAAGTATGAAACTGAAAAGTATTATCTTGCTTTTGAATAGATTTTAGATAATTATTAATAGTATTAATGGTATTATTATTTTTGTCTTAATTTGTTAATATTTGTTTTGAGAAGGAGTTAAAGTGTATTATGGTTTTGATTGATAGTTTAGTTGGTTTATGTTAGCTAGAGTATGTTTGTTTATTTGTTACCCTGTAATCAGCTCTGGGAAGTGGGGGAGGGGGGGAGGTGATGGGTGGGTTTATATTGTAATTTGTAAAACTTTTAATAAAAAAAAATATGTATGCATTATAGTAAACTAAAATGGCCAAGATTCAAATTAGTCATTTATTTACTGCTTAGTACAGGAATTCAAAGAAAAAGGTTTCAAAGTCTAAATAGCCAGACAACTGCATGAAATTATAGAAAGTATCTTTATAGAGAGTTGTGTAAATTACTATTGTTTCAATATGACACCTATACCTATACCAAATTGTACAAATACTTAACCTAAGCTTAGGAAGAGTTTCTAGCCAGGATTACCCGATTCTGTAATAGCTTTATTCTCTATGCCATCCATCTGTAAACTCACAAGATTCGTTTTTCTCGCCATGCACATGTATACATAATCCAAAATAGACTGTGTTGTTTCTCTCATATAATATATATGCGTAATTCTGTATTTATTTATTTATTTATTTATTTATTTATTTATTTATTTATTTATGTCATATTTATGTAGTGTATATCAGGGGTGGTGGCCCTCTGAGAGCTGTATGCAATGAAATTTCATTTTAATATATGCCGATTAGTGTACAAAGTGACAATAAAGTTATTATTCTATTCTATTCTATTCCATTCCATTTTATTCTCAGAGAAACAATTTATACTCACTCTAAGTCCAGGAAATCCAGGAGGACCAACACCACCAACATTTCCCTTTGAAAAAGTTAAATTAAAGTGATTGAAAATAAACATATTTCTTTATATATGATTCAGAAACATAGGAAAAATCCACTGCATAGTTAATCTACCCAAGAAAATTATAAAAACTGTGCTAGATTAAAAAATAAACCCAGACATTTCTAAATTCAGCATCATATTTTCAAAAGTGTTGTCCCCTGTTATCTACAAGTGTGCAATGTTTTCTTTTGTATTGTCTCTTGTCAGAAATGCAATTTCCTTAAGTTAAAAGGGAAAATCTTCTTTGCATGGTAGATCACAGTCTAGAGACTGGATTTAGGAACTGAAATGGGTACCTCAGACCTCTGCAAGCCCTCAGCAATTAAAAAAAAAAACCCAAACAGAAAAAAGCAACATTTATGGCTCCACTAATTTTTGACATTCTGAAGGTAGGAGGACACAAAATGGGTTACATTTTGTACACTGAAGTTATTTTTTATTAAACATGACATTAACAGGTTTTGATGTACAGGTTAAGGTGCTGGCCTAGAAGCCAGGAGACAAGCCTTAAATATGAAAAACTGGCTGAATGACTGGGCCAGTCACACTCTTTCTCTCTTCCTCCCTCTGACAGTTGTTGTGGGAAAATGGAAGAGGAAGGAGTATTAAGTACGTTTGCCACTTGAGTTTCTTATAAAAGTAATAAAGAAAGATAAAATTCAAATAAATAAATAATCAATCGAATAATCAATTAACTAATTAACTAACTAATTATTAATTAAATATCATACTTACAGGACTTCCATCAGGACCAGGAAGACCTCTGTTTCCAAAATCACCTGGCAATCCCTGGTTAAAACAGGGGGGGGGGGAGAAAAGCATTGTAATGCTAATAAAAATAATCTGGTAACAATTATATTCTTATTCTCTGACATCTTTGAAAAGGCAATTTTTTTTTTCAGGAGAATGTACTGGGTGTTTTTGTTCCAGCAGCTTTCCATAAAATCTGACATGCGTGAATGGTCATGCAGCTCACCCACAGAACATTCATATCATCCAATAAAATGCTTTTTACTGTAACCAGTTTGAAGTTCAGCTGTGTTAAGTATTAAAAAAATCACTAGGGTTATCCATATAACCAGCCATACATGTATGTATTTCAAAGCAGCTTCAGGATGAAACTTTTATTGTTTCTGATTCATTACAGCAACTTAATGGATTAAGAGGTGTGATGGCTCAGCGATTAAAGACACTGAGCTGGTCAGCTGGAAAGCTGACAGCCCAGGACGAGACCCGAGCGCCATACAACAGGGTGAGTTCCCGTTCCTTTCCCCAACTCCTGCCCACCTAGCAGTTCGAAAGCATGCAAATATGAGTAGATAAATAGGCACCACTTTGGTGGGAAAGTGCAGTGTTCTGTGCGCCTTGGCATATAGTCATGCTGCCCACAGAAATGTCTTTGGACAACACTGACTACCTTGACTAAGACATAGCTAAGCACTGTTCTCTAGAGATAGATAAGGCTGGACAGGGGAAACGTTTGCTTTTAGCTTAATGGGGCATTCAGACAACAACCATCCTTTAGTCAAATAATATATTCAGGCTAGGCAGGACTATTTTTTGGTAGCTGAGACATGGTTCTAGTATTTCTGGCAGAGCTGAGTGCTGTGGTCACTGTGGTGGTCATGGGAATGACGATGATTCAAAATAGGTGGAATTCTAAATAGCCAGACTTGGAATTTGTTGGGAGACATCTGCTTTTTATTTCAATGCTATTATGTCTATTTTAGACCTTTGGGGACATAGAAAAAGAAGTGCAGGGGATTCTGTAGTCTCAAGTTGCTTATCTTTTATTTAGCATGTCTAAGCATTTGAATCATTGAAAACATAGGGCCAGCTTTTGAGTAGAAGATAATGGTGATAAAGATTGGTTCTGAAGGCACTGTCAAGTTGTATTCACCAAATAGGAAATCTGTGTCCATGGGAGCAAGGATTAAAATAGCACCAAAAATACCAAGCAATGCTGACCAGTTGTACTTCAAGGTCAGTGGTTTCTCCTGGCTGGCTGACACTAATATATCAAGGCAATACTTTGATTGTCAAATTTAACTCATTTAAAAAGTCTAAAACAACCCATGCTCAGTTCCCCAAGCAGCCACAATTAATTCCACATGTCCGAATGTTTACTTGTCACTTTACAAACGCACACATACAAACATATATTACACACATAAATTACTTTTAGTACATTTTGCAATTATTTGAGGAATTTAGATGCCACCAACTTTAATGCTACCACCTCAAGAAGCCTATTCACATTTTACTAGAAGTAACAATGGATTGGTTTTGTAGTTACAGCAAAAGGTAATCACATATATTAAGCATTTTCTATCCTAATAATTTCTAGTCATAAAAAAGCCTTTATCCCATTGGCCTAATATGAAGTTTGCAAAATCTATGTATCAGACATAATCCAGGAGGTTGTAACTTTAACTTATACTAAAATTTGCCAGTTGGAATGTAATGCACATACTATAGAAAAATACAAGTTTGGAAGAATAAAATATCTCAGCATAACATTAATTTAGTATTTGGATTATAATTTCTTATTGATAAAAGTACTGAAGTCTTTTACCCCTTCATTGGCGTTGGCAAAACAAATACTCCAAATTGCTTCCCAGAAGCAATCTCTTTTTGTTTTAAGCAATTTTAAAGCTAATATCTGCGAAATTCTTGCAAAAAATGTAAGTAGTACAAAATACAAGAAAGTTTCCAGAGAAAGATTCCTACATGATAGGTGATAGAGACAATCAGACATGTATTTTCTGCAATCACCAGGAAATTTGTAATTGAAACAAGAGTGAGGGTGAAGGTTCGTTCTTCAAGCTTGTGGATTGGTTTCTGAACGTTTCATTACCAAGGTAGGTAACATCTTCAGCAGAGTTAGGGGATGTCAATGTCAGTGTCCTTGTTTATAAGGGCTTCAGGTGTGGGTGTGTCAAGTGAGGATCTGTGATGCATCTTGAGATGGGTCAGTTTTGAGTCATCAGTCAGTCTTGTGATGGGTCGGGATGGGGATGTTACATCAGGTCAGAGTCATTGGGAGGTGAACTGCTGGGGGGTAGTTTGCGTGGGTTGGTTGAGGGTCAGTATTGGCTGTGCAGTTGATTTGAATTCTGAGGGGTTTGTAGGCTAGTTATAGGTCAATGTGTTCGTTGATAGAATTGCTTGTGGCGTGCCTGGCTTCAATGAACTCACGAGCATGGCGGGTGGTAGCATGGTTGATGATTTCTGTGTTGCTCCAATCGAACTGGTACTGTTTGGTGTCAGTGTGGGTAGAGATTAAAGATTTGGGATCGAGGTGTTTGACTGCCAGCCAGTGTTCATGGATCCTGGTTTTTAATGGACATGATGTTTGTCCCACGTAAATTGGTTGCAATGGTTATAGTTGATTTTGTAGATTACGTTGTTTCTTTCATCCTTCTGTATCTTGTCTTTGGTTCTGGATAATTCCTGGTGGAGTATGGCTATGGGTTTGTGGGCTATTGCTATTCCTAGGGGTTGGAGAACCCTAGCTGTCATTTCCGACACCTTTTTTATGTATGGTATGGTTAGTTTTTGTGTGATGGTTGTGGTGTGTCAGAATATGAAGTATTTTGGATAGCTGTTATGGAGAAAGACATTGAGCAGCCGTTTCTCTTCTGCTTTTCTTAGTGTTGTGATGCTGCAATGGGTCCTGACCCTTCTGAAGAGGGTCTGGACACAGCTTCTTTTGTGTGCAGTGGGGTGGTTGCTTGCCAAGCTGAGGATCTGGTCCGTGTGTGTAGATTTGCGGTAGATGCATGTTTCCAGTTCTCTGTTGTCTAGTCTCCTTATGTTGATGTTGAGGAATGGGAGCCTGTTGTCGGTTTCCTCTTCGTATGTGAATTTGATCCCAGGGAATCTGTTATTGAGTAGATGGTGTTATTCTTCAATTTGGGAGCATTTGATGATGACGAAGGTGTCATTGATGTAGTGTGTCCAGAATTTTGGTTGGATAGTGGCTAGAGCTATGGATTCGAGTCATGCATGACTGCTTTTACTAGTAGGCCTATATGGGTGATCCCATCAGGGTGCCTTGTACTTGCTTGTAGATTTTCCCATTGAACTTGAAATATGTGTTGAGGCATAGATCTAGGAGTTTCATAATGGTTTCTGTGGATATGGAATGTTCTGTAGTGGCATCATCTTTGTGGGTATGGTATTTAGTGAGTAAGTGGTGAATGGTTTATTTACCCAAGTCGATGTCAACTGAGGTAAAGGGAGCGGTGACATCGAAGGAAGTAACAGTTTTGAATCCTCTTTAAAGGACATCTATTCTTCAACTAATTCTGTATCTAATTCTTCAACTAAGCAGCGCCTCTCTGAAACTGCCTCCCAAAGAAAAAGACACATATTACTCATCAATGCTGTTTCTGAATAAGATTTTATAATTTTATAATTTAAATGCACTGAGTTAATATTAACACACTGAATTCACTATGGAACATTTCTTTCTGCCCATCTCCCTCCGTTATGCTTTGTTTTATTACAAATTGACTTAGAATTCATGTAAGGGTAAAAAATAAATAAATAGTATTTAACTTCTATATACAAGGAACATTTAAGGTGCAATAGGGAGACCAGATCAAGGCTGCAAAAATCTGAACAAGTCATTAGTTGGCAGCATAGAGTTACAGTTTTCTGTGGTGTTTTGCTGCCATCTACTGGTCATCCAGAATTTTGGCAATTTTATGCTGTAATCCTATTAATTAATTAATTAATTAATTAATAAAATTTATATGCCGCCCAATCCCCAGATAATTATTTATCTGCAGGAAGCACCAGTGAAGTTCATTATATTTAGAAATAAGTCTAACCTGAATAAACTGAGCTGTCAATCAATACATGATACCATAAAATGAAATAAATGTTAGCCACTTACTATTCTCCCTTTTATACCTCTTTTTCCAGGTAAGCCTGGAATACCCTGAAAAAAAAATAATATTTAAATTTTTAATAGAAGTTGCAGATTTATTTAGATATACAGTAGTTTGCTATCATTCTTCTTTCATTTTATATTCATCACTACCACTACCAAATTAGAGCTACACTGAATTCCTTTCAAGAGTAATAGTTTCGGCTGAGCAAAGATGACTCAATTTACTCACATTTGTTTTCATAAGTATTGATTATTTTCTTTTCATTTTGCCCATTTTGGACCCTTAATGATATTCAAGGTGGTATTTTTAAAGCTCATAATTAATTCTTATGATTACCCACATTTCTGTTTAGTGAATAGTTAGTCATACTGAGCACAGTAACTGAGGATATCAAAGATACTTAGAAATAAGATCACGAGGCATCAATTATATGGATCATGACGCTATGACTACTTTATTTAATTAGATTTAGACTTCAGTGAAGATTATCACAGAGGGGTTTCCCAGGGGAAGAGAAGCTTCTTCATATAAGCTGGCCTTAAATTGTTGAAAGTTTTAAAAGCATTGAAGTCTGGAAACAGACCAGCAAGCATGATAATATAACTATTACAGCCAGTTCAAATAACAATCTATCTGCCCATTTCAGATAGGTTTTCATACTGTTTCCATGTATAATACAATCATTCAACAGGGTTGGAGCATAAATTTCCATAAAAATGAATAAAAATCTATCCTATATTCTATAAAACCTACTCTTTCTCCCTCAGGTCCAGGATTCCCAGCCACTCCCGGAGGTCCAATGAAACCCTTTGGAATTATAAATAAGAAAAACAAGAAAATGAGAAATTTCTTCCGCAACACATTAAATACAAATTTTACACTTGCCAACACAACTAAAACATAAACTTTATGACTTCTGCAGTCCAGGTTGTTTCCAAAATGTTTGGAACAGGTCTAAGTGGTCCAGAATGTCAGACAAGTTGTGTTGCTGAGATACGTTTTTAAAAACTGAGATGTATTGTTTACCCTGGGCATCATGGTTTATTGTTGTAGCTGTTGTTTATACATTGCTCAAATTCAGTCTTGCAAGATAGGCAGACATATAAAATAAATACATAAATGGCTCAGATACTTTTAGCTTGATTAGCAGATTCACCATTCAGGGTGAGAGTTAACTCTATATTTAGGACAATATACAGGAGCAAAAAGCAATTTTCCCTAATAAGTGCCTGCTGAGTAGCTTGAATTTTAAATTGGGAAAGCTGAGGTAAGAGGCTTATGTCAGAAATCCACAAGCCTGTCCTTAACTTATGACCATAATAGGGCTTACCTGTCACAGTAGTAAGTTGTGATCATGGTCATAAAGGAGTTCACCACATGACCAAACCAATTTTATGACCTTTTGCAGCAGTTGTTAGGTAAATAACTACAGTCATTAAGCAAACCAATTGTTCACACTGGGCTCGTTTTGCCAAAAAATGGAAGTAAATGTCGGGTTTTGGCAAAAGCATTGGAAAACATGGTCATGTGACTGCAGGATGCTGCAAACGGCTGTAAATGTGGACCAGTTGTCGAGCACACAAAATGCAGTCATATGACTATGGGAAGAGTTGTCGTAACTTCAGAACTGGGTCAAAAGTAATCTATGTCGAGGACTACCCGTACTTCTGATTTTATTTGACATCGCAGGCAGAGCCTGAATAGTGTCATCTAAGCACATCTTTATTTATGTAGTCTTCTGATATAAAACTAGTATATCAGGATTTAATATGAAACTAGTATCTCAGGCACAAAAAGGTTTCTATTCACATATGCACGAACACAAAAACTGAAGGATTAACATGAACAGATTGGAGATGATGGGGATGAAAATAAATTCCATATGTTAATGAAACTCATTTTATGAATCAGAATTAATCAGTGAGTAGAGGAAAAAATAACTCTGCATGAAATATCTCTAGCCCTACGTTATGGTTGAGCTAACAAAGCCGTGCATATAATGCTTACTTACTCTTACACCTTTAGGGCCTGGGTTACCTTCGGGTCCTGTTAAACCCTAGCACAAGAAAACATGTCTTTTACATTATTTTTCAAACAAGAAAACAATATATTTAAAAGGTGTTAAAGTTATGAATTTTGCAATGTTGGTAACATGCTTTTTGAAATCATGTCTGTGAAAGTCAACATTCGGTACATATAATGTAGCTCTCAGAGGGCTTGTAAAAGATACATAATTCCTTTGGTATGGGTACTTTTTCCTTTTTTTGCTATAGTCAAATATTCATGAGAATTGCACTCTTACTTCTTCAATAAAATATTTGGTTTAATAGGGTTTCACAAGAATTTTTAATAAACGAAAATCTGGATGCAATTCCATATATTTCCAAATCAATATAATACCAAATATGCCCAACCAAAATCTTTTAAATTCTTGCCCCTTAAGCATATTGCTATTGAGTTATGGAATCAACTATGAAACAGTATTGCAAAGTTTTAATTCCGTATGTCTACGATAATTGTTTATTATTTAACTATTGCTACAGAAGCCAAAAATAAAGTTGAAACTAGTCTGGGTATCTGGATAGCCAGGCTGGATAATTATTTTCCATATATGAAGTACAAAAAGGAAACCTCATCAACATGAAGTTTAGAAAGCCATGAGAAAACTATAGGGCTTTTTTATGCAATCACCAGTCACATGCATTGCATTTTATAAGGCATCCAGACAATTATATTTCTGGCTGAGGAATTCTGGGTGTTGAAGTCCACAAGTCTTCAAAGGACCAAGTTTGAAGACCCCTGAGGAAGAAGATTAATGCAACACCAGGGGCTGTTCGTCCTTAAGCATCATATGGGCCCTTGCCTTGAAGCCGTGAGGGTCTGGATGGGGGTTAACAGACTCAGGCTCAATCCTGACAAGACTGAGTGGCTTTGGATGTTGCCTCCCAAGGATCATGTTAACTGTCCAGTGTTGACTCTAGCAGGGGAAAATATACCCCCTTCGGAGCGGGTTCGCAACTTGGGTGTCCTCCTTGATCCACAGCTGAAATTGGAACATCATTTGACAGCTGTGGCTGGGAGGACCTTTGCACAAGTTCGTCTGTTGCACCAGTTGCGACCCTACCTGGACCGGGAGGTTCTCCTTACAGTCACTCATGCCCTTGTCACCTCACGCCTGGACTACTGCAATGTGCTCTACATGGGGCTACCCTTGAAAAGTATTCGGAGACTACAGTTGGTCCAGAATGCATCCGCGCAAGTGATAGTGGGTGTTCCTCGGTACACCCACGTTACACCTATCCTCCGTGAGCTGCACTGGTTGCCTATTGGTCTCCAGGTCCAATTCAAGGTGTTGGTTATTACCTTTAAAGCTCTATATGGCTCACGGCCAGGCTATTTGCGAGACCGCCTACTATCTCATAGTTCCCTTCGTCCGGTTACATCCCACAGGCTGGGCCTCCTTCAGGTCCTGTCGGCCAAGCAGTTCCATTTAGCGGGGCCGCAGGGGAGGGCTTTCTCTGCCCATGTCTTGGAACCAGCTCCCCCTGGAGATTAGGACCGCTCCCACCCTGTTGGTTTTCCGCAAGCTGCTTAAGACCTGGCTTTTCCGGCAGGCCTGGGGTTTATAAAATCTGACTCCTGGATGAATGTTACTGTATTGTTTGTCTTGTTAAGTTATATTGTGTTTTTATTGTTAGCCATCCGGAGTCCTACGGGAGTGGGGCGGTCTATAAATTTTAATAAAATAAAATAAAAAATAAACATGAAAGCTTTTTTATGCAGTTGGGAGCTAATTTCCTGACTTCTTTCTTACCTTTGAGGACAGAACTCTGATGGGCTCTAAGTATACTCGCTGTGTTTTTGTAGTACCATAATAAAGACATCACCCTACAAGACAGCTGTTAATTCCTATGCATTTGTCTCTCATCGTCTGTTCATTGCACTTTTTTTGTAGTTCATCACTGATATTACTGAAAAAGCAAAAATGACTCCAGTGCTAATTCTTATTTCTTAAGTTCTTTTTGTTAAATAGCTACTGTAATCTGTGTTATATCAGCACTTGTTTCTAATATACATGTAAAAAAACTGCAAGTTTGACATACCTATTTCTTAACATGATGCTTTTTTTTCAGTTATACTATTGGGAGAGTTTCCATTTTAAATCTAGAAGCTTTTTTTAGAATGAACTCTTGATAAGTAACAGTATGGTTTCCCTTCAACTGTATTGTTCGGGATAACTTAGTGAGTGGAAAAATGTATATTGCATAGCTTTTAGATTTTAACTGAAGTCTCTGTTAATGAAAACGAAGCTTTTATGACACTTCTATAGTTTATTAGAGAGAATGTTCATTGTTTTGTGAAAATACAGCCCTTGAGAACACATTTAAAAAACAGTGCTGACTTAGGATCTAGCTTCTTCCATGAAACAGTCATGTTTTAGATTAAGTGTCTAGCATTCTAAATAACATTTTGCTTAAGAGAAGTGCCCAAAGTTAATTAATATTCCATTCAGCTTCTAGAAATGTTATTAGGATTTTGCCATTTTCTATACCCTTTAGATAAAACTTTATTTAGTATATACTTTGAAATCATTTCAACCCTGAGCTACAAATATTCTCTTTCAATAGTATACACTTTATCTACTAAAATATTTTATGCTTGTGTTTGCACAAAACAATAATTGTAGAAAATTCTGGCTTTATCAATCATTCATAAGTTTCACCATTCCACCTGCCTATAGGAATATCTAACAAGCCAAGAATTTGCCAATAAGGAAAAAAAAATCCTAGCTTATCCTAAACCAATTCTTGCTTGCTCTGCTCAAAGCTGGAATCGTAGATCACACAGAATCACCCTGGTTTATATTCTGATATTTTTGGGTAGCTAGTACAAATAACATAAAGAACCTTGGTGGTGCAGTGGCTAAACTGCAGTATTACAGGCAAACTCTGCCCACAGCCTACTGTTTGATACTGATGGGGCTCAAGGTTGACTCAACCTTCTTTCCTTCCAGGGTCAGTAAAATGAAGACTCAGCATGTTGGGGACAATATGCAAATAATGCTTCTACATTGTAAGCAGCCACGAAAGTGCTGTAAAACATTATAGGGCAGTATATAAGGCTAAATGCTATTCCTATGCTATAAACCAATTTATTGTGGGTGAAACAAGCCAAACTCAAGCAATGGATGCCCCAGCACAAGGACTCCAGAATTCTGACTTATGTTTCTTCTAAAAATGCAGCCTGTTATCAGCTACTGTTTGTTTCTTTGTTCATTAGATATAACACCAATATTTCTTTTATAGGATTAATTCTAGAAGATCCTTACCTTTTTTGATATGTGCAAAAAGCATACTTTGGAAACAAACTACACACATTAAATAAGATACAACTACAAATTAAATTAGGTAGGGAGATCTTGATGTATATATATATATATATATATATTTTAAAAAATACAATTTCTGGTAATTTAGGTTTGAAGTATAGTTACTGCACCTGCCTGCCAGGGTAACCAAAAGCCCCAGGGTTGCCAGTCATTCCTAGAATTCCCTAAATTGAGAAGACAAAAATACAGTTTAATCATCTATGTAAGTATGAAATATTCATTACAAGTCCACTCTTCATTTAAGCTTACATAAAACATATTCTGTATGCAGCAGCATAACTCAAGTAAGCAGTGGAGAATGTAACTCAAAATGAGGGAAAGTGCATGGCCATTTTGTAGGGTCTTTTTAGAAAACTTGTAGGGCAGGCATGTCAAACTTTTTACAAAACTTGTAGGGCAGGCATATCAAACATGTAGGGCAGGCATGCCAAAACCGCACCCACCCCATTGCTGGCAACGGGGGAAAAGTTCCGATACGTCACGCGATGTCATGGGTTTGACATGCCTGTTGTAGAGTATAGGAAAAAAAATAAAATAAACTGTAAATTTTCTTTAGAGAAAAGAGTGAGATTTGTAAGCAGGGTGCACAAACTAATGCTAACTATGGCTGTATGATTGCAACTTAGATTGGAATGAAAGTATCAATGCGTTGGTCATCTACAACTGAATGCCATCAACTCTAACTCTCATCAAATATCCTAATGAAATAATCCAAAAGCTGAGGCTAATGCTTATTTTTAGTGACTCAAAAAGTCTCTGGAGTGTTGGGAGTAATGACAGATTTGTGAATAGTGACACTGTTATAATTCCTCTAGTTTTCTTTTTAACAGCAAGAGGTAGCCTATAACTTACTACATTACTTTACATAAATTCTACTATTCTGTTATTCCAAAAGAACATTTAGATATTTTAGTATGTTTTTTAAATTTAATGAATTAACGTATGTTTTTGTACGTAGTGGAAATCAACCAAAAAACCTGTAACAGTTGGGCATGCTTTCATTTTTTTTTAAATGCTGCAAGATACATTGCCTTCTTCTGAATCATTAAGCCATAAATATCTAAGCAATTTACTAGCGATCCATCTCTCTAGCTCACTGCTTTTTATTCTGATTAGCAATGGTTCTCTGATATGTGAGATTTAAATTGGTGTGCAGGATTAAACATTGGCCCATATTCACACAAGACATTTGACAATCAGCCAAGCAAGCAAGCATGAAGAGCTTATTAAATATTTGGGATTAATACATGGCATATCAAATCATGATTGTTTTACTTACTTGTTCCCCTTGCATCCCTCTTTGTCCTGAATATCCCACTAAACCCTGCAGGTATATAAAAAAGAACAAAAACAAATGTTGCACTGATGTCTAAAACTCTCCCAGATGTCCCCATGTAAACAGATTTTTTTTGGTCTCTCCCAAGAGAATTTTGCCAAGTTTAGTTTTTAGACTTGGCAAAATTTCAAGACATGAAGTACGACCGGAAAATATTACTGATATATACAGAGAGAAATCCTTATCTCAGTACAATTACTTTTAAAAATTTCTAATATGTCACCTGGCTGGTATCAAATGTAGATTTATTTTATGGAACATACAACTTATAATTATACATTTATAATTATTCAGATTTGGATATAAATGAAGTAGTTTTCCAATCCCAAATCTTTTTCAAAGCATCTTGAGAAGCTAATTTGATTATAGTAGAAATGCTACTCCACAGACCTCTAAGATTTTAACTAAAAAAGTAAATTTGCTAGAACTATTTTTTTTATACGTTAAAAGAAATATTTTGTTCTTATGACAACAGAAACATGTCAGTAAGATAGCTGATGCGAACTTGTTGAATAATTCAGAATAATTAGAAAGTTCTGGGAAACTTTCTAATCAAATGTGCTGTATATCATGGGAAATATACCATACACTATTATGGGGAAAATCCCATAATATACAGTATATTAACTGGTGAGAGATAGTGTATTGTAATGGTTAAGGTGCTGGACCAGGAGTGAGGAAATATAGTTCCCTCAGGAATGGAAGCTGGCTGGGTGCCCTCTCAGTTCTAGCCTGGGAAGAAAGAAACAACCATCTATAACCCACATTAGGCGAGTATAGATAAATGAAGTCTTCATCCTGGAGTAGATCTATTTAGGGCTGATAATAATACAAATTCAAGTCTAAATTAAGAAAGGCATTGACCAGAAACAGCAAGCTGAGAATTTATCAAAAGTATGAAACATAATTTCACAATATGAGCTCCACCCCTTAGATAATTGCAACAGAAGTATAAAAAGGGTAGGCATTGGCACTGCAAGATCACAACACACATTTAACCATTTTCCAAGCCTCTACAGACGGCCATTATGAAATCATCCATGTGTACAGTTTGATCTGGAGGACAGTATTTTTGAAAGCATCTGAAAATGTTCTATTACCATTTTTTGGGGAAGTTTTTGGTAAAATGAATTATGTGATGATAGCTTGACAATACAGAGGTAACTAGTTACCTGTTTCTTAAAATTCAGTATCAATAAAGCAAGGGAGGAATGAAGCAAGGGCTTATTTGAAGAGCAAGGACAAATCCTTCACATGTAAAGTAGGTCTGAACATAAATATCCATTCTTGGAGTTCCTAAATATTTTTCCACTGTCCATACTCATACTTCAGTACATTTCGCTTCCTCTTCTTGTACATAAAGGAGTTCTAATTCTTTTTTGTGGTGGCTATTCTAAAGGGTTTTAAAGCTAACAATGGAAATACATGCTAGTGATAATTTGTCTGTAAAGGTAAAGAGATATTGCAGCTGATAGAGGTCCTTGCTTATCAGGCAGTAGGTATAATACTTTCATGTGGCGTGGGCTTGCCCCATTTTCTTGGGCTTTAAGAGAAATGTTCGGTTACAGCCAGTGGTGGGATTCAGCTGGTTCGCACCAGCTAATTTTTTGTTGCCCAGGCCTAGAACGGACTTCCGGAACAACTTCCGGTTGTTCACATATTTGAATCCCGTCACTGGTTACAGCAGTAACTTCTGTCTGAGAATCCAGACGGTAGACCACAGCTACTAATTGTTTTCAGACATGCGTACAAATGAGGGGGAAAAATTGACAAAGTGAACAGAACTCATTCTAGTCATTGAATTTGTATAACTATCATTTCATACAGCTTTTTTGAAAAACACATGTGCTTTTAATCCAGTTTTCTTTTAATTACAGGCGGTCCTTGACTTACAAACATTCACTTAGTTCTGAGTTACAATGGCATTTTAAAAAATGATTTACAACTGTCTCTCACATTTACGAGCATGGCAGCCTTGTCAAGTCATGTGATCAAAATGTGGGTGCTTGGCAACCGGCATGCATTTATGATGGTTGCTATATAGTGGGGTCATGTGTTTGCCACTTGTAACTTTCCCAGCTGGCTTCCGACAAGCAAAGCCAATAGAGAAAGCCAGATTCCTTTAACAATTGTGCGAGTCACTTAACAATTGCAGTGATTTGCTTAACAACTAGGGGGGGAAATGTCATAAACTTTGACACAACTGACTTAACAACTTTCCATTGCTTAGCAATAGAAATTCTGTTCCCAATTGTAGTTGTAAGTCAAGGACTACCTGTACTGGGATGATCTGTAATTTTAGACCTATAATGCTTTTTTATTCTCACCTGGAATAAATTAAATAGTAGTTGAATGTAAGGCAGGCTTCTGGCTATTGTTTAAATCTCATTGTATTAATTTTATACATTGAAAGAAACTTTTGAATCTAAAAACTTTACTATACTCTTTTCTGAATGAAACATTGGCTATAAATCCAATAAATAGAATTTCACATTTGTCTGCAATGTGTAACAATTTTCAGATGAAGCATGCTGATGTGTCATGTCTTGTTTACAGCACTGGTGAATCCAACATGAATTCATGCTGATATATTATTCTTGTTCTGTTTAAAATAAACTCTAGAAGACACAATAATAAATTACATGTTTAAACCGATTGTTTTTCATAATTAGCAGCCTCTACATATTTGTTTGAAATTTGGTTAGCAATTCTTCAAATTAATTAGCTATACTTTAAAAAAAATATGCTTGACATTTTGTACAAGTAAAATATCATTTGAATGTTATTCCCAATTATATAAACACGTATGCCTTCCACATGTTCCCAGCAAGACATTTGCAGTAGTTACATCACATTCAATTTTTCTCTTGATCAACTCTTCTGAGTGAGTGGCTGGGAAATAGCACAAGGGTCTTGCTGTGGGATCAAAAGCTGTACACATGTAGAAACCTTAACAGCTGTCTGAATCCCAATTAAAATTTGAACCGAATTTACCTGTCTGAAATCCACTTTACTATATTAATACATTTTTTCTGTTTCTATTCTTACATACATATTGATTGAAAGCAACAGAAAATATATACTATAACCGTTTACTGGTGCACCCTCATATAAAGAAGATACAAAGTTGGAGTAGTCATTATGAATAAGCCAGATCATCCAGGGAAGTAAAAAACAGATTTGATGAGAATTGCACATTTTTGTGGGGCTTATTTATGGAAAACAAGCTCACTACCAAAACTTACTCCCACTCTGCCTGGATAAGCTGACAGCCAGCTTTATCTTAACCATGTCCAAAGCACGTTCTGACAGGGTTCCAACTCAGCATTCAGAAACCTAATGGATGTTGTTGGACAAGATGGCTGTCAGCTTGTTCAGGCAGGACGAGAACGAGTTCTAACAGCAATTTTTTTTTTTTTTACATACAAACCGTATCTAATCCTTTGATGCACAAAGCTGGATCACTGACTGAACTTGTTTCTACTCTGCCTGGACAAGCTGACATCAAAATAAGGATTAGTTGCTGCTATAAAAAGCATTGAGCCATGAAAAATAAATCTGAAACAAAAAATGAAAATATTTTCCTCAAAAATAAAGTAGGAATGATACAAAAAAAGCTTATTCTTCTCATTTAAAATATATTTTTAAATTGGATTGCTTCATTTTTTTCAGCTTTACTTTATAAAGCTGCAAATTTCTATTTCTGTTCTATTGTTTCATTTGACATATAAATGAAAATGTAATGATTTATTTCTTGCTCAACCTTATTCATGAGGGGGGCTTGTTGTTAAACAATTCATTTACATTTTAGAGAGTTATGGCATCACAAGTTTGAAATCTCTTATATAGATCCATAAATCTTGTTTTATTAAAAAAAGACTGGATTTTTTAAAACATGCAAAGCCAAAATCAAATAAATTACATTCTGTTGGTCATGCCATAAACTTTAATATCACATACATTTTGTAATGCCTGCCTGTATCACATTCATTTGACTGCAAGACAGAACTGAGTGGATGAATTGAACCCATATCCAGTGATAAAATCTGATAAAGAAACAAATAACCAAACAGTGCAACCTCATCCTAACCTCAGGCAGATACGTTTTAGTGTCATGGATGCGTACCAAACTGTAATTTTTTAAATTTGTTACTATAGTATTTTACTAAAACATTTTGTAAAAGCTTGTGACTCAGTCTAAAATGATATTGTGAGGCTTAAGTAGTTAGTTCTGAATTACAGGCAGCTGGTTTGGATGTCCTTAATATATAGACAGATAGTTCTTGGGTTACGAGGACAATTGGGACCAGAATTTTGTTGTTGGGTATCAGTTTTGTGTTGTGCCTTTTGATGATGACGAAGAATGATCTTCATTTAACATTAATCTGTTATTTTGTCATCTACAGCTTGACAAATATTAAACATTGTTTATGGATTTGAATAACTTCATTGGATTTTAGACACATATAGGACCACAATGTCTAGAGCCATAGTTACCTCTTTTTTAAAAAGGGATCGACCTTCGTTTTCAAAATGAGCCCTATTCATCTTGGTGGAACCTGCAACATGGGCTGCTAATTGATTAGAATTACTAATAATGTTGGACCTACTAATATATAGATTTTTAAAAAATAAACTAAAGTACAACCAAGCATATAATTTTCAGTTCCAGGTAAATGTACCATCCAAGGAATATTGGTGCAGTAATTCAAGATTTGTTTTTTTTTAGTTGATGAAAGAAGTTGCATTAATCAACAATGTTAAAATAAAGTGAATAAATTTACTAAAAGTAAAATAAATTTACAATTTTTATGAAGGGCTGTTGTGGTAAAACATTTATTTTGTACTTTGACAGAATACAAAATTCAACCCTATTTTTTTTGAAGATAATGCTCCATGCAGATATGACAATCAGTAAAGACTGCTAAAATGACTAGTTATCAGACTAGCCAGATAGATAGCAATAAAATTAAATATTAATCTTTTTTTTAAAGGTCCCTGTTCTAGGACATGGAATCCTGAAGAAATACAAAGCATTTTTCTAAAAATTTAAAAACAAAGTTTGAATTGAAATGTCAGTTTTTTTCAACAAGGAATTGTTCCAGAACACAAATAATAAAAATAGTAAAATTTATTAAGATGCATGCTGATGGATGTGCCCTTGTAAGACAATTCACAGCAAGCTGAATTGATCCCGAGTAGCAACAAAGGAAAAAAAATCCATCGGAAATCTGTGGTCCAGTAAACCAAATGGTTTATCAATAAAGGAGAATATTTGTAGCTCAGGTTGAAATTAGGAATCTTTGGTGCTCTCTGAGCTTGCTTGTTTTCTTGCAGACGTTTTATCACCCAAACTAGGTAACATCATCAGTGCTAATCAAATTGTTTATATTCATTGAGCACTCAGAGATAGTGTAGCTAGCATGCTAACTAATAGGAGGACATAAATTATATTAAGGTCACCTAGATAGTTTTATCAAAACATTTTAACATCATGGTGTCATTTATACTATGTCTGCCTTTTTCTATCTTTTGACTTTGTAAGAGTATATAAGCTATGGTTCTGCCTTTGCTTACTGCTGCCCAACAAGCAGCCAATGCTTTGCTGAAAAGCCCAGCATATACTATATTGCTTACATGCCAACTAAAATTGTGCTGTATTTTCAAAGTAATGTGGTTACAAAAATTACAGTCACATTACATTTTGTAGTTCTGCGTAATGGGAAAAAGTCTTACGAATACTCATGGTGTAAGCTGCAAAGCTCTATATTTCAGACAAGAGGATTCATAGAAAGAGAGATTTGGCTATGTAATGTAATTATAATGTGGGAGACATTATGCAAATGAATACGTTTGATCTCTAAAACAAAAGAAGAGATCAACCTTTCAAAGTACTTTTTATATATAGTCTTGCAGCGTATTATATGAAAGCTAAATAATTATATATGAATATTATAATGCTTTTTCAAGTTCCCTAATATTCTCTTGTCAGTTTATAAATATTAGATATTGAATTAGCCTAATCAACTCTGATCACTCTAATAGATTTGGTGAAGTCTCTACACCAAATAAGCAATCATAAGCTCACTATCATAACTCAGAAGAAACACAGTATAATCTCAACCCATATACTATTTAGTTTTCATAAAATATGCATAATTTCATACAAACAGCAGAATTCCAGTCAAAGGAGCACCTCAATTGCCACAATATTACAATTAATTTGCAAGTTTCCATCATTTACAAGGCAGCCATGATGCCGTATTCAAGTAATTAATATTCTTGTAACAGGGCTTTTCTTGGAAACTCTTTTTCAAAACAGATTTATTTAAACAATGTTTCTTTGGAGTCTTATTGGTTATTGAAAACTTTGTTTCCTACATTTTCAGTATCAGGAGTGGTTCTGATGACGAACTTCAACCTCAGATTCTATAATCTGTAAGAAATTCCTTTTACATATGAGCATGAAATTATTTATAATTATAAACCTTAATAATGGCCTACAAACAAACATATTTTAAAAAATCTTACCTTTTCACCTTTGAGACCCTCTATGCCAGGTAACCCTGTTAATCCTGCATCACCCTATAAATTTAGTATAATGTTAATGTAGCATGATACCAGATCAAAGAATAACTATATACTCTGAAAAGATTATGTTCCCCATAGCCCTCAAACTACTGCAATATGACCAATTATCATTGCATTGCTTCTAGAATTAGCATACTTCAGAAACTTTAAGCCAGAGATTCAGAGAATCTCCTGCAGATCTTTGTGTGAACAGCAGTGAACTAGCAAGGATTCCTGATTCTTGGTAGTACAGCAGTAACATTATCTTGCCTTGCTTTTCTTAAATTATATTTCTGAAATAAAGAATAATCAGGCGTCAATTTTTGTGGAAGAATTATAAACTCTGCTAAGTGCTGATATTAAAAATGAAGTCCAGAAGTCAAAAATAGGTAGCTGTTCCTTGCTATTTTCTGATGCACATTTAACACACTATTATTTTAAAAAATTAAATACTATATCTGATTTTTGTTTTGTTGGTAAACCACCAGGAAACACAAGGACAGCACACTGAAAAAATATTGATGGAAATAATGCAAACTCCATTTTGTTTACAAGAAAGCTATACAGACATATCCATGAAATCATCAGGAATTAAGCTGAATTCAAAACAGATGATACCATTTACATCAGGGGTGTCAAACTGCCGCCCGCGGGCCGGATGCGTCACAAGGAAACCACACCCACCCCATTGCCAGCAATGGGGGAAAAGTTCCGATACGTCACGTGATGTCATGTGACGTTGTGAGTTTGACATGTCTGATTTACATATTACTCTTTTGCATCAAGATCTGGATGACGAATCTTGTAATAAGAATAAAATTGCAAGGTGATCCCACTTAGATTACAGCTTGACTGCCCTGGGGTGCATCATAGCACCATTTTTAATAAATAGACAGAATCATTGCTTAATAGTAGAATAGTTCCAACCTTTTTTCGTATATAATACATGCAGTATCTATTTCTACAGTCTATTAGTTTTCAAAATTAGTAATGTAAAGCAAAAGAACCTGCAGATGTACCAAAGAAGTCTTTCCAAACAAAATTAATCAGGGAAATAGATTGTATCCAAAAGAAAATCAATAACAATGCAATAGCACATTATGAAATCCATATTTTCAACAATTAGACAAACCCATCATTTTCTTTCCCCTTTTGTTTGTGCATTGTGAGTCGTCCTCCCACCGAAGAGATGTAGCTTGCAGTATGACATTGCTTTGGTCATTTTGATGAAAGCAGGGAATTTCTGTTGATGCCCTTGCTTTAACAAGAAAATATTCCTAACTTTCCAAACCACAATTTCATTTGTCTACATAATCCTCCTATAATTTTAAATTGGACATAAAACATTAATTATACAGTACAAATAAGACTATGACCAATATTACTCATTTACTTTTTCTCCGCGCTTTGCTTGTCCTGGGGAAAACCCTGGATCACCTTTTGGGCCCTGGGAAAACAAAATTAAATTAATATATAAGGCACAGGTATTATTGCTAATATCTCTTAGAAGTGAATATGTTATTTAGGAGAAGGATATATAGATTCAATGAAATATATAAAATAACACTTTAATCAAAGAAATAATTTCTATTATATATTGGAGGTATTTTTATATGCATTTTACAACATTAGCTCTTCTAGGAGTTTGTATAGATGACTTAGATCTAGAAATAGAAAAACACAATTTTAGTATTCTAGTAGCTATATTTTAGAAATATTTAATACTTCTCTGGTAGTTTAAAGTATATAATTCAAAAAGGACAAATTAAATTACCACCATCTTATTCTAATAAAAGACACACCTATTCTTCAATCTCCTTAATCTTCAAGCAGTAAAGCTGCATCAAAAAATATCCTCAATAATCCATAATATTTTCCTTTCTTGTGTTCCTCTACCTTTCTTATTCTAACATGTTTTCCCCTCATTTCTTTTCCTTAAATTTTCTCCTAATTTTCTTTTCTGCATTTACTCAGCTTAAGCATAGTTTAATGTTAGCAAACGTCTGAGGCAATAGCAAAGTAATTACCTTTTTGCCTGCCAAAGTAAAATGGGCAAGTTTTAAAATTTCTCCCCCAACCTCAAGCGAGAAAGCTTGTAATGAACAAGCCCACATCTTACTTGACTTCAAGGTTCCTTTCTGAGAGCTTCTATAATCTCATAGGTGTTAAATTCTCATAGGTATTAGCATACTTTTAAAATAATATTTTCTTTAGTTTGGGAAATAAGCAAATGGCATCTATGTTTGATAATTCTGACATGTGTGGATAATACATTCTTGTCTTAAGCCTATTTGGAAACCATGTTTTTTTAAACACGTGGCCTGATTTGTTAGGGTTTTAAACTAATTTTCCTAAATTGGGAATATCCACTCAAGAGAGCTGAATCATTTTTGATTTAAGCAGTGCATCCATGAAGGCCAGAGGTACAGAGGGTTTTATCATGATGTCTTTGTACAAGTGATACAAATTATGTACTTGAGTCATTTTGAGTAGCAAAATGGAACAAGTACATGATTTTCATAATGACTTCACACAATGTCAGCTTCTACAGGATTCTTACATACAAATGTAAATCAGAATAGGGTAGAGGTGGAAGGGACCGTGGAGGTCTTCTAGTCCAGCCTCCTGCTCAAGCATTTCAGACAAGCAACTGTCCAGTCTCTTCTTAAAAACCTCCAGTGATGAAGCACCCACAACATCTGATGGCAAGCTGTTCCACTGGTTAATTGTCCTCACTGTCAGGAAGTTTTTCCTTAATTCCAGGTTACTTCTCTCCTTGATTAGTTTTCATCCACTGTTTCTTGCCCTGACCTCTGGTGCTTTGGAAAATAAATTGATCCTTTCCTCTTTGTGGCAGCCTCTCAAATACTGGAATACTGCTATTATTTAAACCCAAATACTTAATCTTAATTTAAAATACTTTAAAACAAATACTTAAACCCAAATACAAATAAACTCTCAAATACTGGAATACTGCTATTATTTAAACCCAAAGAGGCAATTTGTACAATCTGGAAAAGGATATAGCTATATTAATAAGATATCTTTGTCTCTTAAACAAATTTTAAAATATATGACAAAATAAAGTCATCATATTTATATTACCTATTACTTAACTATTTCAAAATTTTACAGCACTAATTTTGTTCAGGATCTCTCATGTGTGGGATATTTCTTCATTCCTTTTGTTAATGACTATTTTAAATGATGTAATATTAACCCATTTTTTAATCTGTCTCTTCTAATTATTCTAAAACTTGAAGAGGTGGGATTTTTATTATTTCTTTTTTACAGACAGGTAGCGGATCCTGTCAATAACAAGAGCTTAAGTATTAGGTGTTCTGAGAACCCATAGAACATTTAAGCTTGGGATTAACAAAATAAATTTCTTTGGGCTGGCTGCTCAAACTTGTTGGTGACTATTGATGTAGGCTGACATAATCTTGGTAAAAACAACTGTTCATGATAATTAGAGTAGCTGGTGACGTTCTACTGAGCTAAACTTGGAAAGGATTAAACCTGTCTTGAAAGTGATGGAAGTTCTACTAATTCTTAAATTCTTCTCTGGCTTCCAGTTGAAGAATTGCCAGCTTCTCTGGCCTATTAATTCCTCACTGTCCATCATAATTATATTTTCACTTCCTTACACTGAACAGGAGAAAATTAAGAAGTTGCAAGTGAAAGAACAAGGAATCATTCCTTGTCAAAACTTTATTCACTATATTTGAATTTGTTGCTGCAGTATTCTCCTTGCATCATTCATGTTTTTCAACTTATAGGAGAATATGCAAAAAAAAAAAAAATTCCAAATTAACCCAAACATCACTAACCGAGATTCATATGCCAAAATATTCTCCATTTGCTGTGCTAGATACTTAGAACGCTCAAAAATTACAGGGTACTTTGTTTTACATTAGCCTGTGTAAAGTTTATCTAATGCTGCTAACTGCCTGGGAGCAGTTTTTAACACTTGTCACAACAGGTCAGATTCCCACCCTAAGGAACTGTATTAGAATAAATGGCTCTAGTTGTTTTTATCCTGTTACCCATTTATCAAGGAGCTATAACTAAATCCGACTTGAAGGCTCTCCAGAATTCCATACAGCTGTCCAGAGTTATCTAAATAGTTTCTGCTTTCAGACCTCCCTTTTAATCTGCCTACTAGATTTGACTCTATCAAAGCATTACAGTATTTTACCCTTCAGGTAACAAAGCTTAGAAAGTTGCTAAACAAATAAAATAGGAATACTGAGGCAAAACCTTTATTGCAGCATTCACATATTTTCTTTGAATAATGTGTGTGTGTGAAAATATAAAAATGGCTGCTTTGTTAATCCTTGCCTTTAAAGCATAAACCACATTTAAAATAATGTGCCCGATTTTGCTTTTACAGATAGTCCTCACTTAGGAACCACAACTGGGACAAGTAATTTGGTTGCTAAGCAATGCAGTTGTTAAGTGGAAAATCATGTGGCCATGACGAGCATATTATATTATTTCCTCTTTGGTTGTTAAGCAAAGGGACATGGTCACTAAGTGAAAAATCATCAACATTACTCATGTGTGGCATACCTTTGGACCAGGCCAACCTGGCAGCCCAGGGTTTCCATGTGGGCCTGGAATACCCTATGGAAAATATAAAATATAAAATATGCAATTACAAAGAACAGTAAGGAAGGAACTTCATTTGCGCAAGGACATTTCTCAGGGTTTATTAACTTTTTTATGTTGGGTGTCATGAATATTGGTCTAAAGAAATTATTCAGAAACCATTACAACTAAACTTTGAGCCCCCCCAAAATAGGGAAGGTATTAGGAATAGATTCAAGAGAGGTTTCTTCCTGGCAGTCCCAGTTGCTGTCATTAACTAAATCACAGCAAATCATTAGGTAAAAACCGATGCCAATCTAAGCCATTCCCATCTTGGTTCTTCCCAGCTCCAAACCTCTATAAGATAAGGGACTCCCTCCCCTTCTCCTATCTCCTCCCCATCTCTGTCCTTTTGGTCACCCTGTGCTTCAATCCCTCTTGGCCTTGTGAGGCAGCTTCTGGTCACTCCAGGCCTTCTTTCCAAGCCTGTGTGCAGCCTTGTCCAAATCATGTGCAGCATTCTCACAAGGCTTTGGAAGGCTTCCTAGCCTTGCGAGGAGGCCATACATGATCTGAACAAGGGCACGCACGATTTGTACAAAGGTGTGCATGGCTTTTGGAAGAAGGTCTGGCATGGATAGCAGCTTCCTCACAAAGAGCCAGACTTCATGCAACTCATCATCATCAGCAGCAGCAGCAGCAGGAAGAAGAAGATGGCGAAGATCAGCTGGGTGCGGCAGGACTGGCAGAGCAAAAGGGCCAGCAAAGCTTAGACAGAAGTGCCAGAGTGGCAAAACTAGCACGGCAGCAGGAGCAGCAGAGGTAGCAGAGTGCAAGGCAGTCAAAAGGGCAGATGTGTGTGTGTGTGGGGGGGGGGAGAGAGACAGAAGGATGGGGGGAGTTGAAACAGCCCTGTGGTCTTAAGTACAGGACAGCTGCCAGGTGCCTGAATTTTGAACATGTGACTGCAGCTGCATTGCAACGGCCATAACTTCAGGAATTGGGCATAGCTAAATTCATTTATTGCTGCAGTAACTCTGAACAGTAACTGAATGAATAGTTATTAACAAAGGAGCAGCTGTAGTTCTAGTTTTTCTGATTTGACTGTTTCCTGATTTGGACAACTTTGAAGGGCTGACAAGTTCACACTAAGAAATCTTCTTCTCTTCACTCTACAGACTGAAGGCTGTGCCAATTAATATAGAGAATAAGTCACTTAGCATTTCAAACATTCATTCAAAGATATTTCTGTGCTGCTGCAATCAAACTGAGTCTTTGTAACTTACATAGAAAAATACATACAAAACATATCTGGTACAAAAAAAAACAATAATACAAAGAAAACTGAGTAAACAAACATTAACTCAATGAAAGAATCTCTTCATTAACACAATAAATGGAACATCTGAGTAATCAGTAGCAAGAATACAAAGGAGCAAACATTAAAATCCAACTCTATCAGTTAAAATGATATATCTTTTTCCTAAAATAAATTTGAGTATTCAACTTTTTCCAAATATTAAGCTGCAGAACCAGTTTTTGTTTTGTCCATTATTATAGGAGATGACCTGACAGCTACAGCTTTGACAACAAGGATCTTTTTAGATATTGTTGGATTATCATTTCTGGAATATTCAGCCAATCTTGTCAGCATCAGGAGTCCTAATGCAAAATACCTGGAGAGCACCAGAGAAGATCAACATTTAGGAAAAATCTGATAAGTGGGATTTGGGCTAAGCTGAAACTGCTAAGGAAAGTGACTCTGTTAACCAAATGGCCAATGTGAAAAAGCCATCTTTCTACTTGAAACCATTTGATAGTAAACTGAAAATAAAATAGCCAATATAATACTTTTATACAAAACTATTATGTGACAGCACACTTGGAATTCTGTGTAGAGTTTTAATTACCCCACTTTAGAAAGGATGTAATGCAAACAAAATGATTATATGGCTAAATTACCTCCCAGACAAGAAATAGCATGAAACAAAGCTGAGTGAAGGAAAAACTCATATAGGTATATAAAATACAGGTAGTCCTAGACTTACGACTACAATTGAGCCCAAATTTTCTGTTGCTAGGTGAGACATTTGTTAAGTGAGTTTTGCCCCATTTTATGACCCTTTTACCATAGTTGTTAAGTAAAGCACTGCAGTTATTAAGTTAGTAACTCAGTTGTTAAATGGATCTGGCTTCCCAATTGACTTGGCTTGTCCGAAGGTTGCATAAGGGGATTACATGACCCTCGGACACTACAACCGTTGTAAATATGAGTCAGCTGACAAGCATCTGAATTTTGATTGCATGATGGGTGGGGAAGCTGCAACGATCACAAGTGTGAAAAACGGTCATAAGTCACTTTTTTCAGTGCCGTTTTAATTTTGAACTGTCATTAAATGAGCTGTTGTAAATCGAGGACTACCTGTAATGCAGAATCTCCAAAATATGGACAATGTATTCTTTCACATATACAATGTGTCTACTAAAGGAAGAAGAACCAGAGCCATAAAATTAGAATACTCCTTCCCTCACCACATCTGTTGTTAGCCACCAATTTTGATAGATTAAAAGGAAATTGGAGAAACCCTCAGAGGATCAGGGCCCCAAAGGCTACTGGTTTGTACGGCTATGTTTGGAATCATAGCTAGCAATAGACCAGGAAAAGAACACACACTGCCCTCCTCTGAGTTTTTGAGAATCTTGAAAAGTATCCTGTTGGCATCCTGTTGGCATAATGAGTCACAGGAGAGAGACTAAACAATATATTCATCACATATTTTGCTCAGCTAAAACACGGGTGTTTTTAGTTGTATTGACCACATCGGATACACACTGAGTAAAAATAGAGATTTTCTTCATTTTTCCAGAAGAGGGGGTGGAAACCATGTAAAACCTCCTACATAGAGACCTGATATAATTGCCATATCTCTCTACTATGAAAACCTAAGCGTGTGTGGATCGTTATACCATTCTGATAGATTGCAAAACATGGAGGAGGTAAGTATTTCTGTTTCATGGTTCAAGTAGAAAATAACTAGTTGGTTACTGCTGGGTTTTGTTGTTTTTTTTTTGTCCTTACATATGTATTTATTTATGAAAAGAGATAAGCTGGAATGCCTGTATTAGGTTTTTTTCAGCATATTAAACATTATTCAGGTAATGTTTAAAAGCATACAGAAAGTCCTCGATTTACAACAATAAACTGAGCCCAAAATTACTGTTGCTAAGTTAAACAGTAGTTAAGTGAATCACTGCAGTTAAGTTAGTTAATTCCTTCTGCCCCATTTTACAATCTTTCTTGCCATAGTTGTCGGTTGTTAAATGAATCTGGCTTCCCTATTGATTTTGTTTGTCAGTCAGTCGCAAAAGGTGATCACATGGCCCCAGCCACTGCAACCATTATAAGTACGAGTCAGTTCCCAGTGTCTGAATTTTATCATGCTGCAACCATCGTAAGAGTGAAAAATGGTCATGTCCCTATTTTTCAGTGCCGTTGTAACTTTGAAGGGTCACTAAATGAACTGTTCTAACTCGAGGATTACCTGTCTTCCTTTCGGTAATGAAAATGATGCAAAATCCTTTCGGTCACCAAAGTCCCAATTTATGTGCCAATACAGCAACACTTCATTGGCAAAAATAAGGTTCATGAAAAAGTTACTTATCAGGAATGAGTTCTACATTCAAAGGAATTCGGTATAATGCCATTCTTTTTGTGATCTTGAGTAACAAATACAGCCTTGTCATTTCTGTTAGCATTTCAATTCATACATAACATTAAACAATGATTTTAGAGTCATTATTGCCAAATGAGCCTTAATGAACTCGCTGACACATCACAAGAAGCCATAATGGGTGGGTTCAAACATCTTCCCTAACTATATTGTTTATCACGTGACACCTTAGCCAGTGATAATTAGTCTTACAGAGTGGGTGGGAATCATAAAAGGACACCCTAGAAATTTCTCTTTTTCCAACTGGTAAAAAGACATGCCAAATTTTCAGCTCTTTGACAGAGAAGGTTTTTATATGCTGCCTGCCAACACACATGGAATCTGTGTCAGTGCAGTTAACTTTAATATAAGCCACACTAACGTGTTTTTGATGAGTTAGCTTTTGTTCATCATAACATGCCAGAAATTCCTTTCTTAATGCCTCAACCAATGTTTAGCAGAAAAAAAGCTAAAATATGTGTGCATATTACTATGTAAATATTAACATAGGAGTATCTCACAGACAAAAAAAAAAAAAAAATCCAGCATGGGAGAATAATAAAATTTATAATAAGGAGCAGGCAAATTCTAGATTTCAGAATTTTGGTTTATAGAAAATTTGCTATTTTTTTTAAAAATGTGTCTGTATTGTTACACTTCTCAATACAACTCATTACCAAACGAGATAGAAATTCTTTGTAGTCAATCACATTCTTATTACACCAAAAGAGTAAAGAGGCATTATAGGATTGCAACTTTAACAGTTTCTTCAGTGTTGCATTTCAGGTTTTAGCGCCCATGGCCTAGCAAACACATTTATTAATGTTTTGCCAGCAACTAAAGGAAATATGTTCTTTAAACCACAGTCACTAAACCCTGGAGCTCAACATTGCTGAACAGATATCAGCAGTGAAAACCCACACCAGTTTCTTCACACTTCTTTTTGCTTTCTACCTTCAGGATGTAAAATTCTAGGAAGTCCATTCTATCTCACTCCAAAAGGCAAATAAACAGGACATTAGACTTCAGAGACACATTGATGAGAGAAATGAAAAAAAAATTGAAGATGAACAGAATATAGCCTGATATATTGCTATCACATTAATTCAAAGTTTACATTCAGTTGCAGTGTAAACAAAATGCACCGCTTATTTCCAAGAGAAAAGCAGCTAAAAACATTTCATTTTTTTAATGCATTAAGACATCTCAGAAACAAATCGTCTACTTGATTGTGAAAAGGTGTATTACTGGAAACAGGTATCTATTTTTTACTCACTCTTGGGCCACGCTTTCCTGCTGGGCCAGGTAATCCTGGAGGACCTGGGGGTCCCTAAAGGGGAAATGAAATGAGAAAATAATGAACACAAAAATCCAGCATAGGAATGACAATCTTAAATTCTGTCTTTCAGAAATTGAAATTATTCATTAGTTTCCCTACCTGTAATAGGTCAACTAAGTGCGCAGGATTTTTGAAATTGAAAAAAGTGCTTACGCTAAATACCACAATGACTAGCATGTGCCTTAGAAGAACAGAAACAGTGGTTAGGTGGCTCAGATAGTAACTTCTAGTAAGACACAATACTTGATTAATATACAATAGCAGCTTAAGCAGGAAACTTCAGTTGATGACCACCACAACCTGGTCTAGATTGTAACTAAATTATCAAGGATTGAAAATAAGGAAAGATGCATCTATGTATGTCTTGCATCTATGTATTTGTACTGGAATAATATAAAAAGGAGACGACCATGTAAACTGCAAACCAATAGACTTTATGATAGCCATCTATATTTATGGCTGCTTGATTGGTTAAGCCAAGATAACTTTCTAGTAGATAAACATGCAAATCTTAGGATGGTTTGGCCAACTTTGGACCATTTCTTAATTTTATACGTATCCTTATTGAAAAATAAGATAAGATGAGATGAGATGAGATGAGATGGGATGGGAAGGGAAGGGAAGGGAAGGGAAGAGAAGAAAAGAAAAGAGAAGAGAAGAGAAGAGAAGAGAAGAGAAGAGAAGAGAAGAGAAGAGAAGAGAAGAGAAGAGAAGAGAAGAGAAGAGAACCTTTATTGTCATTTTTATACTGTGGACACAATGGCATACATCAAAAATGAAATTTAGTTGCCCGCTCTCAAAGTGAAACACATACATGACACACACCTAATACATACTATGAACAACATATGTATAGACCCACATCCCTACATATACATAGCAAATAAATATTAAATATTGTCCATCTTGAATATATAACGGAAGGAGGAAGCTTGAGGGTTCGCAAGGTTAATTCTGTATGAAATGAAACTCTGGCTTTAAATCTCCAGAGATACAGAGAGTTGATCAAATGTACAAACTGTCTAATCATTTCCAGAATACCTACAGGAATAACAAGAAGCTTGCAAACACTCACCATCTATTTTGTAAAGAAGGCCCTCAGTTAGCAAAAAATAAGTTAAGGTCTTAGCCAAAAGATCTCTGAAACAGCTGGCAAATAGGTAGGACACCAACTGAGCAAGCTAAGCTCTAAAATTATTTATGGATTGTTGTCCAAACTGCATCTCTAGAAAAGGCACCTATAAAATATACTGTCAAGAATATCCAATGAAATATTGTTATTTTAATACTCTTTTGGTGTATCAAGGAACATTTTATCCTCAATCAATTTTGTTCAGAGAAAAGTAATCAATTTGCTTTATGGAGCTCAATTTTGCTTTAGAACTGAAGGCCAATACAAATTCCTAAAGGTTATCACCACAATTCCTGAATTTATGCCATATTCAGTCTTCCATTTGGAGATAGGGTTAGTAGTGTAGTACAGCAATCATTTTCACTATGGCCTGATGTAATAAGGACAGAGATAGGAATGAAAAGTATAATTAGCTGCCAAAATATATTACATCTGTATAGCTTGAATCCTGTAAAAGCCTAACTAAATTTTTAAAAATATACTAGATAACTCATGACCCCCTGGATCATCATTTCAGTGATATTTCCTTACCAGATTCCTAGATACCTTCAACAATGGCAGAATTTCTAATATGCTCCTTCACTGGAAAAGTTGGGATACATTCAGAGATGTATCTACCTTGAAAATAGTCATGTTGAATTTCTTAACAGAGTCATATTTCAGTCATTACCAAGCTGATCAATTGATATCAGTTGTTGTAACCTTACTGCAAGCGATACAGGAATGCAATCACTTTCTCTACTAAACTATCACTCTTTCTGAAATGGTGTTGTCCACATATAAATTGGAGGCAATTTAATAAATTACAATGGAAATGGACTAAATTAACTGTAATTCTTGTTCAGTTCAGTTCTCCCTGCACTGTTTTATGATGATGGGGAATCAGCAATCATGAACTATTATAACTGATTCTATAAATCTTAGGAACATTTCTGGCTTCTCCATTTATTTGATTGTTCTTGATTTGTTTGTTTTTTAAGTCAAGTGTGGGGTTTTTTTTTTTTACTTGACTGCAAGCAATAAAGTATCACACAAAATTCTATACTCAAAACAGCACAAATTAAATGCATGTCATTCACTTGGTAGAGAACTGATAGTTTCATAAATATATATAAATAGAAAAAAATTCCTCCCAGCTTTTCTGTCCTTTGGAACTTTAAAATTAGCAGCCAGACTAGATTTAGAAAATGAGATAACCCTGTGTCAATTGAATGGAACAGAAGTGAAGATGGCATCAAATGAGCATATTAATTATTCATAGTGCCTGAGCACTGTCTATTAAGTCTAAGAATAAGCACAGAGTAGGCATTAACCATGTTCATAAACTAGGCTAAGCCAAAATTCTGACAGCATGAATGGTTAAAACAAAGTCTGAAACTCATTTTGTGGTTGATTTAATTCCCAAACAAGCAAAGAATTATTTGGCACCTAATCATGGAGAGAAACCATACAGAGTGCCTGGCATATATATTATACAAAACATACCACAAAAAGAGTTTTATAACTGCTTAAAAATTTATTGTCCAGATACATCTAGCATTGTACATTCTGATAACCAGTGGACATATTTCAGGTATTTACAGCAGTGTAAGGATTATGTTCCCTTCATATTTCTTTAGAACAAAAAAAATCATTTTTGGAATATAAGATACTAATACAGAGATTTTTTTTTAGTTCCTAGCTTTGCACTGAACCAATAACATTCATAATTACTGATGTACATGTTAAATATTCCACCACAGTTTTTTGGTCCAATACTGATGCAACTTTACTTTAAAACACTTTATGGTTGCCAATGATGTGATACTTCTGAAAAATGAAGTGGAAAAACAATTTTGGACAGTTACTTATTTGAACCACATACATACTAGAAACAACTATAGAAATTCCATTACATAAAATATGTTAGTCAACTGAAAATACAGCTGCACTTGCATATCAAAATATACTATTATCCAATACACATGTATATATGGATACACATGCATGCCTGCGCGCCCGCACACACACACACACACACACACACACAAAGAGACATGAAGCATCCTTTGGCCCACATTGACAGATTGTAAAGTTGCATTTGTGCAAAATAGAAAAGGAAAACAAAGGAAAAGCAAAGACAGGGCTCATACATCATTGATACATAACATGGATTGTCTGAAAAGACAATATCAAATTGTTTGGTTTTGGGCGAGCGAGTTAGCCACTGTAGTTTCTGCACTACAATGTATAGCTTACTATATCGTATGAATTAAGTTGCTGTGGTTTATTCAGTTATAGATGGTTAAAAGAAACCATAGTTTGGCACTGTATGTGAAACCAGCCACAAAATCGTATGGCACCAAAGAGACTGACAACTTAACAATATACAGAATTAAAAGCCATATGAAATAACAAACCTAATGAAAAGAATACATTTGGGAGCATCCTAGGTCTGCTACAATAATTGCAGATCAGTAGTTCATGAAAGAAAATATATTTTTATAATCAAGCAAACCCCCCCCCTCTCTCTCCCTCTCTCTCTCTCTCTCTCTCTCTCTCTCTCTCTCTCTCTATATATATATATATATATATATATATATATATATATATATATATATATATATATATATTCTTATAACATGCTAACCCATAATCTGCTTGACTTTGTTTTACTGACTAAATCACAATTAGCTGTGATCACACAATAAAACAAACCACCCTTCTTTCCGTCCCTCAGCAGAAAATCTTTTTCACTGCCTCTGCAGATCTCCGTAATTTCTATGAGCTATTATGCATGTTTTGCTTGAATGCAAAAAGATAGCTTCTTATAATTCTTAGAAGCAAAGATGGATTAGAAAGCTGTCATAATGTTTAAATGATTACAGGGATTTCAGACTGGTCGTTTTTCATTTAGAGAAGATTGAAGAACAAATATATTTTAAGAATTTTGAAATGGCGATTTAGAATTTAGCATATTCACAATAACGTGCACATTAAAGAAATTGGAAAATGCTTGCAACAAAAAGTTCATAAAAAGAAAAGGATATACTAAAATGGATACACGGTGTGTGAAAGTGCGTATGAACAAACCGAGAAATTGCTTCTGCTAAATTCTTAAATAACAAGGCTGTGACAGGTAAGGAAGAGTCAGCTTTCTTATAAAAACTTTAATGCATAAGCTTTCATGAATATATTCATACACCAGAGGCACTTAAATATTATCCCAAATTAGAGGAGTACAAATATCCCAGGTTGACATTTGAAACAGGATACAGAAAAAAATATCCAAGCAATATCTAGAAATCTGAATGGCTATGATTATGCAAAAAAACCCTCCAAGAATTTGGACACTGTTGCTGCTGGAATTCCAATAATCTTGGCCCTCCCTTTACTTTTACTACAGAAAGATTCATTTTCTAGCTATGATGCAAACTTTGACCAAGTTGTCACTGAACGGTCTACTTTTTATGTATTTGATTAAATGTAAGTCGACACTGCTCTATTATGAAAGTGAAGCTGGATGTCCCAAAGGTGCTTTTTCTTCAGCTTCTTGGATAAGAAGCAAAATATCTTCAAGGGGGAAAAAAAAGTCTACTTGCCTTTTGAAAAAGCACCTTTGGGACAACCATGACCTGAATTACTGAGACTCTCCATAGACGTAAGGCTGGGTCATTTCAGATTTTTTTCTAAAGTATCAGTTTTTTAGGAAGGTGTGTGCATTTATAAGGAAACAGTCTTGTGCCCTACCCCAAAGAAAATGTTATTCTGGATATCATGCCCCATGGGAAGTTTTAAAGACTACAGAGGTATGATCTATAAATATATTGGATGGGAATTCATGGAGACGAGGTGAAAAATAGCCCTCTTGCTTTCATGTAAAGAATATTGCCGTGGTCTAATTCATTCCATATTCACAATATACATTTATCTTCACTATAAGAACTAGGCCTTAGAAGTAGAATGAATTCAAACAATGGCTTTTCATTCATGGGGAAAACAATCTAATCCAGCTTTACTTAATCTTGTGATCTCCAAACTCTAATACAGTTGGAGGATAGCAACTGGTTCTTTGTGCTACGTATCTGGTTCTTTGCGCTACATATATTTCTCTAGAATTTCCAGGAAATCCATCTACAACAAAATATTTATTGTTATAAAATATCAAAAGCCCAGGTTATTTCTCATATTCCCACTATTAGCATAGAAAACTGAAATTACTGCATTATAATAACCATGGTAAATCTCTGTAATGTGGCTTGTGAATTCCTACATTTTACTAGATACCATAAATGAAGGCAACTTACCACCTGTCCAGGATCTCCTTTAGGCCCCTTAAGATTTTCCATGTCAAGTAGTCTCTCCCATTCTTCATAATCATAATCATAATAATCAGCATCAAATTCATAATTGCCTTCTGCATTATAAATCTCATCAATCCGAACTGTATGCTCATCCAATGAGCCAAACCGGTTAATTAAAGGTTCAGAATGGAAATCCTCATGCAATGTTGTATTTAAAAAATGTTGTGTATCCATTAGTTCATATAAATATGGCTTTGATGTATTTTTCATCATATGTTTGGCATTAGGCTGCTTTATGTAAAGCAGAAAACTGGAATTGGTTTTTCTTTTTATATTTTCTGTCACAAAGTCTGTATGATTTAAAATTAATTTTGTGAGATGCAAGGAATCACCTTTCCTTTTGCTGACAAGATGTTGATGTTCTTTGGAGACATTCACAGTTTGCTGGTCATTTGGTTCTGACAAGGCAGTAATATTCCCTAAGTAAAGAGGAGTCAAAGAAGAAGTTGTTTCCTTCAATTCTTGAGGATCTTGTACTAATGCTGACTTACTGACATGAAGGTTTAGGGTACCTTTTCTTTTACTTAATGGTTGGGTTACTTCATCCAACAGCTTGCTTGAGATCACCTCACTTGGAGAAATTGTATGAGATCGGTATGTATCAGCTTGGCGACACTGTAGTTTCACATATTGGCAATAGTTTGTCAAGGCTTGTGCAGAGGGGATAATATCCAACTGACATAACACACCTTCAAAGTTGACTGACTGGGAATTCATTCTTCCTAAGGTAAATAAGCTGTGTGAATCAAACTGTACTTTGGAAAGAATCTCCTTGCTAAAGTGTTTCCTTCCGCACTGAGTATATAGGGACACTGATTTTTCTGTAACATCAATAGCAAACGTGTGCCACTGCTCATCGTGAACCCGATAATCAAAGTATACAGAGTGCTTCCCTCCAGTGTGTACCATTATCTTCTTTGGTAGCAACTGTACACCAAACTGCAGTCTGTTTTTATTCCTAACACTGAAAAGAAAGGCATTGTTTACTCCATAAGAGCGTAAACTAATTAGTATGGCAAAATTGGAACCTAAGCCTGACGCTCTCACTTGAGAGATGGGAACTTCAATGGCTGACTGAGTGGATAAAAGGACTCCAAATGCAGTTAGGTGAACCCCTTGAGGTGATGAAGCACGTGACAAATGTATCGTAGACCCTGTTGTTGGATGATGCGTGGCTTGCCCACTTAGGCCTAAATGATGGAGAACATCTATGCCTGGAAGAGAAAGAAAAGGAGGTAAGAAAAATACTGCTGGCTTAAATTCACTCATGCGGTTTATAGCAATTTTTCCGAATTGTTGCACCAGTTTCACTTAGACATCCGAAAAGGGCACTGTTCAGTAAAATGCAAATCTGTCACATGTAGGTCTGCAACATGCCTGATTCATACCAACATAGGACATAAGAATTGTGCATTTACTAGTATAAACACTCATCAGTTATGTATGACATAACCTTAGAAAATGAGATAGTTTCTTACAAGGGCTTGCATCCCACTATAACAGTGGTTCTCAACCTTTCTAATGCCGCGACCCCATAATACAGTTCCCCATGTTGTGGTGACCCCCAACCACTTATACATCACTGGGTGCCAGGGTCGTGGCCAAAGAAAAGGGGGGAAAAATGGCGGACAGCCTTGTTTGGCGACCCCCGTGAAATGGTCGTTTGACCCCAAATGGGGTCCCGACCCACAGGTTGAGAACCACTGCACTATAATGTTACTTCCAGATGGCTGACCATGACTCTGACCTTTAGACAAGGATAATAATTCCCCTAATGATTGCCAGAAGGAAGGCTGTGTTAAGCCTGCTAAAGCAAAAAAAGATGAGTCAAGGTTTTATAAACTAGAGTTTACTCCAGCAGAAGCAACAAACCATTCAATTTTCTTCGCAACAAGATTATACATTGAATTTTTCTCTAATTTTTAACTTTTTAAATGGGATAACTTAGCCCATTCACTTCCACAAATTTTGTAAAAGTTGCTTGTTTTCTGCCTACACTTTTATCAAACCTCCTTATTGATAAAATCTATATTTGGTAAATAGGCATTTAGGTAGTAAACTGATAAAATATTAAATTTGAATAAAATAGTAATCAACAGTGATTTTTTGGGGGGGGATAGATGTTAATGTTGCTGACCATCAGCTTTAAGACAATGTCTATTTTGCTAAAAGTGAACATGTAATTTCTATAGTTTATAGAAAATCTAGTTTAAGATTCTTTACAAAATCAACACGGATGTATCTTTCTTTATACCAATAGCAAATTTAAGATTTTTACAGAAAAATAGATTCATCTATGCCTCCAAAGCAAACCAATAAAACTCAAACTTTTTTATTTTCAGTTATCAAAATGCTAATTGAAGCCAATGCCAAGCAAATTACTTTTCCTTTGTAAGGTATCTATAAAACTAAAAAGTACGACAGGCACACGTTCTAAAATAGATATATATCAAAAAAATTAAACACAAATGACTTAATTTCAAAGATAGAACACACTCTATACTTATCAAAAGAATACAAGATGTAATTTTCTCCTTCTACTCCAAAGAATTAGAATAAGCAAATATAAGACTTCAATGTATGTGAGACACACTGAGCCTGTAATGGAAAGCAAAAGGAATTGCATATGATAAAATAAAATCAGGGAATGCTGATTCTTCTCTCACCTAAGTCAAAGGAGAAATATGTTGCATTGTCATGCCTCATATAGCAGAGGAATGCTGCTAAATTACAGCTCTTCAACATAACCAGACTGGATCTTTGTGGTAGATCAAAATCAGCTCTGAATGGGTCCCTTCTCATGATATCAGCTATCCTGATATGGATAGTAGATCTATTGCCAGCTTTGAAGTTTATTTATTTATTTATTTATTTATTTATTTATTTATTTATGAGACTTATATACCGCTTTAAGTGCAAGCACTCTCTAAGCGGTGTACACCAGTAAGCAATCTATATATATATTTACATTGCCCCCAACAATCTGGGTCCTCATTTTACCTACCTCGGAAGGATGGAAGGCTGAGTCAACCTTGAGCCGGTGAGATTTGAACCGCTGACCTGCTGAACACAGTCAGCTAAAGTGGCCTTCAGTACTGCACTCTAACTGCTGTGCCACCTCGGCTCAAGTTCAAAATCATTGCCTATACAAAATCACTGTAATGATTTTTTTTTTAAAATTTGCCCTTGAAGAGCCTTAGATCTGCTTCCAGGTGGTCTAATCATCCCATTTCTATCCCTCATTGGTAGGAACCCTTTATCACAACCTGCATTCCAACGTGTGTTTTTTTCTTCCAGTCTACATTCAGACATCAGTCAAATAAAACAGCTTGGCTTGACAATGTTTGGGAGGGATCAGGAAGTGGAAACATTGTGATAGGAAAGTGCCCATCACTAAAAATCTCATATACAGTAGGATGACAACAGAAGGTGAATACATTACAAAATCTTAAAAGGAAGTAGTCAATTTTTTAAAGTACAAAATAAGCAAGGAAAGAAAGTTGAACTCTTTCTTATCCACATCCTTTTTTCTTCAGAAGTCTTTTCACTGCACAGATATATTTTTTTCCTAATTACAGAGCCCTGTCAAGGTAAAAAGAAAAAGAGTACCTTTAAAATGAACTTTTTATAGGAAAAAACCCACAGGTATCAACTCCTGCATTTTTACCTCTCATTCTTAACTTTAAAGTACCCTCCAAGCAACTTTTTAGGGAATGAATAATTACTCCAGTAATTATTCTCAACTTTTGCAAGTTCAAGATGGTGGACTTCAATTCCCAAAATTCCCAAATCCCAAGATCATCCATTTTAGACTTGCCAAGGTTGAGAAACACTGGATTATTCAGTTCCAATGGATGGAACTGCTATTTTCATGATTGGTTTGTTCTGATACATTAAACCTTATGTAGGATAGGGAGGCTGTGAAGAAGTCCCAGAAGTTATGCAAAGCTACTTATTAAAACCACATTAAGTCCTAGCATCCAATCCCACGAGTTATGGTAGTTTAATAATAATTCATAGGATCAATCAACAATTTAGCCTCAGAAGTAATTTGCAAAATTATTTCTTGGCCTCAGAATATACCATTTTAGCATTTTAGACTAAAATTATGTAAAATCAATTATTCATCAGCATTAATACAAGTTGAAGCAAAAGCCAAAACTGAATAAACAGAAGGATTTCCACAGACTTTTCTGAATTTGACTTTCTTCTGTTATTAGCAATGTTAAGAACTGACACGTTTTTTCTAAAGTGTGCGTAAACAGACTTACACTCATACATTTACACAAAACCCTCACAATTTTGGAATTGTCAAAATATAATTTTGTATTACCCCTTTTGAAAATTAGTTACATACTTTGCTATTAAGAGTTTGTTGAATAATACTTAGTTGGTGTACAAAGAGCCAACATTAAAGAAGAGCCAGCATACTATATTCAGAGGCACTGAAAGACATATCATTTGAATGGGGAGATGGCGTTATATATTTTTCAATTCCTTGGGATGTTCAGGCATAAAATAAATTTATTTAAGTCATAATTTGTGAAAATTGCAGAGCTGATCATGCTGTAATTCAAACTGTCATTTTCCCTTATTGGGGAAAAAAAGATTAGTTTAGAAATAGCCTGGAATCTAACAAACACAATAATGTTTTAGCTTCCTATTTTTCAATGGCTCCTATATTTCCCATAGAAAGCCAGTTTGATGTTAAGCTATTAGGCTAGGAATCAGGAGACTGTAAATTCTAGCCCTGTCTTAGACACAAAGCCCACTGGGTGACCTTGTGCTAGTTACTTTCCCTTTGCCCTAGGAAGGAGGCAATGGGAAAATGCTTCTGAAAAACCTTGCCAAGAAAATTGCTGGGACTTGTCCAGACAATGTTTGAGAATTGGACATGATTGAATGCAAAAAATAAAAGTATCTCTCATAGGATTTTCAGAGTTTGAGGAAAAATCATTAGATAAGGAATTTCTGAATGGAACAATAAGCACTTTATCTTTTACTCAGTGCTCTGAAAGAATGTAATGGGGGTTACACAAGGAGGTTATTCTGGTTTTTTTTTTATTAGTAATAGTAATAAATAAATTAACCTGTAGCACTAGCATTCTGTGGAAGCTTGGTACCTTAGCAATTGTACATTTCTCTTTAACCAACTTTCACAACCTGCACTTACAGCTAAATTTCAAAATTTTCCTTGTGTTTGTTTTCTTTTGTTTGTCAATGTTGACTCCTGTCAACTGCCTGGACCAAGTATCAGTGGTTTCGTTGGCAAGATTTCAAAACATCATCTACTTCCTAAGGCTGAAAGAAAGTGACACAACTGGTCACACAATTGGTTTTGTGCCTACGGCAGGACCAAGGTCACACAATTAGCTTTGTGCCTACGGCAGGACCAGAATTCAGTTTCTCAATTTCTAGTCTGATGCCTAAAACACTACATCAAATTGGTTCTCTATAATAATTCTCTTAGAAGATGCTTTAAAAAATGAGTACTTTAGAACATGTAATCCACTCCAGGTGCTTTGACTTTTTTTTTTTTAAATAATCCATTAAGGATCTATTCTTTTTCTTTTCTCTGCACAGATGCTGGCATCTGACTTCATTTACTCTGTACATTACAAAGAACAAAAAAACTCAAAGGAGATTTGCAACAAATATTTATGGTTTGTCGTCTTGAAAATGACTTGTTTCAACTTCAGAAGACTGTGCTTTCTTCCCTGTTTGCTCGCAGACTTCATTAATCATTTTCCTACAGTGTGGGGGATAAGGGTAACTGTGCTGTGTTTTATCCCTCTTGACAGACCATTGCCAAGGAAGCATAGTTAGAAATGCCAACAAACTTTTTTTTTCCCCTGTAGATGCCACATGTCTTCAATTTATTCTATATTTTAAGTGAGTTTCTGTTCTAAGAAGCTTAAGAGAAGCTGATATTGACAGGCAAGTCAGACCATACATGTCTTTAGAGTATCTCATCTCAAGGCTTGGGGTAAGCAATAGCTCTTTGAATTTATCATATATACATCTAAACAGAAAGGCTCCACAAACTATTGAACTAGATCTATATTTGGGCTTTGCATTTAGGCTTCTTAAACAAGAATTCCACTACAAGCATAAAGTAAGCAACACTGCTTCAGCTTTTTTTCTTAACTAAACAAATTTATTGTTTATACCCAAATCCAAAAACAGCTCTTTGGAGGCCAGATAAATCTTCTGAGTATATTCATGATCTGCAACTATGAAGAAAATCCTTAGAAGAGGATTCAGTTAACTCCAAAGTCAATAGGCCTGAAAGTGAAGCTCACTTAGTACATTTTGCATCTATTAAATTATGCTAAGCCAAAACAAAATACATGATACTTTAGTGCAGTGTGTGAATTTACTAATCGCTCAACCTAACTCACTTCATAGGATTGTTGGAAGGTCAGGTGCAAAAGATCAGATCCACACATGAAGATCCAATTAAACTCATTTATTGCTAAGCAGCCTACGCACAGGAGTTTTCTCAACTAGCGATTAGCACCTGCTTAGAGTTAGATACGGCTCCATGGAATTCAGGGGAGGGTTGGATTTAGTCTGCTAGTGGCTATATAGAGATACTAGGCCAGACATGTCAAACCCGCGACATCACGTGATGTTGCGCAACGTATCGGGACAGTTTTGCCATTGCCGGCAATGGGGTGGGCGCGGCTTCCATGTGACGCGTCCAGCCCGCAATCCGGCAGTTTAACACCCCTGTTCTAGGCTGATCCTTCTTTTAACTCCACCCACAGATGTTGCCATTCGTTCTTCTACAGTAACGTAGAAGAAAATGCCATGTAAACATTTCCTGGGCTTCTTGGAGAAAAGGCCAAGATTAATAAAAATATATTACATGAATGGATATACAAATGTTTTTAATAAATAAAATATAACAAACCTATGAAACTTACATTTGCGTATTTGATGACAATCAAAAATATCTTCTGCATAATAGTAAAAAAAATGATGCAAGAAGAATTTCTACTTATAACAATAATGATAAATCGACATCCAAAGTGTTCTGAATGTCATAAATTTCTTTACAATAACTACAAGTAACTTTTCTATAGCTAACTCTGAGAAGTATTTATTCTGTTTCTTAAGTTCTGAAAGAGAAGGAAATGTCTTGGAAAAGTAAAGTCCTTTCAACTCCTAAACTAAATGTCTCTATCCATAACTGGGATGAAAATACAGTGAGATATCTTATCTTGCTCCCTGTGAAGAGCAAGCTGGGATCATGAGCTTCACAAGAGGGAAAATCAGACACTGCAGCTCCCCCCCCCCCCAAAGTCAGCGTTGTACATTACTCACAGTCACTGTTAAGAGGGGGACAATCATATAAATTATTTAAAGTAATAAAATAAATAAAGATTCCATCCTGAAAGTTTTCCAACATTAGCAATGGGAATGAAGTGGAAGAGCCCAGACACCTAGGTCATAAAATGGATATATTGGAGCCTATAATTGCTACGTTCCCAATTTAACTTTCCAGAGTAAACATCTATCCATTTCTCAGTAGTCCAAATACAAACAGTAACATAACACAATCATGTTTTTCAACTATCTTCAGCACATTAAAATGTAATAAAATGAAGTAAATTTTAAAAAATGCAACTGCTTTTGATGTGCCTTAAAAATGAAATTCCAAATAAGTGTTTAATAAGCGCTCTGGGTTATCTTGGGAAATCCTCAAAAGTACAGCTTCAATTTTTATTATGCAAATGTGAGTAATCTCGAAAAGGTCAACATGTCTAAAGTGGTTTCTTTCAACTTCTGTATCCATTTCAACTCTGCCTGATATTTGAATAAATGGTCAATCAAAAACATTTCAAAGTGATACTAACAAAATCAAAGCTATACCTTTCTCTTAACAGATCATTCAAAATGTTCTGTAAGAGATGTTTCTTACCTTCTTGCTGTCTTTGCACACAACCCACAGCTATACATAGTGTAAGAAGGAGAAGGGTCTTCCTATAAAAGACAGAAATTTCATTAGACTTGACACACACCATACAAACAAAATATATAATGCAATATGATAATATAGTATAGTATAAATATAATACAGTGTAGTAATGTAAAAATACAATACAATGCAATGCAGTGCAATGCAATGCAATACAATACAATAGGCATGGTGGCCTAGTGGTGAAGATACTTGCTTCCCACTTGGAAAGTTAAGAATTCAATCCTAGGTAGCAGTAGATGTTGCTCTATCAGGGCGCAAAGAGAAAATATCTACTATGAACTCTGCGTAGGAATCAGGAAGGCCCCCAACTTTACTCCAAATTAAGGGATTAAAGGGTCATAAAAAAGATTTTTTTTATAGTATAGTATAGTACAGCACAGCACAGCACAGCACAGCACAGCATTGCTAGAGTTGAACAGCCATGTTTAAAATGTCACCACATCAGATAACCCTTTGAATCTATTAGACACATTATAGTCAAATCTTGATTCATTGAATGTTCATCTGTCGTTTGATGGGTGATAGTTCAGATTTCCAGTAACAGTTCAAAACTATTTTATATTTTCTTTCTACCAATGTATTTCATTTTTCCTCTGGAACTTGTTGGCCCCTCTAGGACTGAATGCTTTGCTAGACAAGGCAAAGTATTTCTTAGGAGTAGACTGACATCTCCCAGATGTTTCCATGCATTTCTCCCTTAAAATATAATGCTCTAAATATCCTAGTTTCTTGCAGTTAAATATGCCTAGAAATAAGGTGCATGATTACAATTCATGGCTAGAGGTACATTTGACAGTGTCATGGTATCACTGAGGAAATTACATCTCATTGACATCCCCACTGTCAAAATATATCTACCTATAACTGCTTATTTTTTATTTTCTGTTTACATGAACATCCCCCATAAGAAATGATATAGTAGCAGAGACACTGCCTTGAAAACAGGTTTAAACAAGAGATAATAGTAGACTATATTTAATCTCAGAATTGACCTCATCTCTATAGCTTGAAAGCAGATGTGAAGTTGATCTGTAAACATTGGCTATAAATGAACCTGGTAAGCATTAACTACTGTCATGCTAGAGCAGATATAATATTCAGCTATGATTAAACCAAGTCTAGAATGTGTAATATGTTTTACGTTTATCTATATATCTCTATCTCTATCTATATATCTCTATCTATCTATCTATCTATCTATCTATCTATCTATCTATCTATCTATTGTTTTTTTTAACATAGTCACCTTAATATTTGGTAAACATTGTGTTGTCTGGGTTTATATTTAAAAACAATCAATAACAATTAATTTCTATAATTCCATAATCCACATAGTAACTTTCCTTGATTTTCTCTTCTTCCAATAATATTCTCTTTTATAAACCTTAAATTAGTACGTTTCTTAGTATTTTGATAAATAATAATTGAATATAAACATTTTCCTAGTATTTCTACAAGTAACAACTACGTCAATATAAAGCTTCTTTTCTAATTGATTATCTTAATTACCTTATCATAGATCCTGGGTTTTTTTACGTTTATCAGTGGACGGGTATTAGGAGTACAATCCTTTGCATGCACACTCAGAAGAAATAAATCCTTTTCTGCCAATGGGCATTTTTGCAGTCTATCATACTCTAAATTCTTGGTATCCAGGAATAAAACAACAACAAAAAAAAGACCAATCCTATGTAAATTACAGAAGAAAATCTGGAGTGCACTTATTAATGCATCAAAACAATTCTGGCTCATAGAATAGGAGAGCAGCAGCAAGAAATGCCTAGATTTTATTGTTTTTTTTTTCTTCCCGAAGCTTTTTTTTAAAAAAAAAAAAAAAACAAAACCTCCTACCCATGGAATCCAAAAGGACAGAAAATATCCACACTAATCCTAAACTAATCCAACACATGCCTAAATGCTTCATCTGAAGGCTTGTTGCAGACAAGAACATAAGAATAGTGATCCTTAATGCCAATTTTTCTGAAGGCATACTGTGGATTTGGCAGGCAGATGAGCTAGCTAGCGGTGAGCTAGCTCTTTTTGCCAGAGAAATCGTTCTGATTCATCCTAACCCTCCTCAGCCATTAATACTAAGAAAATAGAATTGGTTGGTTTTTCTGTTCATATACTGTATGTCTATAAATATTATCATTCTGAGTTGTAATAACCACAAGGTTGATATAGTATTTGTAAACATCTGACACTTTCACAAATGAACCATGAGTTTATTACTTCCTATATACTCATATATTATGCGCTTACAAAAGTGAAAATGAGTACTGAGAAGAAATTCTGATCCTGTCTACATACAAACAAACTTAAACATATCCAACTAAAAACATCAGAGAAAGAAGAAAAAATTTAAATGCAGGTATAGCAAAAGACCATACTTTTCAACTAAGCAAGGGAGATTTTAGGGAATATGAAAAAAAATGGAAGGGGATATTTAAATGCCAGCAAGAATATATATTATTTGCACAGCCAGCCAGATGTTCAGACTGGATTTGGCATTTTTATCTACTAAAAGAGTCTTTCCCAAGGACCTTTGGATAGGCAAATGTGGATGTTTGATGATGATAGAAGTATCATTGCAAGGTATAAGCTGTTCCAAATAAGGCACTCTTTTGCAATTGACTGATGGTGAATCTGTCAATGTCAATGTGTTCAAGTGGTGCTCCACAAGTTCTGGGATTATAACCAAGGCGCCTACTGCTATTGGTACTACCTTTTGCTTTCTTTTGGCATCATTGTTCTATTTCTATTTGCAGGTCTTTGTATTTTGTTATCTTCTCCAGTTCGTTCTCTTTTATTCTGCTGGTCTCCAGGTATTGCCTCTTCCACTATCCAGTCTTTTTTGTCCCTCTTATCGACAGTTTTTAAGTCTGGGGTGTTATGTGGCAGATGTCTATCTATTTGAATTCTGAAGTCCCACAGCAATTTAGCTTCTTAATTTTCTATGACTTTCTCTATTTTATCATCCCTTCAGTTCTTGCTTGCACACAAATGATATTTCTTGCTACTTTGTCGTCCCATAGTTTGTAGTCAGTCTGTGCAATCTTCTTGCAGCAGATAACCAGGTGATCCGTTGTTTCTTCAGCTTCTTTGCAGAGGTAGCACATTGTATGATGCTGTATATGATTATTATTATCATTTGATGATTTTTTTAAAAAGTTATCTTTTAATAGCATCAGTCAAGAACAGAATGGAAAATGGACAGATAGTTGGGAGCCATTAAAGAAAATGTCATATGGATGATTATCCATTGAAGCTCAAATAAGCTCAGCTAAGGCAGGCTGAGATAGAAAAAGACAGTATTTTAGACACCATCTTCCTTAGTTGGATAAGGATTTTAAAATGAACACTTTGGTTATCATAGTACAACATACAAATCCATAATTAGCCATTTCTCCAGGTTTATATAAAATCTGAGCTACAATTCTACACATTTCTTTAAAATGATTATTTAGGTTATAGTTCAACGTGCCATGCAAAGTTTGAATTTATCACTATTTCTTATTTAGTTTCCTATAATCCACACAGAAGCATATTTCTGCCTCCAGCTTGGGGTTCATGCCAGATTAAAATGCTCTGGCTATGCTATGAAGAGGTCAGCATAAAGTCTGATTTATCAGCCAGGCATAATCTTTTTGTTTTAGTATGTCCCAGAATGTCTATTGTTATTCTCTGTACTGGAGTTCCCATGATAGGCAAAACTCCATCCTTGTTGTCCCTCACTCACTGGCAATTATTATAAAAACTTATATACTTGATCATATTCCTGCCACATCCAGTCCAGAAAAAATTGCCTTACCCTTTTTTTTTGTCCACTTGGGTATCATATGACAAGTGGAAGAAGCACCTGTGAAACTTGCTGAGCACAATTAGTTTTCTGTGGGGCTTGCGCGCGCGCACACGCACACACACATACATACACACAGTGTGTGTGATACATCAGTTCTGAGCTTGCTGGGGGGGATTGTCTCCTATATTTTTATAGACAAGCTCAGATATTCCTCTTGTTGTCTCTTGAACACTTATGTGTTAGTTCCTGACAACTGTTCCCTAAAAGAGTTCTTTTTCCCAGAGGACGTATTTCTGTGGCATTCTATTGTAAAGGGACCACGTGAAGGGGAGATGGATTGGATTCCTCCTTTGCTTCCTAAGGTACCTGCCCTTCCACCTCATGTATTTGCTTGGAATCAAAGTGTAGATCTTATTCCTTTGTTCCTGGTCTCTAAGAGAACTATGTGTGCTCTCTTTGCTGCCATATACTGCTCTTTCCCTGTCACATAGCCATGGTAATTCTTTTTCAAGTTATCCAGGAAGTGGGTCAAGGATTTTCACCCTCTTTGTACTTTGGAAACTTGTATTTTTTTCACAGGAAGTGCTAAGAAATTCAGACTGATTGCAAGTGAAGGCCTTCCACTCTTTAAATTCCCCCTTTCCAACTGTTAGGTATGTTCCTTCTTCCTTCTTTTTCCTAGCTCACAGGTCGGCAACCTGCGGCTCCGGAGCCACATGCGGCTCTTTGAGCCTTCCCCTGTGGCTCCCAGCCTCCTCTGCCTTTGCAGAGAGAGACAGAGACAGAGAGAAGCAATTGCGCTTCCCTGCTTCTCTCTCTCTCTCTCTCTCTTTCTCTCTCTCTCTCTCTGTGTGTGTGTGTGTGTGTGTGTTTTGTGTGTGTGTGTATGTGTAAAAGAGTGCACTCACAGTGTTCTTCGAGGAGCTGAAAAGCTTACTGGGCGGAGCTCCTCCCTTTGCTGCGTCTCTGCAGGAAGCAGGAAGCAGGAAGAGCAGGAGAGAGCTAGCTAGCCCAGCTAGGCTGACTCAGGAATTCTGGGAGTTGAAGTCCATGAGTCATAAAAGAGACGAGGTTGCCTACCCCTGAGCTTGTTGGACAACAGCTTGAAGCTTGCCAGGTGAGCAGCAGATAGGAGAGGGGGGGAGAGAAAGCGAGAGAGAGAAAGAGAGGGAGGGAGAGAGAGAGAGAGAGAGAGAGAAAGAGTGGAGGAAGAGGAGTGGCAGACCAAGGGCAGATAGAGAGGGAGGGAGAGAGAGAGAGAGAGAGAGAGACCCTTTTGACATCTAAAATGAAGATAACACTGCATATATCCTTTTTTTACCTGTGTGTGTATGTATGTATGTAGGTGTGTATATATATATATATATATATATATATATATATATATATACATACTGTGTATGTGTATATATATATATATATATATATATATACACACACACACTGTGTATGTGTATATATATATATATATATATATATACACACACACACACACACACACATACACATACACACACACACACCTATAATAAAGGTAAAAAAGGATATATGCAGTGTTATCTTCATTTTAGATATCAAAAGGGTTTTGCGGCTCCCAGTGTTTTGTTTTTGGTGGGAAATGGGTCTAGGTGGCTCTTTGAGTGTTTTGGGTTGCCTACTCCTGTCCTAGCTCCAGTCTCTTTACTTCCAGATACATTCATTTAAGGTACTCCTCTTGGAGTGCCATTCTTTCTTTCTTTTTCTCTAGTTCCAGTTTTTCATTCTGTCTAGGCTTAGATTCTTAATATATTGAATCCAATACTATTTGACCATGTGCTGGCTTCCACAGATACAATACTATAGTCTCAGAATCTGACACTACAAAATGCCTTCAGCTTTTCAGAAGAAAAGCGTATGTTTTCATGCTTTTCAACAGAATACAGAAAAACCCTGCTCCTTAAACAAATCTAGCTGTCTAAAATAAATCTATCCAAGAAGACATCTAGATTTTCATCCCTTGTCCCCATCTCCCACTTTAGGGTAGCAATTTGGGTTTTTTTCTCTCCTGCCATCTCCTATTTTCCATGGGTGGCATCCTTCCTCTAACCCTGGCATATGAGGGAAGTAAAGCTTCTTCCTCTGCATTTTGGATGATTAAAAGGTAGAAACTTTAAAAAAATAATTTCTATAGGAGCAGTTCCTATAATGCTGTAGAAGAAACAAGTTTCTGTCTTCTAAGGAAGATAGACCAACCTCACAAAAAATGAACAAAAATCATACTTTTTAAATGAAAGATAAATTGTTATATCTTTAGATTTTAAAACGCAAACATTCCCTGTTGAAGGAGAAATTATATAGAGTTGCTTCAATAAAACAGCACCTTCTAAGTGGACTAAAAAGAAACAAATTGTATGTAAGGTGCAGTGCTCCAAGCAAACCACACGATGGCTACAAAGCAGCTTGATGTAAAGAGCCTAGAGCTGGAGTATAAATATTCTAAATCACAGGATAGTCTAACAAGAAATTACTTACTCATGCACAATCTGATATGTATAAACACTAAAGTACACACACCTGCATAGAAAGATTTTAAAAAATGGAGAGACTCAGACAGGATAGTAAAATGAAGATTAAAATTAATACAACATTCCTAACTTTTCAGAAATAACTATTGCTTGAAACAGTTATTCCCATTGTCTCTATTATTCCTGAATTTCTTCCTTCCCGGGGGTTCCAGCAAGTTAATTTTGAGGCTTCTGAATTCTGAAAACGATCTCGGTCTTTTTCCTACTGTAGCTTCTGTCTATAGCTTTTGCTTCCATTCTCTTCCCTTTTTTTATATATAAAAAAAGGAGAGGGGGAGGCTTAAATTTTCTTCTCTAATTCTCTTTATGTCTATGTGAGGAACAGTCATTTCTCTTTATTTGTTTCTGTCTGACCTTTCCTTCGTTTCTCTATATTTGCTGCTGTCTGGCATGTACGCTGACCAGCTGTGAAGGGGATAAGGCCTATCATTCACAATAATCCCAGAAGCAAACTGAGAGCCATGTAGTTTTTGTTTTATTATGTTTCACATGCACACACACACTGGAGCAATACATAAATGTCAACAGAAAATTATTTTGGCATCTAACTGTCATATAGATATAAACCAACTATTGATTCAACCAAGATTGATTCATGATTATTAAAAATGTGCATGCCTCTTTTTTTAGATTATTTATCCTTCTTTTATTATTTTTATAAATAATTCAGCCAATTATTAGAAATATGTTCAAAGTGCATCACTGAATCATACATCATGACACTATATTAATAAATAAGTCTAACATTGCTTAATATATGAAAGATGTATGATTTTGTGGCCTTTTTCTTTATCTTTATATATATCAAATGGAAAAATAAAAACATAAGAAACAAACACTGGAGCAAAATACTTATGGGGATGTAAGTTTACTCTTCCCCATGCAGCTCTTCATAGAGTTTTCAGACAATATTTCCCTCTGATGTCAAAACATGAAACGGTTATTACAGGCTAGCACTTTGGAGTTACAAATTATTTCAGCAAGGAAAGGTGTGCTAGGAATTGGTACATTGTTTGCAGCAGCTAAAAAGCTCACCTCAAAAGTTACATTTCATTTTGGCACTGATTTTGCTGTTCTGAAAAATGCTTATGACTTCTTTCCCCTCATACTTTTTTTAACACCCAATTCAAAATATTTTCCCTCATCTGGACTCAATTTACAAATCCTCAAACTAGCCAGGAAACTATCAAAGACACTATCAAGAGAATGAGAAAACAGTATGAAAAGATAAATGGTAAGTAAATCCACCCACAGCTACTTGATAAGTAAGCAGATGGTCATATCCACTGACTCTAGAATAGTTCTCTAAGTTCCAACTGCAGAGATCGCATTTTAAAATAATAGTATATTGTACAAATACACCAGCTTCATCTTGAAATTCATATGTATGTTTTATCTCAAGATAATGACAGGAAAAGGTGGACAAAGAATTTCTTAAAAACCAAACTCTTCATGTGGCTAGATCTCTGGGAGATTTTCTGCAAAAGAAAATTAGCCTTACCGTTTACACTGGGTTCATGGAAACACTATGTAAACATTTTTTGCCAGAACTGTGGGATAAGAGTAGGCAAGTGTTTGAAGTAAATTCTCCAAACTTAATGCTTGTAACATCTGTTGGCTATGTTTACACACTCTCTAAGATGGCAAGTGAGTAGCAACCTATTCAAAGAATAATTGGAACAAACCTTGGGAAGAATTCCTACTTAAAATTGAAAAAAGCTAGCATTTGTTTTCACACACTGCTTCACTCCTTCTCTAAGACAGAATGTAAAACTTTATAGTTTTCCATTCCAGATTCCAGTTTCTGAATTACAAACTAAAAGAACTAGAACAGCTAGGGCACGGGTGTCAAACTCAACCGTGTCACATGATGTATCGCAACATTTTTTTCCTTTGCGGAGCCAGGGTGGGCATGGCCTGCGTGTGACCGTAAGCATGTGACCACGGGTCGCCAGCTTGATACCCCTGAGCTAGGGTATAGAAGAATTCTCTAAATGACCTACAACAGAAGTCACTAGGTACTGCTGTGATGCAAATATATTGTGAGGCTGTCATTTACATTGCTTTATATGTAACAAAGAAAAAAAATGCTCCTTAAGTGTCTCTTTCACTAACTCACTAATAAAGAAAGAAATAAAGATGAAGCATATTGCAAGTGATTTAGTTCTACTGAAATTAGTGGAATCAAGCAGTTTTTATGCAAATGCATGGCCTGACATCTATACCTATATTATTGTTTCATGAGTGTGAGAAGGCACGATTAGAGTATTTACAATCGGAGAAAATATATGACTAACCAAATTAAAGTCATTTTCCATAAGCAAAATATTCAGTAATTTTATTTATTTATTTAGGTACCAGCCAATCCAGACAGATCCCAGTATAAATAAGACAGAATAAAAACACAACATAAATAGATAAGACAGAAAACAAGATAGTGAATCTAACCAACAACATACAAATACATACAAACACACCCAACAAAGGACCCCAATCACCTTTGCACTGTATATGCACTGTACTTCCTTCAATTCCCTGACTGGTCAATAATAGAATACTTACTGAACATCAGACTTGCTTTTTTGATGATTGAAGGGTAATATGATCATGAATATTTTTTTCCTAAAGCAGAATAAAAAAGGAATTACTTGTTTTTAGCATATGTTTTGCACAGGCTTGGAAATGAATGAATCAGACAAATTTTCTCATCAGAGCCACTATTAGCCAGACTAACTTTCAGGAGTATATGCATTCAGTAGTAACGTCCAATTTCTCATATAACATATGGAACTTAGGTATATGCATCAGTGCTCAATTGAAGTATCACTTTCTGTATGATTTCCAACTCATAGCTGCATATCTTTGTTATAAGGGGAAAAAAGTAGCCTTGCTTTGATTTTATCAGAGATAGACCTACTGTATATTCTGATTAAATCTGTCATTACTTCCACTGTGCTGTTTGTTTTACAAAAAAACATTTAGGACAAGAACAATCTTACCATTAGACTGAACAAGTCAGTTGCTTCAAGTGATAGACATAAGATCATATTGGCAAGGTAGAAAAGTCTGAGTATGTCACAACATACAATATGCAGGCCCCTCAGGCAACCATATGACAAAGAATATTGTTCTGTTATAAGAAGTTATATATGAGTTAATTGCTAGTCTCCCCAGGCTCTATTACACTGAATAGTATACCATACCCTTGGGCTGGTTCTGACATGGGAAACAGTGTGAAAGCAGGCTAGCAGTGCTGAAAATGAAGGGTTAGTTATCATGTTAGGAAAGTTCAGAAACAGCAACCACACACTGAATATGTATGAAAATCTTCCCAACATATTTGTATTTCATATTGGTGTAACTTTCTCACCCAAGAGCAGAACCTGACTAGCCCAGGTTCTCTACACACCCCAAGTCCACTAACTTAGTGGGCCCTTTTTCCTGCATTTCTAAATGTGTAGTTGGCAGATACATCATCTTATGGCTAACTTGTTCTCAATTCTCTCTATTGTGGTTTTTAAATATGAAGAAGTTCACCTGACCTTATCTACTATACCAATCATACTGTGATTTGTCACACCATTATCATCTATGGACACCAATGAGAAGTGTCTTCTACTTCTCTACCTGGAGTGAACATGATGACATTACCATATTGATAATGTCAAAATGCTTGAGTTTAAAAATTCCTTCTCCTGAAATGAGCAGTCAAACAATCCGAGAAAGATTAGGATATAAAAAGTAGGCACTAATGAGAAGATTTCTGACTGTTCCCCGACTACTGCTTCTTAATTCAGAGGGTGGTTTTTTTATCCTGGATCAAGGAATTGTTAGTCATGTGAATACGCACCTGCAGCTAAAATGTTACTGCCCAAACAGGTTTAGTACCTCAATAAAAACTAGAACATAAAAGCAGACACAAATCTGACATACACAGATTAATTCAAACCAGAGAGGCACAAAGGAAAGAAATCAGCCTTACAGCTTACAGCTCTTGACAAAACAAGAGCTCTTTTGCTTATCCATGGAAAGATTACCTAGCATGCTAAAATATTTACTTGTAGAAAGCAAGCCTAACAGACTGCTGTACTATATTAACAGATTGGCTAGCCAATAGAAACAGTTCATTTTTTAAACAGAAACAAAGGCAAAGCCTAGGATAAATGAAAGTGCTTCCACAAAAAAATCACCTGGGGTTTTATGCTTGAAATCACACCAATATATCAATCCTCTGCAAGTAATTATAAATGCTTCCTTGCTTCTGTTGGCTTCAGGGAAGAAAAAGATAATAACTAAAGATGAGCTAGAAAGAAAAACTATAGTTATAATTTGGCAACCTGACCACTGAAAATAGCATCTACCTGTAAAGTGAGACAGAAAATGTGAACTTGAAAAAAACATTCCAGTTGTCCAATTCATTTCCCTCTTCCCTTTCATATCCATAAACAATAATCTTCAGAAAAATTTTCTTTCTTACACGAACAGGGCTGCAAGATTGGGAAAATAAATGTTCTGGTACCATGTTCATGTCTAGGGGCTATTTAATACTTACAAATCACCTACAAAGATGTTTATTTTAGACAAGCTGAACGGAAATTTTGTGCATACCTAAGTCTTGCAAGCAACATTCTCTAGCATGGAGTTAAACCTACTTAAAAATCAAAAGGTTTCATCTCTTTAAAAACATACACAAAGATGGCCTTTCTAGTGAAGGAAAAAATCTTACAAAAAATTAGCATTTTCAATAGATTCTTAAGGATGTCCATAAGAATCTAGCTGCCTAAGAGATGCAGCTTAAGATAGAGCCCATTTCTTTACCTCAAAAGACCTTTCATTAACTAGAAAAGACAATACAAGAACAAAGTTTCGGTCTCTGTCCTACTAGAAATTCAAATGTAAGAAAATTCACAAAAAATGTTGGATTTTACTAAGCTTGAATATTCAGTAAGAGCAACTGAGTGAACATATAAGTGTGCTGACAGTGAAGGACATTTCCATCATGGCTTGTTAGATTAAGTAGCACTAGATAAAACACACAAGTTCCTCTTCTCTTCTCCTCCTTCTTCTACTACTACTACTACTAATAATAATAATAATAATAATAACAACAACAACAACAATCAAAGGAATGACACTTGAGAACTACAGATATGGTATGTAATCTAAGATACATGTTCTTTTTTTGTCTAGTTATATTTTATTAAAATGAATTAATTATAAATCTGTCCCATAATTAATATCCAGATCAAAGCAACATTTTTCAAGATCTCATGTCGGAAAGCAAAACTGAAAAGATTAAAACAAATGCAAAAACTTTAATTTTTAAAAAAATCTAGAAATTTCCCGGTTTTCTACCTCATCCTATCTCTGTAGATAAACACACCTCCTAATTTACAGCCTGGGACTCTTTCCATCCTATGCAGGAATGGGAAACCTGCCAGCCAACTTTTTCCTCTTCCTTTTCCGCCACATGGTTGTTTTAAACATCAACGAACAGGATGAGCCCAACTTTCCCCAACCAGATGCCCTCCAGATGTGCTGCACTAGCTGGAGAGGATGAGTTGTAGGCCATCCAACACTTGTAAAGGGTGCTGCATTGGGAAAAGCTGGGGCAGTTTATTAGGAAATAGATACAACAAAATGATGATGATGACGAAGATCATAATGATGAAGTAAACCAGAGTAGCGGCAAAGTTATTCCTACAGCCGTCCTTTAGACTCCAGAAGACCTACTGAATACAGTGGTTCTTACTCTCAGTTAACCATGCCCCAGGGACCACCGTTTTATTTATCCCCTTGATTTTGAACCCGAAGCGGGACATCCATAGAAAAAGGGGTTCGCATGTACTCCAGACATTGACCAAGACGGGCGCAGTGGAGGGACCTCAGGTAGCAACCCGCCCCCTCGCCGACTGCTTCGGCCTCCCCGCAACCCGCCCCGTGTCCTTTCTTCTACTCACGTTTGTGCCGTGGGAGAGATGCTTCCACTCCTTGTCCTTTGAGCTCCTAAATGCATTTGTATGCATTTGTCCGAGCAGCGAAGTTCTAACCGAAATCAGAAGCCAATTTCCCCCGGATCGCTCAGGGTTCAAGTACTGTCCATGAAATCGACCTCCGGAACCTGATAGTCTCTTCTCTTTGGCTTTGCCCAGTGCCTACTTCTCTTTAGCGTTTCTTCCACATAGTTTACAGTCCGTGGCCAGAACGGGAGGGAGTTCACGTGTGGCTCAGGAAAAGACGTCTTTTTTGTGTGTATGTGTGTGTGTGGTTTGGGGAGAATGCCTTTGTTTGTTTATTCGTTTACAAAAGTGCTGCGCTCGGCTCGCTTGCAATTGGACTTGGAGCTCCACAGCGAGGAGACCTTGGCGCTGGGAAGCAGCAGCGAGGAAGAGTCGGTCGGAACTGGGAAGAGGCAGCACCTCCAGAAGACTAAAGGCTTAGCAAGGGGGTGGGTGGGGTGGGGGGGAAAAACGAAGAGATTTAAGATTGCTCTTTGCAGCGTCTTAGTGGCAATAGCGCAGGCATTCAGCGCTGAAAGGCGAGAGCCTCTGGCTTTGGAGCAGAGCGAGCAGCCAACCCAAAGCAAAGCAAAATCCTCCCCACCGCGGCTCGGTGTTGAATTTCATCGCTCACTGACTTGCGATTACATCATCAAACCCATCTAGAAACAGCTCGCGCTGCCTCCAGTCCCGCGCGCCTCTCCAGCAGCCGCCAAGCGGAAAAGACAAAAGCGCGAGAGGGCACGCGGGTGGTGCGGGCCGGCCAGTTGGCGCGCTCGCCGCGGCCGCTAGAGGGAAAGTTGAGGCCGCCGCCGCCGCCGCCGCCTTCGCTTTTGGCGCGCAAAGTCAGGGGTGCTGTTTGATGGCCGTGCGGAAAGCGCCATTGCAATCGTGGAGGCTCTCTCATTGGACCGTGCTTCTCGCTGCCTAAAAAACCGAAATGGCCACTATTATTATTATTAATGCCACTGCTGTTTCTCTCTTTCTTTTTTTTAAAGGTTGCCACTTTTTGAGGTAACATTTGGTCAGGGTGGCTAAGAACCTTTGAAATTTTTCTTAAAAGCCTTGTCGTAGCCCTGGCTATCACTCTGGTCAACGTTTCCCCCAAAAGAAGTTAAGGGAGTGACAGTAGCAAAGTGGTTCCAAGAAAACATATAAGATCTGTATTAAAGTTATTAAGCTCTGAAGGTCAAACAAAGGTAACGTGCAAGCCTTTTCCAAAATGTTCATCAGACAGGATTGTTTTAAATAAATCAATAAAATCTGCTTCAAATCGCACTTGGTTCCTGGTAATTTGGTAGACAGCAATGTCTTGTGTGTTGTTAGCAACAATACAGAAGCAGCTTGCTTGCCTTTTTCTCCAAAAAAAAAAAAAAAAAATTTCAATTTCCAAAATGATCCTACAGCTCTTAGACTATATTTTGTCATGGTCTTCCATCCAAATACTCATCGGTATGTTTTTGCTTAGCCTTTTAAATCAACCCCAACCAAGCCTGGCAGAGTTCCAGGAAAAGGTAGCTGATTGCTATTAAATGAACATCTGATTACCTTAAGTAAATAACTGATTTTTTTCATTTTAATTTTGCTATTGGGATAACTTGAAAATATGCATGGGATTCTTTGAAGAAACAATGGAAAAGAATATTCAACTAAATCAATATAGTTAAAGCTCCTCACAACATATGTTGGACCTGAAGTCCAACAACCAAAGATTACATCAACCAGAGAGGGGGCAGGTAGGATCTGATGAGTGTCAAAGCCACTGCCCAAAACCTAGAGCATACAGGAGTACATCAGTAAGATGGTACCCAAAGGTGAGTTGCTGAAAGGATGCCTAAGGCAGGAGCAGGCATGGGAGGAAGATCAAGCAGAGGAAATGTCATGGCAAGATGAGACCCTGCATGGGATGAACCATCAGCAAATTGCTGAGGTGGCAGACATTGGGAAATTCTACCAATGACTGGAAAGGGTTGGACTAAAACATAGCAATGAAGTACTGATCATAGCAGCAAAAGAACAATTATTAGGCACCAAAACCATAGAAGTAGGGGTCTACCACACTAGACAGGACCCCAAGATGATGCAGAGAGGCCTTAGCGACAGTCCAACACATAGTGCCAGGTTGTAAGATGCGGGCAGGAATAGCATACATTGAACAGCACAACCAAGGAGCTGACATTGTGGGCTAGACCAGGTGTGGGCAGCTAATTTTCCCAGCGAAATGAACTGTTGTGGAGGACTGGCCCTTGATACTGCCCGGCCCCCTGATGCAATTGTCATAATTCACTGGCACATCACATTACAAGCTACAAGTATTTCAATCAAGTTTAGTACAAAATGATTGGGACCAATAACTATCACATTTTGATAACAGTTATGCAACATAAAATTACTTAGCAAAAATATTTCATCATACAAAAAGTTGGCCATGTTGATATAAAGGATCATATTAATGCCAACTTCTATGACTTAAAAATCTTCTTCCAAAACAGTCTATTTTATCTTATGTGAGTTTCTATAATACTGGGCACAACTGACCATTGTAGCCAATGAAGGTTGTGGCCTTAACTTTAAAATTATTGAAAGTGTTTTTTGATTATTAGTGAATATTCTAAGAAAACTACACCAGCAAAACCACCAATAAATCCTCCCCCGCCAAAATAGCAAAGATACAAAATCCATAATGTAGCTTCCCTGTCTGACCCAACCATCAAAAATAAGAAGAAAATGAGTTTGCCTTTTACTGTGACCAATCCTAGCAATGCAGAATCTAGGTAGGCATAGTATGAGGTATTGTTAAAGTGCCAAAGAACATTTGTATCAGATTATGAATTTCAATTAAGTACATAAAATATTATTTTAGTATCTTTTTCTTCTTGTGTGCTTCTTAAATAAACCAGTCTGAGGAGATGGCACAGCAGGAAACAAAAAGACTGGGAAAAGACAAGACAGTTGCATAAACACAGTGCAGGTGTTATCAGTAGTCCAGACTGAACGTGGGATGCAGGCAGTCTGTCCCAAAAGGACGGTGGGAAAAACTCAGGTCTTAAAAACTCCATTCTTTTCCGCTTTCACACAGACTATATATTGCAATATGCATATATGAGTGTGTGTTTGTTCTTAGACCATGTAAAAGCTAATCATTACCATAATAATCTGTAAAACAATGTATTACTAGTAGATTCTGTTTCTGTTTCTACTGCTATGTTAAAGGTGGCTAATACTAAAGTTCTCTTATGTTATCAATATACGATATTGTTCTGTCAAACATATCCATGCTTTCCATATCTGTCCTGTAATGTTTTCACTGAAATATGTTTTGATCATGGTGTTGTATGTGATGCCACTGAAATGCTACATGCTCAGAATGTCATACATACTAAAGATCACTTGTATATCAAAATAGGAACTTAGTTATTTATAAAAATAATAAAAAATAAAAACACTTAAATTAATAGTGAATTATTTAACAGTTTGATCTCATTCCATGATACTTGCAAACTATTTTATGTTTTTTTCTCCTCCCATTTTTGTTTTCTTTCTTTTTTTCTTCTTTTCCTTTCTTTTCTTAAAAAATGCTTAGTAGAGAAAAAAATAGGACAATATGGTTCTTGACATGATCCAAGAAGGACAATCAGAATCATTGCAATGACTTGGTGGTCTATCAGACATTTAGAAATTTATCAATAGCAATAGGATCTCAAGCCACTGAGATTTAAAATAAATATATGGATATGTGTTGCTAAAACTTTTCTAAAAGCTCATTAACATCTTTTATTTATGTTTAAATCTTCCAGTCCAGTGGTTCTCAACCTTTTTAATGCTGTGACCCCCAACCGGTCGTAAGTCGAGGACTACTCAACTGATGCAGCACTGTTTGCAGAATGGGACTTTTGGCGGGCTCAGCAGGGGAGAGATAGCCTGGACAATTCCTATTGGCTTTTGAAAGCCAATAGAATTAGACTCTATTCAAGAGAGTCTATTCTATTGGCTTTCAAAAGCCAATAGAATAAAAGGGAATAGCACAGCTAAGGAAAAGGGGAAAAAAATGGCAGACTGCATTGTTTGGCGACCCCCATGAAATGGTCGTTCGACCCCAAATGGGGTCCCAACCCACAGGTTGAGAACCACTGTTCTAGTCACTAGAATCTAGTGATGATGGGATTGGGGGAAGCAAAAAGTTGATAGTAACCCCTTCCCATGAGGGGGTAGCTTGCCAAAGTATCCTCAAGAACTTGTCCAGCTTAGTGAATAATCAGGTCTCAACTGCAGCCATTTTAAAGGTGGTGCCCTGTGAGCACCTAAGATTCTCTGACTCTGATTTCAATCTCTTTCTTGCACACAGCAACCCCAGCCAGTCTGTAGCAACCACAGTGATGTCTCATGCATCAAAATGTCATTGCACAAAAGATAAAAATTACCTGTTACAGTATATCAATTGTGTCATGATGTGATGGTGCACAATATGTAATTTGTGTCATTTCTGTGGTGATGTGATGTGCACAATGTCACTTGCCCTTCCTTGCTTTCTGCAGGTGGTCATGATTGTATGGTATATCTGTGATATATTGTTACACTTATTCCCACATTGCTTTTAAAGTACCACAAATCTATCAATGTAGATCTTATTTGTAAGCTCTTTAAGTTGATCAGCAGTACTGTTCTTAGCCAAGAAATAGAGTCAAGGTTTAAAAATATAGCTTCTCTATTTAGTATGAATCTACATAATTGGCAAAAGCAGCTTAAATTCCTAGTGGGTACAACAGCAGCCAAGCCTTGGAACTAAAATGTAGGTATTAGTTTAAAGGATGAGGGGTTTATATTGAATACAATTAGAGTAAAATCTAGCCATACTACTTCTGGAAAATGTTTGAAGAACAGATGTAATTTGGAAGCAAGTTTTTGCCAAAAGAAATACTATACTCTTCACTCCATTCTTCCTTTTTGCTGTTTTCAGTTGATTTTCCAATGTTTTTGTCCTTACTATGAAACACTATAAATCTGAATCAGTGATGTTCAGATGACCACCCGATTGCTAAAGTTTATAAAATGTTACTTAAGATGAATCTGGAAGATAAATTTGTTAAAGATTGTATGGTAAAATGAACGAAAATTTTTTGTTACAATATAATGCTAGATCAGGGGTAGGCAACCCAAAACACTCAAAGAGCCACTTGGACCCGTTTCCCATCAAAAACAAAACACTGGGAGCCGCAAAACCCTTTTGATATCTAAAATGAAGATAACATTGCATATATCCTTTTTTACCTTTATTATAGGTATTTGTGTGTGTGTGTGTGTGTGTGTATATATATATACACACAGTTTAAAAAAGGATATATGCAGTGTTATCTTTATTTTAGATGTCAAAAGGGTCTCTCTCTGTCTCTTTCTCTCCCTCCCTCTCTATCTGCCCCTGATCTGCCACTCCTCTTCCCCC